AAGTGTAGGCGCTTTCAGATTTGTTGTTGTTTCTCTTGTGATTGGCGGCCAAAACGGAGATGTCTGCGCCTGTGTCCACGAGGAAACGTTCGTGAGTGTCACGGTCGTGTACACAAAGGCGATTACTGGTGTACGGGACACCGACGTCCGCCACGGTCGGTGTCGGTTCTAGTTTCCCGACGGCTTCTTTCTTCTGCAACATGGGGACTCGCAGCGTTTTGCCTTGTCTCCGAAACGGAAGTGGTAGCGGCATTCCCAGTTGTCATCTCCGGGTTTCGGTCCAGGCACACGTTGCGTTGATTGCGAGCGGGAACGGGATTGCGATCCAAAACGACGGTTATATGGGCGGCGACGATGCCGGTGTCTCTCGTGGGTTGGCCTTCCTCGACGTAGCTCGGCAATCTCTAGCGTGAGCTTTTCCACTTGTTTGGCTAGAGCTTCCAGTGGTGTCATGGAGGTAGAAGCTGCAGGTGATGAAGTCGGTGCTGGTGACGTGACGGCGGCGATAGTGGGGCTTCCTGCGTACTCTGACATCTTGTCCGCCATCGCGGCTAACGTGTCTAGCGACGATTCATTATTTACGGAGAGGACGACGCGGACTTGTGCGGGTAGGTGGTTCAGCCACTCTATTTTCAGCCCCTCTTCAGTGATCATTCCGCTTGCGAGTTCTCTCATTTTTCTCAAAAGCTGGGAGGGCTTTTGGTCTCCCAGTTCCAAGCCGCTGATTAGCTTCTGGAAGTTCCGCACGTCCGATTTGTCGTAGGCCTCGAGTAATCGTTGCTTTACTTTCTCATATTTTCCCGTCGTAGGTGGGTTGTAAAGTATGTCCGTTAGGTGCTGGAGATCGACGGCCTGTAGCTGCTGTAGTAGGTAACGGAATTTCTGGTCATCGGAGGTCTTCAGTGGATCGATCACGGCTTCAAATTGGATGAACCAGGCCCGGGGTATCTCTCTCCAGAAGGGTAAGAGCCGCGACTGGATAGATACGGCGCTGACGTCGAGATTAATGTCCGATGCTTTTTCGTCCGACGACATTGTATCAGGCTCCACGAACTAGATTTTTTTTTTTTTTTCTTATATCGGGGTCACCAATTGTGGAGGCTTCGGAGAGAGATGGTAAATGAAAGAGCTTTTGTGTTAGATTAATTTTATTCGAGCTTAGGCTCCCCTATTTATATGATCAAGGTATGGTTACACAAGGACAGCACATCGACACAATTTCCGTCGCGCTCCAACATCGTCGTAAATATGTGCGCGCTACGCGTCCTTCGCCAGTGTTGGTGCTTGTGCCGTTGGTAGAAGCCGTGGATGCGCTCGGCGGTGATAAAAACATTGCGACGGTTGATTGGCGACATATAAATATCTCAGGCCGCGCGCTCCGCGCCAGTATGCAGTGCGCCGCCGTGCGGGCACGTTCTGTATGCGCATGACTCCCATAAGTTAATTTATGGTATGAACTAATACGTAAGCAAGCTGCTTGAATTTATTTGTGCATGACACATGACAGAGGTGATAAGAATAAAAACTGGAAAGTGTTTAACTGCCAGCGTCATCTTATTATAAATAAATAATTAAGAGGTCCTATTAAAATTGTTCAGATATTTTTGAAAAGTTGTATGTTCAGATATTATTGACAGGCATCTGCTCAGATATTATTGAAGTAATGAATGATCAGATATTTATGGTCACTTGTAGTGTATAGAACTTATTGACATTTTAACTGTTCAGATGTATTTGGTCATCTTGTATGATCAGATATATCTGATGGCGACTGTACTCAAACGTGACGTCATGCGACTTTTCAAATCAATATATCTCTGCAATGTTTATATTATGTGAAAAAACAATACGTGTCCAATACTTTTTGATAATCTACCTGATAAACGAAGAAAAAAAAATTAGTCATCATCCCTATTATATATTTACAAAAATAAACAATTAAATTGAAATAAATATCTATTTAAGCGAGCTCCTATACAACAGACGTGATTTTGGCAGTTTTTTGCTCGAAATATCGATATACAATATTAACATAGAATGTCTAATTGTAAAGATAATGAAACAGAACCCTTTTCCTGCGAGTCCGATGCGCACTTGTCCGAAATGTTATTTCACTTATTGATTGAGTAAAAAACAGATAGCAGTGGCCCCTTGTTTAGAAATGAGAATAATAATAAGTATGTACTGACGTAGCGACTTAATAGCTGTGGTTGTAAATAAACTGCATTTTCTTTAAATAGAAAGTCACTAATTAAGAACATCATATATCATCTACAAAGTTACATCATCATCATCAGCCTATTAATGACCCCACTGCTGGGGCACAGACCTTCCTTAAGGATGGAATAGGGAGATTGGGCCATGACCCTCCACGCGGGCCCAGTGCAGATTGGTGGGTGCTAACGACTGCAGTGCAACCGCACAGTGTTTTATAGAACCAAAAATATTTACACCTTAAGGTTTTTGCATAAATCAATTATTTAAACCCTAATAAAGGCAAGAGTTCAATTCCCAGATCACTATTTTAAGTAAAAAAAAAGATATGAAGTAGCAAAGTTTTTGAAATTTGCGCATGAAAATATTAACAATTAAATTTCCTCAAAAGACGGTTCCATATCTGTCCATGAGATATTTGCCACTGGCTAAGGAATTATTGATGGCATAATTTTGTAATTTTATTTTATTTATAAGTGTCCTAGTTTCCAAGAAATATAGTTTTTTTAAATTTCGATTTTTAATTTTTTTCTCCAAAAATCGGCAAAAGTGGAACCTGGATTCAATACAGAAAGGTTCTATAAGCCAAGTTCTATCACCCATAAAAAAATCAAGATTCACTTTTGCGGTTTTAAGAAGTTATGACAAAATTTAGATAAAGCTCAACTTTCATGATCTAGGGTTGTCACAGAGGTCAACTATGAGTTAAATGAAAATGTTATTTTTTTGTTATTAATACCGTCAATCAATTGTATAAATTATATTATATTATAATTGAATAAGTGTTGTACTTATAGACGAATACAATATACTTACATATACTACCTACCTAATGTAGATGTGATAATGTAGGAATACTTTATGTTTTAATTTTGACGACCACATTTTAAATTTTCCTTACACGCTAAATGGCAACGAAAAAATAAACTAAGTTGTTTGAAAAAATTTAACACACATCCTATACTATAAACGAGCAATTATTGTATGTACCTATATAAATATATTGGTATGTAATTGGTTTCTCGGAAACGGATCTAACGATTGTGATGAAATTTTGGATTTAGAAATTCATTCACATTTAAAATCAATCTAGGATAGTGTCATCACCTGCCGGCACCTTCTTTATGCAACACCTCTACTTTAACTTTTATACAAATAAATCATCTTCGTTTAATAATTCTAGGTTGCTTTCATTTGCGACGTTCGAAAAATCTTCATCTTCAGCATCTTCCTCTGCTTCGAATAACGGCAATCGATCTGCATCAATTGGTTGTAAGAGCTCGCAAACAGCTGAAGGCAAGGGAAATCGCTTAGAATATTTTCGACGGTGGCTGATATTTGCCATAGAAATAAACGGGTCTGATGATTCTAGGGCACGGTGAAAGAGGTCCGTCATTGTGGTTCTCCTGTTCATTTTTCGGCAATGATGCTCTCTGTCTGAACGCTAGAATTTATTTCGGGACTCAGCTGCTTGTTCAGATAGCATACCGATGGGCAGTGCACTGGACGCAATAATTTCTTCACCATGCATGAGGATTTTATGAACTGTTACTGTCATCGGGTGCCAACTATAAAAACGGACATATTTTTCAACCCTAGATCATGAAAGTTGACCTTTATCTAAATTCTGTCATAACTTCTTAAAACCGCAAAAGTGAAACTTGTTTTTTTTATGGGTGATAGAACTTGGCTTATAGAACCTTTCTGTACTTAATCCAGGTTCCACTTTTGCCGATTTTTGGAGAAAAAAATTAAAAATCGTAATTTAAAAAAACTATATTTCTTGGAAACTAGGACACTTATAAATAAAATAAAATTACAAAATTATGCCATCAATAATTCCTTAGCCAGTGGCAAATATCTCATGGACAGATATGGAACCGTCTTTTGAGGAAATTTAATTGTTAATATTTTCATGCGCAAATTTCAAAAACTTTGCTACTTCATATCTTTTTTTTTACTTAAAATAGTGATCTGGGAATTGAACTCTTGCCTTTATTAGGGTTTAAATAATTGATTTATACAAAAACCTTGAGGTGTAAATATTTTTGGTTCTATAAAACACTCGGTGTCAACCCTAGCATAAAAATTTAAAAATTAATATCTTCTAAACGCCGCAAAAGTGACACGTGGCTTATTTATGTATGATAGACCACATCCGTAGGTTTATTTCTATCTAAGTTCTAGGTTCCACTTTTTCGTTTTTAGGAAGAAAAAACAATAAATACGAAATACAAAAAAAAATGCTGCTCCCAAACCAATGCATTTTTTTAAGCTAAAGAAACGCGTTTATACGCCACTGATTATGCCCGATTGACACATATTTATTAAAAAAATATATTGTTAATATTCACTTTATAAAAAAATATTCTAGATTTCATAGGTCAAAGGTCACGATAAGTTCATGATTTTTTTTCTCAAAAAGTAATTGAGTTAGACTTCTGTAAATTGAACTCATGCCTTTTTTAGGGTATAAATAATCTATTTATGTAAGAACCTGAACATGTAAATTTTTTTGGTTCCATAAAACACTGTGAACCGGGACCAACGGCTTAACGTGCCTTCCGAAACACGGAGGGGCTCGAGATAGTAAATTTTTGGTCACCCATCCAATGACCGACCACTGCTAAAGTTGCCAAACTTCAACGGTCGCACCCGAACGCGCTAACCAGTTGCGCCATCGAGCTCCTCTACGTTACATATTTGTCTTAAATCGCTTGTTTCAAAACCCTAATCTCTAGTAAATATAACAGAGTCTCAGAAATAACATATCAATTTATTTTCAGTTTATTTTATCTGATGGTGCTCACCAACAGCCATACTATATCTAAAAATATCGACGATAAAGAAGAATTCGATAGTATAGTTGACAGTTTTAACGATTTAGATTACAAAAGAATAAATAATCTGCATCGTTCTCATCAACATAACTATTATAAAAGAGATGACAAAGAAGACACGGCAACTACTGAACTGAGAAGAGAAACGGCGAATGTTACCAAAGGAAAGTTGAAAGAGGCAACCACGAATCCATCGATCTTGGTTTCTACATCGCCGAAAAGAAAATCGAATAAGCAGCTACACAGTTTCTGGAACAAATTCCGACACAGGTGGTCAGGTAATAAGGAAAATAAAGATGGCCGAGTGCACAAAAGAAAATCTCCAAAGAAAAGTAAATTTAATAACATTAACGGAGTATTCGAAGGTAAATATCAAACTAAAAATACTCCGATATTAAAAAACGATTTACATAGAAGAGGAATATCTAAATCTTACCAGGATAAAAGAAAGAGAAATATTTCTGTAGCGCCTTCCTCGGTTACCCCTGCGCTGATTAACAATTTTACAGCAAGCACCAAAGATGCCACAGTCACCTGTACACCCGAATTTGTCGGAACTGATTCCGGAATAACTAACACTTTATCATCCAAATTCGGTCCCACTAAATCATACGAACTATTTTCAACGACCAAAAGTATGTTCGGAGATTTGACCGAAATGACGACACGGCTGTCTCAATTGAAAGAAACGTACGGCCTTGCCCAATCTAAAATAACACCAAATTTGGAAAATATGAATGTTGCAAAAACTTTTCACTCTACAACTTCTTCAACACCTACAATGGATTTAGATTTTCCTGGTACGGCTCAAATAGAAGCTTTACTCAATGATATAAAAATGAAAGCGATTGAAATGGTAGCTGAACAGAATCCTGCTGTAACCGATATGATTGCTAACACTGTGACAGAAACGACGTTTGCAGCTGACCCTATTCTGACGCATTTAGATATGCGTAGTACAGGATACGCTTTGAGTACATTTATTTCAATAGATGTTCCGAATAGTAAAAGAACTGTCGATTTTAATGAGACTGTAGTAATAAGTAACACGGAACCAACACACATTATTGGTGCAAGATCTATACAAGAAGACGTATACACGATTGCGCACAATATTGAAGATTTGCTTCAAAGGGAATTAAAAAAAGCGTACGGGAAAGCAAAGGTGAAGGTACAGTCACAATGGAACAAGGAGGTCAAACAGGCATCATCTACGATTAAATCGAAATCCACGAAAATGATGGAGAAAGCCACTAAAGCATTAAGCAAATCGCATTACAAAACCTGTAAAACAAAGAAAATGTCGACGCCTATATCAAACAAACAAGCTGCACATACAAAGTCCATGAAAAAAGGTATCAACAAGCAAGTAAGGCGTTCCACGAAAAACAACAAAGTAACCGAGAACCTTCGAAAAACTGAAACAACTCATGTCCCTCTACCTAAACTACCATCGACATTCGATGACTATATGATGCTGACTCTATTCGAACACATCTTAGCCAAGACTCATCAAGATAATGTCATGAAAATGTTAACTACCACTGATGTACCTTTTAATAAACGCAACTATAAAAAAAGAGATGTAACAACAATACGTATTGCAAAATCTGAAGTAGATCCGAAACTAAAGGAAAATTTTGAAGTGAGTGACGACTATGATACTAGTAATACTCCTGAATCATATCCTGAAGAACCCTTGAACACTGAAAACACACTCGCATCTACAGTATCAGAAACCGAGGACACAAGTTTCGAAGGTTTGAGCAACAAAATATCTTACAACGACTACGTAAATGGTTACAAGCATTACTTGAAATTCCAAAAAGAGCAAGGTGAACAGAACTTCTCCAACTTGGTGCGTTACCAGGCTCATTTGCACCACAGTGTTGATGATATAGGAAAATATATTCTCAATAAGATACCAAATTTAACTGCGAAAAGAAACAAACGCTTCTTCGAAGATTATAACGAAGATGACATGTCCACGAAAAGCGATGATTCGTGGTTCAAGAAGCATTTTTATTTCTTCATTGATAGTGGTCCGCCAAAAAAATATCACACCTCACAAACAGTAGCACTTAAATCTCCCATTTCTAATTTAGAATCGTCTTCGGAAAATGGGCTTTATAAATCTAAATGGTCCACAGCCAACAGTGTTAATACACAAAGCAATGAAGATGAAGAATCCGAAGAGTTTAATTTAGACGAGTTATCCAAAGACTTATATGAACGTAAATCTAAACAGTTTTCATCGTTTGACTACGGCGAAGGTAACAATATTCTTAAAATAAATGTTTAATGTATCCATTTTTAATCTCACATATGTTTATATGTGTATGTGTATTATTAAAGAATTGGTCGGTATTTGGATTTTGTAATAATAAAATGGAAACTGTAGCGAAATTGAATTGTCTTACTTGCTTTTCAAAAGCTTATTTTTAAAAGCTAGAAAATACAAAAATATACTTTATAAGGAATTATATTTTAGCTTCGACTATAGGCCCAAGTAATACTAATAAAAAGTTGAGTCGAGATATGGAACATCCGTATAGTTTTCGATCAATCGGGTTAGTTGGAAGATTATTTGGTGGCAAACGCGGAACTACGGCTACACATATTGATGTTACTGACAATATGCTAATAGAACCCCTTGATGATAAACCAGTTGACGAAGTATCTGAAAGAGATAAACGAAATATCAATATTGACGAAAAAAGCAATGCAGAAATAGCCATGGATATGATGAAAGCAACTACACCTCACAGTTTAGTAGACATAAAACATAAGAATTACGGATACGTCGATGTTAACTTGATACCAAAACCAACAGCAATAGTCAAGTTACGAGAGAACAAAGGTAAAAAAGGACGCATGAGAAAGTTCTTCAATAAATTTCGATTTCCAAAACGGAAGAAGCCACAGAAAACTAAACGCGAGAACCGAGCATTTAGATTCAATCCTTTTAGGAAGTTCAAAGAATTTCTGAAAGGGAGACCTGGCGCTACTGACACCTATAGCTACCAAAAAGATTCACCACATGATTACGATATGTTGACATCACGTATATTTACTTTCAAACCGGTAAAATATGACAGAATACTTAGTCTGGAAGAGATAAATCGTGAAATTCCAAATATAACAGATGTATCTATGGAGACTGATATGGCACTGCCGAAGTATAGTCCAAAGCAGAATCCTTTGTCTTGGGACAGTAAACCTCTCCTTTACCAGCCCACGCACAGTACTCAGTATAAGTTCACTACAGATCCTAGCATTGGCAATGCGAAACGTACATTTCAAAGTAAGTAGACAAATATTTAATTATTGCTTTGGAAAAGCTTTTCTTTAACTTGCAATGTATGTATTGCAATTAAAATTGCAAATATTGCAACTTAATTTTAAAGTAGTTATCATCAACTGATTGATACGAATTTTGCATCAAAAAGTTTAGTTTGGATGACAATACATGTTAAGCTAACCGACGTTTGTTCTGCAACCAATATGGCGGACCACCCACATACAGAAAATGTTTGCCATTTTAGTAAAAGCTTATTTTTAAAATCATTTTAAAATATAACTGTAGATTGTTAAAATAGTAGTATTATTAAAAAGCTTAAGCTAAATGTATTCTGTAACGATTTACACTCCGCAAATGACTTTATCACGAATAAGCCTTGAACGCAAATAATCATAAATAAGTATGCAATCTATTAAGATTCAAAGTTCTTAAAACAGTAAGGTCGATTTTTACAGCTGCCACAACATCTATGAATAAATTATACAAATCCACTACAGCCAAACAGACTAAAGCAAAAGTGTACGATTATGGTAGAGCTCAAAACAAAGTATTTGAATCAACTACAGCTGGATATAATCTGAGTAGTTTAAAGTACAATAGTCCCATAGCTACAAAGACTCACAAAAAAGATGAAAACACTAAGAGATACGAACCAAATAAGATAGATAGTATACTGAACGATAATCTGCTCAAAACCTCATTAGTTGACTACCAAAAGTTTACTACAGAAGCGTATGATCCAACATTGAGATTGGTTGACATTAAAAACGAGTTGAATGCCATGCAACGAAAATTGACAGAGCCTACTTTCAAAACTGTGGCGGTTTCACCAAGCAGTTCACCTGTGAAGCCCCAAAGAATATATGTACCGCAATATCTTCAAGCCCCACCACATGAAGCTCCAAACAACTTGAAAATTCACAAGAAACTCATAAGAGTAGCTAAATTCTCACTGCCGCACTTGAAACATGCTCAAGTCACTAAAAATACTAATGTGTTTTCTATAGAAGCAAGTAATAAAACATGCAGAGCATCAAAAAGAGAAATTGAAAGAGATACATTCCTTCCTCATTCGACATTAAGTTTGACAAATGATATAAATATTCACAATGAATACAGTAGACTCGTTAACTGCAAACCATATCCTGATTACTTTAACGATCTCCTAATGTGGCATGGTGATCTACTTAACACTGATAAGATCACTTCACCATCTTGGGAAAATATCATAGATTCAATCCAAGAATCGACTAAATCGTATGCTCAGTCTAGCGTTGATATGCAACATGAGATTAACCAACTCAATCAGTTCCTACGTCTCCACAATATGAACTCTACAATGAAGGCAAAAAGCTCTAAAACGCCACGGAGAAATAAGAAAGACAAAACACGGAGAAACTATATTAAACAAAGGAATCTCATTAAAACGATTGAAATCCACGATGACGCTGTAGATAAAACTGATAACATGTTTATTAAAGGAGAAGCAAAGTATTATCATATTGCAAAGCAGCCTTTTTTTGCAGGTAAATATTTGGAGACTGCTGCTCCCATGAACAATTTGGAGAGAATGTATTTTAAGCCCTATAATATCAGAGGGCAATATGCAAAACGCAATGGCAATTTTTGGAAAAATGATATCGGTTCGTAATGAATTTGTTTAATAGATTTTATGGGTAGGGTAACCTTGTGTAAAATATTAATATCTAGCCATTAATTTTTAGATCAAGACAAAAAGAAACATAGTGACAATAATGAAGATTCGCCGGTTCTTTTCTTAGATACGACTCTTCTATCTTATGATGACGGACCAGACTCTTTGTCCGATAAATCCATTACTAAAAATATATGTAAGTAAATATAATACATAAATGAACACATAACAATATATTATATTAAACATTCATAGTCATTAACATTACAGTAATTAGCGGTATTGCTACCATGTGTTAGCAATTTATGTATAATTAATTCTATGACTGTATCTATTTTTGTTATTTTTGAATTTATGTAGAATTTGTCGCATTTCCGCTAAAAGTTTATTATTAGTACGAAAACGATTCCTCAACTACTGCTATTGGTTTGTTGCTCGAGTGGCGCCATCTATATACTTGATTTCCTGTTGATCCGTCGCTCGAGCGGGAAACCATGCTGGAGGTTTTTAAAATTATTCATTCTGTTGTTAGCAATTTATGTATAATTAATTCTAAGACTGTATCTATTTTTGTTATTTTTGAATTTATGTAGAATTTGTCGCATTTCCGCTAAAAGTTTATTATTAGTACGAAAACGATTCCTCAACTACTGCTATTGGTTTGTTGCTCGAGTGGCGCCATCTATATACTTGATTTCCTGTTGATCCGTCGCTCGAGCGGGAAACCATGCTGGAGGTTTTTAAAATTATTCATTCTGTTACGGACGTCCGAGCTGTGAACTCGTATTTATTTACGGAAGGTTCCTTGGGAAGTTACTTTGGAAAGTTATTGTAAAAGGTTATTGTGTTTGAGGAATAAACTGTATGATTCATTAAGGGTATTGTTTATTCTACTGGATCCCGACGATTGGTGAGGAAGGATTTTACAAATCTCAGAAGTGGGATAATTAGCGCCCACAAGGTATGATCATTGCTTCAATTTATTTTATCTTTAAATATATATCTGAGGTACTAGTAGTCACCCGCGGCTTCGTCGCGTGGGGCTGGGTTTTCTGTTGGAATAAGAAGTTTTCTCGGGGTACCCTACGTTTTGTTCTGATGTAATCTTATTATAGTAATATTACTAACTTTGGAATTTCATCTAAATTCAACCAGTAGTTTTCATGAAAACGTGACAAACTTTATCATTTTATTATATTTGATTGGTAAGATATCAAATTTTCAATTGTAAAAAGAAAAGAAATCTATATTGATAAAATAGCAATTCATTAGTACGGGTTCGATCCCCAACACTAATTTTTACAGACGATTTGCAATAAAATATATTACGGGTCATTATAATTATATGTAAAGCATCGGGTGGTTACGGAAGGAAGGCCGTTTGTTAATATTATTTTAAATCCGGTAGTATGTATACTGTTCAAAATATAGTAATATGTCGAGAACATGGGGTTACAGACTTCAGTTCCTCGCATATAAGTCTAAACTGTTAATCTTAAGCATATTTATTTGGTATTATACTTTTGCAAGAAGACGAATAAGTACATTACCTACATTATATACTATTTTCTTTATAATTTCAAAGTAATGTGAATGTAATACGTATCCTTTGTCTTAGCTTAATATGCCAGGTGTGGTTGTTTAGTTTTTAAATACTTATATTCTAACCCTAACTTGTAACTTATTGGTTGTGTGTGTAACTTATTGGACTAAAGTATTGATATTTTTGATATGTATGGTGACATGTATGTGCAAACTGCGTGACATAACCGGTCGATGAATCGTGCTGGTTCGCAGATAGACATATTTTGTGTTTTCCATACTAGGGTCACAGAAGTTGTAGCAGATCTTGATGTTCCGTAGTAATATGCGTAGCCGCGTAGACGCGTAGCTGGTGACATTATGTATGACGTACTCTGCATAAGTAACTTTTCGTAGCAGATCACGCGTATCAAGCGCACTCTATTGACACCACTGTTTTGTTTATGCGCTCCTAGTACTTTGGTTGAATAAATTGGAATTAATTTTGTGCTTATGTGTTCGTATGTAATGTGTTTAAAGGTATATAATATATATATACATATATATAGGTTCCCTGTACAACGATATATACATAAAAAAACAGGTTGAAATGTGTGTAGTAGTTTGATACACTTATCCGGACCTTGTCATCGGCGTGACCGTCATCACGTTTCAGAGAAATGGACGAGGCGCATAGGTCAAGGTCGCGTCATAGGCGAGTCTACACCCCGAGCCGCAGTGGTAGTGGCGGTAGCGGATCACAACGTGGACAAGACCGAGAGCGTAGGCGACGACGGTTGCGGACTCCAGAAGGTTCCCGGTACAACGACAGCGGTAGTGCCGGTGGTAGAACTTCGAGAGGACGAAATCGAGGTACATCTCCATCAGCAGCGCACACGGGATCGCACGATTCGCACGTCAGAGGTCGTAGCAGGACTCGACGTAGTATGTCGTGGGAGAGGGTAGCTAGATCACGGGATCAAACGGTGCATCGTTATGCTCTCGCGCGATATAGTAGATTTCCTCGTAGTCGTGAACGATCGGATGGTCATGAGGCGCATGATCGTTATAGAGATCGTCGTCATAACCATCGATCGCGTAGTAGACTTAACGATCATTCTATCAGTAACCGAAATAGCGTTGGGGGCGATTTACTATCTAAACTTGCAAATATGGTTGAGAGTTTTACTAACAGTAACACTATCAAGAAAGAAACCTTTTCGAATGTTAACGTTATTCCCGAATTTGATCCGGCTCAAAAAAATCAGACGGTAGATAAATGGCTTTTGAAGGTGAATGAAAGTGCGTGTCTGTATGAATGGACGGAGAGGCAAATTATTCATTACGCTCTACCAAAACTGGCAGGTATTGCAAAAAAAATGGTATGAGGGTTTGCCTTCTCTGTTGTTAACTTGGGATGAATGGCAGTATAAATTAAAAAGTGCTTTTCCAGCAAGTGAGAACTATGGTCAAATGATGTTAGAAATGTTGAACAGGAGGGCAAAATTTGGTGAATCCTTAGAAACTTATTTTTATGACAAAGTAAATCTAATTAACCGCTTAGAAGTAGTTACAGGCAAGAGGGCAGTAGAATGCATTTTACACGGCATCGATGATAGGGCGGTGCGGATGGGTGCAGAAGCCGCTCAATTTGATGATTGTGACAAATTACTTGCGTACTTAAGGAAAATTAGCGTTCAAAAGACAGAACAATCAGGTATTAAGAGAGGGGGTCCCAGTAACAAAACTATGTATAGACCACAAGTAGCAAATAAACCGAACATTAGGTGTTACAATTGTAGAGAGGACGGTCACCCTGTTTCAAAATGTCCGAAGCCGATTAAGAAGTGTAATAAATGTTCAGCGATCGGTCATGTCGATTCCGAATGTTTCCGTCAATCAAAAAATAATGAACATAAATCTGTAATGGCTATAGAGGTACCAGTTGTAAAGCCAAACGTTAATAAGTATATACAGAATATAATTATTAACGATGTACCAACTGAAGCCTTCATTGATATGGGCAGCGAGTTAACTTTGATACGTGAGAGTGTAGCCAAGGACATTTTTAAACAGTGGGACACCTCGAGGTCATATCCTATGATGGGTTTTGGTGGGACGTTAGTCGAGTCTATAGGGTCGTGTGTAGCAGAGGTTAAAATACAAAATGTTAAATCCATAGTCACATGTGTGGTGGTGCCGGATGTATTCATGTCACATCCGGTTTTGATTGGTCAGACGCTCACTGAACAACCTCACGTCAAAATTATAAAGACAGGTGACAAATTGTTGTTTGAGAATTCTGATGAATCTAAATATAAGGGAAAGCTGGAATTGCGGGTATGTCAGGATGCCGCCTTGCATGAGACTGGGGTCATTGATGTGTATTGCGATACAGGGTATACCGGTTTACTGTATGTGAAAGGAGGTTTTAGGGGGCAAGTAGACAAGGAATATCTGTTGCAAGAAGGAGTATACAAATTGGTTCAGGGGAAGGGTGTAATAATGGTAGAGCCTTTATCGAGACCATTGAATTTTCAATTAAATGAATTAATTGCTAGGGCGGAAATAGTGTTAGAATCATTTGGCATCCATAAAATTAATAAGATTGAAAGTGAAGGCAAAATATTAGAACCTTTTGCATTAAGCGACTTGAACGTTGGTGACATCCCTCGGGGGAGTAAAATTAAACTTCTCGAGTTAATCAACTCATATCGGGATTGTTTTGCGACTTGTATGGGAGAATTAGGATGTACGGCTATCGAAAAAATGGATATTAAATTGAAGGACAATGAACCGGTGGTATATAGGCCGTATCGGATGTCAGCAAATGAAAGGCAGGAGGTTCAAGGGATGTTAGACGAATTAATTGAGACGGGGATTGTTCGCGAATCAAACTCACCTTATGCGAGCCCCATTATATTGGTCAGGAAAAAGACAGGGGATAAGAGGCTGTGCGTAGATTACAGACAACTAAATAAAAAAACAATCAAGCAGCATTATCCGTTACCTTGTATGGAGGACCAGATGAATCGATTAGCAGAAAATGAATTTTACTCGACATTAGATTTAGCTAGCGGTTACTACCAAATAGAATTAACTGAAGAGGCCAAATCTAAAACAGCATTCGTTACACCAGACGGTCAATGGGAGTTTAACAGGATGCCGTTTGGTTTGGCGAATGCGCCTGCTGTTTTTCAGCGCACTGTAAATAAGGCCCTAGGAGCTCTCAGATTTAATACGGCAGTAGCATATATGGACGACATATTAGTGCCCTCCAAATCAGTAGATGAAGGGTTAACGAAATTAGAATCTATTTTCAAACATGTCAGAGAGGCTAATCTAACATTGAAGTTGACAAAATGTAATTTTTTCCAAACATCGGTTGACTTTTTAGGTTTTGAGATAAATGTAGATGGCATCAGGCCCGGCTCGAAAAAGACTGATGCTGTTCGCAGTTTCCCTATCCCACAAAATGTGCATAACGTAAGACAATTTCTTGGCTTAGCTAGTTTTTTCAGAAAGTTTGTGAAAGATTTCGCAATAATTGCTAAACCTTTGACTACCCTTTTAAAAAATAATACTCCGTGGGCCTGGGATGATGCGCAGCAGAAGGCTTTTGATGAGCTGAAAACTAGATTGGTGTCACGTCCTGTGTTGGCTCTGTACAATCCTACCCTTTATACCGAATTGCATACTGATGCGAGCAAGTGGGGGGTAGGGGGGATATTGTTACAGAGACAAAAGGATGGAAACATGAAACCGGTTGCGTATTACAGTTGTCAAACTTCACCAGAAGAGCAACATTTCTCTTCATACGAACTGGAAACTTTAGCAGTAGTTAAATCTTTAACGAAGTTCAGGACATATCTGGCGGGAATGCCGTTTACTATTTTGACTGATTGTAATTCGATGAAAGCAACTTTTACTAAAAGAGATATGTTACCCAGGGTTGCTCGCTGGTGGGGTCTGATCCAAGAATTTGACTTTGAGATTAAATACAAAGCAGGTAAAGGCATGGCACATGTCGATGCGTTAAGTAGGAACCCGATTAAAAGTGATGACGATGTTTTGGATTTTCCCACGATTTTTAAAATAGATGATGCTTGGCTCAAAACTGTTCAATCTGCCGACAGTGAGGTCAGTAGGATAAAAAGTATACTTTCTGATCCCGCCAATAATAATATTCTGGAGATCAAAAATAATTTTTGTTTAAAGAATAACAACGTTTTCAGAATTACTCCTACTGGACCTAAATGGTTAGTACCCAAGGGTGTGAGATGGCAGATATTGCGCACATGTCATGATGATATTGGCCACTTTTCAATTGATAAGACCTTCGAGAAAGTCAGTGAAAATTACTGGTTCCCTAAAATGAGGAGGTTCATCCAAAAGTATGTCGGATCTTGCCTAGAGTGCGCACTTAGCAAGGCCCCGTCAGGGAAAAAGTCTGGTTTTCTCCATCCTATTCCGAAAGTACCAACGCCATTTCACACTCTGCATGCTGACCATCTGGGCCCTTTTAATTGTAGTCGTTCTAAAAATAGATATTTATTGGTAATTGTAGATGCCTTCACGAAGTTCATAGTTTTAAAACCGGTTAAGAGTACTAAGGCCTCAGTTACGATCAAAATATTTAGGGAATACTTCGGTACGTTCGGCTTACCTACTAGACTCATAACGGACAGATATTCATCGTTCACTGGCAAGAAGATAGCATCATTTCTGAAAAATTTAGGAGTGCATCACATAATGAATGCGATTGCCACTCCACGAGCAAATGGGCAAGTGGAGCGTTATAATCGCACCATTCTTGATGCACTTACGGCTATGAATCATGGCCGAAATGAAGAACTGTGGGACGATAAAGTCATTGACGTTCAATGGGGTCTTAACAACACGCTCAATAAAGGTACAGGGAAAACACCGTCCGAAGTGTTGTTTGGTCTGAAATTGAAAGGCATGACAGAAGGTAAAATAATTAATGTGTTGCACGATGATTTGGAAGCTACAAATGAGATTGATATTGACAGTATTCGTTCTGACGTAAGTGAACATATTAGGGAATCGCAGGAAAGGCAAAAAGAAAGGTACGATAAGGCTAGACACAAACCGCGTAATTATGCCGTAGGTGATTTGGTAAGAGTGGAAAGAAGTGTTCTCTGCCCAGGAAAAAGTAAAAAATTGAGATCTAAATGTTACGGTCCCTATAGAGTAGTCGATGTTTTGCCCAATGATAGGTATCTAGTGGAGGATACACCGTCGACAAAAAAAAAGGGAAAAGCAAGCTATAAGGGAGTATACCCGGTTGATAAGGTACATCCCTGGTTAAGTTTTAAAGGGATTGATGACAGTGAATCTAGCGAAGAGGAAATAATAGTCGAGGAAAATAATGACTTAGAAACCGACGTTAATGATGTAGATTAACGAATTGGATTTGTATTATGGGTCGATGAAGGATGGTTGAGTTCATTAAAAATTTGATACTTCATTACAAAAGGTTACTGGTAGGATGGAGGGAGGATAATAGAGGATATAATTCAGGGAAATGGAAGGATACTCGAAGGATCATCGGAAGGATAATCGGAAGGATAATCGGAAGGATAATCGGAAGGATAATCGGAAGGATATTGGAAAATATTGGAAGGATATTATTATAAATAATTGATATTAAACCACTGTTAATAATAAGATGTTATAACTTAAAAATGAGTGTCTGTTTGATCTTTAGAACCATCAATATAAAAGTTGATTTAATAGGTTTTCTACTTCATTAATTAGCTATTTGGGTTAAGACAAACGGAGACTCATATGTGAATTAAATATTTTGTAAAATTGCATTTGTTTAACAATTAAAATATATCAATTACGATTTATTATTGTATTAAATTAGTCACGAGGTCGTAACATAGAAGTCAGGATGGACGAATCTGTTAGCAATTTATGTATAATTAATTCTATGACTGTATCTATTTTTGTTATTTTTGAATTTATGTAGAATTTGTCGCATTTCCGCTAAAAGTTTATTATTAGTACGAAAACGATTCCTCAACTACTGCTATTGGTTTGTTGCTCGAGTGGCGCCATCTATATACTTGATTTCCTGTTGATCCGTCGCTCGAGCGGGAAACCATGCTGGAGGTTTTTAAAATTATTCATTCTGTTGTTAGCAATTTATGTATAATTAATTCTAAGACTGTATCTATTTTTGTTATTTTTGAATTTATGTAGAATTTGTCGCATTCCCGCTAAAAGTTTATTATTAGTACGAAAACGATTCCTCAACTACTGCTATTGGTTTGTTGCTCGAGTGGCGCCATCTATATACTTGATTTCCTGTTGATCCGTCGCTCGAGCGGGAAACCATGCTGGAGGTTTTTAAAATTATTCATTCTGTTACGGACGTCCGAGCTGTGAACTCGTATTTATTTACGGAAGGTTACTTGGGAAGTTACTTTGGAAAGTTATTGTAAAAGGTTATTGTGTTTGAGGAATAAACTGTATGATTCATTAAGGGTATTGTTTATTCTACTGGATCCCGACGATTGGTGAGGAAGGATTTTACACATGTATCCTAGAACACATAGAATACCTTTAATATTAAAAACCAACATATTACTTGTACGATTAATGTATCAAGTTAAGTACCCTTGACATTATAATGAATTATATTTTAAAATGAACAGCACGTTAACAGTTTTTTTAATGAAGGTTGTTGTTGAATTAAACATAGTAAGAAGTAATTTTGTCGAAACTGATTAAATATTTGTTTATTAAAAGGTGACGTAATTAGCACTGCACATTGTGAGTCCTATCCGTATTTCCGTCCGTCCGTCATTTGAATATATGTAGTGAATCATTCCATTGAAGACTATATACATATTTTTTTTTCTTTACATATTTTATTTCTACGCAAGTCTTTGTAAATTAGTATGTTCTATTTCTTACAGCTAAGAACTCATTAACATCTGCAAGGCCATCAGCAAGTCACAAAATAGTGAGTATACTTTATCGATCTCCAAATCATAGTTACAGTCAGATATATAATAATAAAAACTATATTTCAGGCAAATAAACCTATTGCTAAAATCAATGAATCACCTGCGCAATACTTCAGCACCCCTTTGCCCATGGAAATGAATGATTTTGAAAGATTCCTCAAGGACAATCATATTGACGTACAGTCTGTAACAAGACCACTTACATTAACACCCCAGATCGTAAACCAACTGTATTCTAAAAACAAACCGAATGATCAAAAATCAAGCAAGCAAGCACATTTTGCACATACTAAAAAGGCGGTAAATACCACGAGTACAACTAAAAAATCCCCTGTGTTTAAGACAAAAACTGATTCTTTAGAATATGACATGAATAACCTATTTGACGCTGAAGTTTATTTAAATAATGACAAAAGTGATGAGGAGATTGGCGTAAATTTTGATAAAAGAATCAAGAAGAATAGTCAAATTTTAGATAATTCAATTTATCCAACTAAACCGGACTACAGAGATACAATTAAGAAATCTAGAAATGGATTGTTCAAAAACAAAATAAGGCTGTTTGATAAGAGACCTACGACTATGGCTGACACTGCCAATTCAAAAAGAACATCGAACGGCCTCGATGATAGTCTTATTTTACCTGTAACCGATGAATCGGGATCAGTCGAGCTGACTATTATAAACATGGAGGATTTAGATGATCAAAACAAGCAAACTCCAAACCGTCAGACTGAAGTAGAGTTTAGAGAGCCGTGGCGAGCAGTCACTGTACCAAAGCAGAGACTATTTGCTGCGGCTAGTACACGAGATGGTAAAAAATCTCGACCAACAACCAAACGCAAAAGTACAGAAACAATAAGAACAAAATCAACAGGTGATGTCAAAAATGATCAGCTATCCAATGTTAATTTTGATAACACTAGACGTTTGACGCAGGATAAACTTGGTACCGATACTGAATTATTCAATGTTCCCACGAGTCTGTTACCACAGTACATCAGTACAGATTTCTTTAAACACCATTCTAAGCATCATCATCCGAAAAGAGTCAAGATCAGTAGTCATAACTATAAATATGACATTATTTATGATAACAAGAATAAATACAGTGGCAAACGCGATGTGAGATTTCCTTGTGAGTATATATCTACTGTCTTGATTAGCCAAAAATAGTTTAAGCTTTGTAAACACATATTTATCATCTAGACTTCACACTACACCAAAAGGGAAATCAATTCATAATATTCTTTGCCTTCTATAAAGTAATCTAAATACACAATGGTGTCGATTCTGGCATGATTCTACTCAAAACTTTTAACATCAGTCTCTCTTTTTCATTCTGTATAGAGAATTAAGCGGATGGAATGTTGTCAAATTTAAGTTTAGGTTTAGAGAATCATGCCAGAATCGACACCAATGTGACACTACATAAATACTTGGAATTGGCCTTTTTCGGAATTCACTTCTATCGTAGTCAAAGTTCCTTTAAGTAACGAAACAACAATATAATCATGTTTATTAGACATGTTTATATTCTCATGTTTATTAGACACTACTCTCATGTTTATTAGACATTGGTATCGATTCTGTCGTGATTCTTTAAACTTAAAACTTAATTTAACATGAGTCTCTCCTTTTCATTCTGTATAGAGAATGACAGGAATGCATTGTTATCATATTTAAGTTTAGCTTTAGAGAATCATGCCAGAATCGACATCACTATGTGAGATAAATAATAGTGGAAATTACCTAGGCAATTGTTCAAACTTAATGTTATATTTTTATGAGAAAATTAATGCTGTTATTTCCGTAAAAATAAATAAATAAATAAAGAAAAATTCTGCTTCAAAACAGTCAATCTTTTATATTCTAAGCAAACTTCAGAACGCCAATGAACATATAATATGAAAATAGTTATGAATGTAAGAAGCGAATGATGTATGTAAGTTACGTGCTTTGTGTGTGGTGCTCTGTTTTACCTACCGCGCTATGGACACGTACATATTGTGTAAGTGTTAAATATCCTCTTTCACCCCCTTTTTTAATAAACTAAGACTACGCTTGGATTTGTTACTCCATGTTTTGTCTCTGTCTATTGAATGACAAATGGCATTTTAGTGACATGAACGAAACACAGCCTAACTAATCTAAGCTTCATCATCATCAGCCTTTTAATGGGCCCACTGCTGAGGCACAGGCCTTCCCTACGGATGAAATAGGGAAAGGACAATGGGCAAAACACACCCAGCACCGCCAACAATGTAATTAGTATGAATCGATAGATCTATGAAAAACTAGCTTTTTTTATTATGACACCGTAAAAAAATATCCTGGGAGTCAAAAGATATGACACCTTAAAAAATATCCTGGTAGTCAAAAGATATGACTTGATTGATTTTTATCTAACACGCCTTGGGACATTGGAACACGATTATCGGTTTTGTCAATTAGTATGGATGAACTGGAATCATGTTTTCTCCGAAGCGTGGACAAGTATGGGTGATTTGCGTCGCTCCATTTTACAAAGAAGACAATTTACTGTAACGAACAGAATGTTTGAAAAAACCCCAACCCATGGGGGGATTTATGGATTTACTCTAGCGCGGCAGTATAACATAAGGGGCACCCTTGAACCTTGTGAAGTACTCCCATAATACCTGAGCCCCCTATGTAGTGTCAAACTAACTAAATTAATTCCCTTGTTTCATTAATGTTCGTTTGTTATAGTACTTCTGCCTATTTAACTTAAAATAACTAAAGGCTCCCGGGATGGAATTTGATGCGCTTTGGCACAGATGATCATTACTATAATACCTTTCAAACAAATATAGTTTAAGCCGTGGCGGACTTGGGTGCAGCGTCCATACATTTTTGCCCAATGTCCTTTAAACGAGATTTTACAGTTTTCAGTTTAAGTTTATTCCTTGTTTATTAATAAGGTTGTCAATGTTTAAGATGCTACCACAACCGAACCTTCAGCTGAGACTCAATTGATTGAACCCAAAAACAACAGTGAGTAAGTTATTCTGCTCTCTTCTCTATCTTTTCTTACTTGCTACAAATAGATAAACATATTTCATCAGTACATAGAACTGAAAGCCACGAGGCAAATCACCCAAAAGTCTAAAGAAATTTTTACTAGAGATTCCACGCGGTCCAGAAAGTAGACGAGACTTATCCGAAACTGTTAAATTTATCCAAATGACTTTAGATTTTTAAATTGGGAAAATTTTACTGTTTGTGTTATTTTAAAATATGGCTGTTTATGCAGAACCTACACATTTTGTCTTTTGTCACAGTCTATAAAGTTTTTATTATTTAATTAACCTTTTGAAAAGTTCGGAACTTCAACACATCTCATTAAAAAATAAAGAGTACCGTTCTGACTATATCTTCTTTCTGTTTAGTGATTGTATAAATACTTTTCGGTTGTACTTTTTTCGTAAATGAATAACCATAGACCGTACCTACTTGCTTGGGAAATTCTTTAAACATGATAATTTTAACCTCTCAATAATTCAAATAGGCACTTGTGATATAGTATATCACTATAAGCTTATCCAGTAGTATATACCCCCACAAAAAAAACGTTCATTTGCATATTATTTTTGATTCTTAAAATCAGACCTGGTGGAAAGCTCATCTGCTACGTGGACAGCTTGGGTTAGATTCACAGCCGAGGAAGGACTTTTATTTTATTTTAATTTTTCAATATCCTGAGTACCATCAATTTCTGAATAATCTTCAGTTAAATACCTACATGCGAACCAAAAAACATTTGAGGCGATGTAAAACACTGTATAAGCTTCCCTTGCGTCGTTGTTTCTTAAAACTACACTAATTTCTTCAACAGCTAGTTTCTGACTCTTCACTTAGTATTGAAACACACATTGAATTTGCAATTAGGTACTAATGGTTCACTAGATTTTAGAATTGCAGAGCGAGCAGAAGCCTTATCCATTCAATCCGTGAACCCAACAGAGCCATCGAAATTATTAGAATCGTAAAGGCTGTTGAGGCAGTAGAAAATTTCACCAGACCTAATGTAATTATTCATATTGATCTGCCGACGTACTATGACCCTTACACTGGTCCCACTGAACCTATATGGACTGGAAAACCAAAAAGTGTTTGGAATGATATTGTTTTAAAATACCTTTCTGGTCTAGCTCTACTTGAGCTTTTGCACAAGTTTGGTATACTAAAGATAGAAGATGGTGCGTTAAATTTCACGGATGGAGTGGATAATGCGGTTAACGCTAGCTAAGTTTTTAGTAGTCCTGAAACTATTGGAAGCGGATGGGACATAAAATTCGCAATGAAGAAACGAGAAATTGATCAAGGTGAGAATAGATTTTTTTTACTTGTACTGCCTCATTAGGCAAATCTGACATTTTGCGTCAATCCTAATGTTCAGATGCAAGCCTATTATAAATATATCTGTTTTTTAGTACATTACGTATTTCAACGGGTATGAGGTCTTTACAGTACCTACACATTTTGCTTTATGTCTCAATCTCCAAAATATTAAATTTATTTTTAAACTCTTGAAAGTTCTAAACTCTATTAACCTAAATGTAGTGTCCATTTCAAAATGGGGTGTATCGTTCTGCCACTCTCTTCTTTCTCTTTAATAACACACTGCTACATTAATAATAACCAACTAGCAATAGAACTGGGACGCATTATCGCAATACCGCATACGATATTATCCACCAACCAAAACGCGCATATGGGGTTGATATCGAATTCGTCACCATCGACCTATTCATGTCCGCATTGCTTCCTTATGGAATAATAGGGATAACGGGCCATGACCCACTACATGAAAAAAGATTATAGAACCGCCCCTCACAGCCTAGGGTAAATAAAAAGGGTCAAATACGCCATATAAATAATTATTATTGTGTACTAACGAATGCAGAAGCAGCCGAGACTATAGGTAGACCACTTAACTGAGTCCTCGCTTGCGGGCTCCTTTACCCTGGAAGCGAAGACTCAGTTAGGCGACGAGACACATTCTTGTCAAAATTACAAGTGCCCGCCGCCCGCACCTCTCACGGCCCCCGTTGTCGTCCTCCCCCACACCCTGTACCCCGCAGGCGAGGTCTCAGTTAAGCGGTTTACCAATAAAGGTTTCTAAATACCTTCCGAAGGACGCAGGTTAAGTGAATTTGTGCTTATCTTCATAACATAGGAGTGTACCCAGTGACCTAGATTTGGCATTTGGCAATAAGCAATGCCTTAGTACAAGCAAAAGTAAAAAGAAAAATTAAAAAAACGGAAAATATCTTCGACATTCAATTCCCGTAATGAAAGGTCTATCCATACTTATATTTAAATGCGAAAGTGTCTGTCTATTACCACTTCACGCTATAACGACTGAACCGATTTACTCGAAATTTGGTATAGATATAGTTTGATTCTCGAGAAAGGACATGGGATAGTTTTTATCTCAGAAATCATCTTTTAAGGGGGTGAAAACGGAGGTTAAAGTTTGTGTCGGAAACCAATTTTTCCACGCAGACTAAATCGTGGACAAGCACTCTAGTCTACAAAACCACATTCTAGTTTACAACATCTCCGAGTTTATACGGATCTCTCTTCGCGTGCATAACATTATCGTCAACCATTTCAGGGACTACACAATTTGAAACGCAAAAATCAATGGAATCCGAAGATGACGTTGTTTCATTGTCACCGAATTGGAGGGAGAAGAGAAGGCTGAAAATATTGTCACGTACGTGTATTCAAATCTTAACTTCCTAACTACTAATGTTTTTATTGCGAAAGTGTGTTTGTTTGTTACGGTTTCACGCAAACAGTACTGGACGGATTTGGATGAAATTTGGTACGCATATAGTATGACCTGGATTGAGACAAATGAGTCGTATAGTATCAAAGGCGGCAAAGTAGGGCGACCTAAATATTTGGCAAATCAAAAAAAAACTGTTTAGTCTCGTCTTTAAGGGAGGATTTTTATAATTGACATTTCACTGCGATTTGTAGTTATGATGAATATCAATGAACATAAAATCATTGCGCAAAAACTTAAGACAAAAATGTATAGAACTGCACTTTCTGCCATCTTGCGACACTACTGCAGAAACTCTTCTGATTGGTTGAAATTAAAATAAGGCCGGTTATGATTGCGAGATGAGAAAGATTGCCACCTTTGAAACCAAATTGTGTTTTCAATCAAGTTTTTAGGGGTATTATGTTCATCTGTGATCCTGAATGAGAGATATTTAAGATTTGTTTTTATATTTCCTGTGTTACCATACTCGTATCTCATTTTTTAAAATCTACCTACATTGCCACCTTTGATACTATACGACTCATATAGACGCTTTATCCCAGAAATTGTAAGGGGATTTTCAAAAAACTGAAGTTCACGTGGACCTTGTCATGGTCGGCCGCTAATAATATCATAATTAAACACCAAATATGAGTTTTATAGCTATTAACGGGATTGTTACCATGTACCTTGTTTTTTATGAGTTTCCGATATTTCGCCACTGTTGCAAGCGCCATGATGATGAGTATTGTGTGTCGGGAATAGTGAGAATGTGACCAGTGGTAATTTATTGAGCGCAGTAAAAGACGACGTCAGAGGGTAGACCGGTATGTCTGCCAAAAATCTACCCGCAATTACTTCAGTTACTCCGTGATTATGGCGCTTGCAACAGTGCCAAAATATCGGAGATTTAAAAATCAAGGTATATATGATAACAATCCCGTTAATAGCTATGTTAATGTTAGTGACCATGAAAGTTTTAAACAATACACCAAATGTAAGATTAGATTTTATTCACTTATTTATCTTTACTAACAGTATATACTTTCTTGAACAGATATAAAGGGTAAATTGAAACATTTACTCCACAAAACATCAAAAAGTGACGATAAATCGGTGACAACGGCAACACGGACAATGACGTCAGGTAATGCAAACAAATTCAAAAATATATAATCTATAGAAAAGTTTACTAGAAAAAACTTTTCTTTTAGATTTAAACATCTAGCAGTTAAATGCTTAAAAAATAGAAAATGTAACTATAATTACCATTTATTCTTTCGAATGTTTAATACTTGTAAAGATATTCATTTTAAATTGTGGGTTACTTACAATGAGAAGAGATGGCGCAGCCTTGCGGCTTAAGAAACACTAGCGAGAATAGGACACGACCATCAGGGCCACGGTATTATAATGCTGACCATACGTTCGGATAGCGAAGGGTGCGTGTTCGAGTCCCGTCTTCTGCCTGGTTCGCGTGGAATTTTTTCTAGTAAACTTTTCTGAAGATATAAACATCTAGCAGTTAAATGCTTAAAAAATAAAAATGTAATATATAATCTATAATTTGTTTATTATTTGCACTTTGTGATGGCACCTACGGGATTTTACTTATCATGGGGCTCAAAACGCACTATATTTGGTCATTTGTTTTTCGCTTGTGGGAATATTCAGTACACTTGGGTGGATCAACAGAACATTTTTTTTTTATAGAAAGATCAGACAAATGGCTCCACCCCACCTGATGTTAAGTAACGGTGAAATCCAGGCGTGAAGATAGCTGGTACAACAGTTCTACCTGCCACACCAGCCATCCTCACTCTGCCGGCCTGCATGTTGCTTCTTCACGCCTCTTTTAAAAGATCCCAGGTCGTAAGAAGGGAACACGTGAGCGGGCAGAGCAATTCATTTACGGATAGTGCGACAAAGAAATGAGTCGCCAAACTTTGTACGCGTTGAAATTGTGACCACAGTTAGACGGTGACACCGAAGGCCAGCGCGCGTGGTCCTCTGAAGGAAAGGGGAAGGTGGAATAAGAGAGAATAACTCCTCAGAACACTCGCCGTGGTACAGACGATAGAACTAATAAATAATCTAATGATTTTATTGCAGCATCTTCAACTGAAAAATTGACGACTGACAAAGCGAAGAGAGAGCAACAATACGATACATGGAATCATGGTTTGATATCAGAAAACAATGGTCCAGTGAATTACAACTTGGACTTCGATAAATTTGTAATGGAACGGGTGAGAGCTCTAACAGTCTTATAATATCACTAGCGGCCCGCCCTCGCTTCGCTTCGGTGTAGAGCTGAAGTGTAGACTACAGTTTTTGTTCTCAGGCTTGTATTATACACAGTGACATTCATTTATGATTCTTCTTATACCTGCATGCAAAGTCTCAGCCCGATCGGTTTAAAATTGACAAAGTTTCATACAAACTTTCATTCCCCGATTTTATCCTTTTGGGTGTTGAATTGATCAAAATCCTTCCTCTTAGCGGATGCCTACGTCATAACATCTACCTGCATGCCAAATTTCAGCCCGATCCGTCCAGTGGTTTGGGCTGTGCGTTGATAGATCACTATGTCAGTCAGTCAGTCACCTTTGAGTTTTATAAATATAGATAGTGGCCCGCCCTCGCTTCGCTTCGATGTAGAACTGTAGTTTAGACTGTAGTTTTTACCCGGCTGCGCAATGCAAGAGCGCGAAGCGCGACGCGCAGACAGGGTTATGTGTTTAACAGTCTATATATGTATGTTTGTTCCTTTGTGGCACACTAAAGACCAAACGCCTGGACCGATTTTGATGATTCATACATCGATCGATTCGTCTCAATCATGGGAGTGCTACTAAAGATATAATAGTAATCAAAATTCAATATGGGCAAAATTAGGCGCCATATTGTGACGAAGTAAAAAAAATAAGTTGACAAAATATGTCGAGTGGGGTACCACTGTCTAGATAATCAAAAATCATATTTAGGTTCGTAACACCATTTTTCATTTAATATGATTCTTTAGGAGCTACAACGCTTTAAAGTTGTATATTAACCACTTACGCTTTTAATTTCAATCTTACGTTTGTATGGATCTTTGTTACTCTTTCACCTAAAAAATACTAAATGGATTTTAATGAAACTTAACAGTAATATAGCTCATATATGATAATTACATATATATAATAACTTATGTAGTTATTGAGTGAATTGGCCAATATGTAACAATAAGTGTCACATAAGACGGAAAAAAATCTCCCATCTGCGAGCCATTTTGGCCTGCACTGCAAAAACAATAAAAGTTACATGAATATAATGTAGAGTGAAATTGTATCTCCTAAATAGTTCTAAAAAAAAGTCCGTGACACCATATATCTATTTTTAATGTGTAAGTCATTACCGCTAAAATAGTGAATCAAAACTAAAATATTATTTGATATCTATTTCCAAAATGCACATTTTGTATTAACAAATCATTTTTTATCAAAACAAATACTTTTATCGCTTTTGATATTTAAAGACAATAAACTTTGCTTTTTACACTATGTCATTTCGACAAGTATTTAAAAAGTTACAACAATGACAAAGTGATAGCGCGGTGTACTATGTAAAAGAAAAAAATGGGCTATTCGCAGTATCTGATCCTATACGAAGCACTAACAATAAAACTGTGATACAGTTCCTTCTTATTAAATGATGAAAAATATATTATCATAATAGGTATTTATGATTATTGAATTTTAATGAAAAACTCAGAATTTTACTGTTTTTCATTTTTTTAACGATATTACTTAATGTTACAAAAAAGGTTTACTATAATGACAAATAACCCATTTTTCGCTAGTAAGTACATACTTATTGGAATCCCTGTATTTATTAATCAGCTCGCGATAATATTGGTTTTGTAATAATTCTGCAAAATTCAAAGTAAATAATGTAGATTTTTATAGGTAAATCACCCCTTTCATCACCCTATGCTTATAAGTAATGCGATGTTGTAGCTAAGAACCAAGTTCCCATCTACTTCTATATGGGAATTCATTACATTCGATTTAGCTATTAGGGCACGGAAGCGCAACAAACAAACTCACATTCACATCTATAATATTATATTATACTTACTAGTGATCCATCCGGGCATTGTATGTGCGAAATTTATTTATCGGGATAAAATATAGCCTATGTCACTCGGACAAATTGTATTTAAATAAAGAAAAATGTAATAATAAATAATGTAGCTTCCTTATGATGAATTAATATTTGAAACCGGTTCAGTAGTTCGACAGATTATTTGTTACAAACATACAAATCTTGCCTCTTTATAATATTAGTATAGATAGTTAGGATAAGATAAGTATTTAATTGATGAAAAAGATTTAAAAATAAAGTAAGTAATAGGTTCATTTGACTATATTTGTAAAAGTTACTTAGCATTTGTGCTTAACAGTGATACGTAATTCGGTATTTTTTTAAACAAAAAAAAATTGGAAAATAATTGCCATGATTGCCCTACTGGGAGTACTCTTCATTCGAGCTTTACACTACCAATAAAATAGGGTCGATCACAAAGTCTTTGACCTGTTATATGTGAACGCTTTAAAAGAAAACTACAAAGAGAACTATAAATTGATAACAAATGAGATTGCTATGGTGCTCTGCCTAACGTTATGAAAATTTTATTATGCTCCTTTAGTTTAATCAAATATTATAAACTTTGCTTTGGTGATTGCATAATTATTTAATTTAGTGATCTAAGGCAGTTGCCACCATTGTCCAAAACAACAAACGGGAATTACTGCTTTCTTCAACCTGCGACATAAACGTCATTGATTGGTATTGTATATAGGGTGATTAAAAACATTTGAAGTTAACTTCTGGTATCTACATATTGGGTTTCTGTGAATTATGTAGGTATATCAAATTATGAGACTAGGGACTGACACTGCATTTGTGTATATCACAATCTTAGACGTCCGGCATTGACATGACAATGCAGCCACTACCAATTTTGAATAGTCGACGAATAAAAGTAAATGAATTTTATATTTACTGCTAAACTATTAAAAAAAACATAAACAAAAGATGACTTTTTGAGTAAGTTCTAGTTTACTATAAAATTTACATACATTAGAGATATTTACGTAACGACTTGATTTAACTTCACACATTTTTGCGAAAATTGAGGCCCATCTGTAGCCTTGACCCCGCTGGTAAAGTCTCTATATGTCTTAGTAAATCAATATTTTAGACCGACGCAAGGTACTTAATAATTCCCGCGATATTAATTCCCTTACTGAAGTAACAAGACTACGGTATATACCGTCTTAAAATACTAACTAACTAAAAAGTGTGAAATAAAAAAGGTAAATTAAAAAAATCAAAAAACCCGACTGCTTAATTATACTTCAAATAAAAACTGAAAAGAAAATACAAGTCCAGTAGTCTGTAATTCTGTTAATAAGGAATAAAGCTACTTTAACAGTCGGGACCCATTGTTGAAAAATATTATGTATTCTTGAATATCTAATGGGTCCCGACTGTTAAAGTAGCTTTATTCCTTATTAACAGAATTACAGACTACTGGACTTGTTTTTTCTTTTCAGTTTTTATTTGAAGTATAATTAAGCAGTCGGGTTTTTTGATTTTTTTAATTTATTGTTCTCAGGTTTCTATTATACACAATGACTTTCTTTAAATACCTAATTACTAAAGGCACGCGCCGGCGCCGGCACCCCGGCCAGCACCGCCCGAAAACATTCATTTAAATTACATGCTTAAAAAGGGCCATATTCATCTACTTAAGGTACTTAATTAGATAAGGATTAATGATTAATAACCTTCTTCTTAAATCACTCTATCTATTAAAAAAAAACCGCATCAAAATCCGACACGTAGTTTTAAAGATCTAAGCATACATAGGGACATAGGTTCAGACAGCGGGAAGCGACTTTGCTTTATACTATACTAAATAGTGACTAGCTGAACTTCGTACCGCCATAAAAATAGGGGTTGGTGATAGAAGGGTGAAAATTTCTATTGTCACGTGACCCAAAACGCTTGGAATTGGCGGAGCCTAAAATGACGTCCCACGCATGTAAACTTCCGTTCAAAGTGACATGTATTGTATCGTTTGACGTTTTAATAACAGTCGTGTGACGTCACACACTAGTAAGACGCCATATTGTCCAGAAAAACGTTTTCGCGGCAACTTGAAAATGGAGTTTTTGATTTGGTTATTTTTACGGAAATACACAACAGAATGATGAATATCCACTTTTTACGGACTCCATAAACATTAGTCAATAACGTGAGATCGTTTTCTAAAACTTGTCAAATACCCTATTGTCCTCAATAAAATCATAGATCTCGTGCTCTACGCGACTTGAAAGGGCATTGAAAATGAATCTACCTTTTAAAGATTATTCAAAATTTAAGCAACTGCCAAAATAATTTTTCATCATCTTTAATCCCTTCAAATTCCGCGTCTCTTGAGCTCTTATACGTCTTCGTGGCTTTAAACCTCGGTATATCATGGGCGAGTCGTACTTTCAGCGAAAATGGGGGTCTACTGGGGGCCATTCGCCTAACGGAAATGCTTTGGTAATCGCCGCTAACGGTTTCGATTTTATTTTGTTATTACTGACCGCCGAAGGTTTTCGAATACCTCACGCTCATTTATTTTAATATTGTTATTACCAATCAATGCAAAAGAAAAAAAAAAGAGCGCGAGGCATTTGAAAACCTCAGGCGACTAGAAATAACAAAATGAAATCGTAAGCGTTAGCGTTTTCCATAGCATTACCGTTAGGCGAATGGCCCCCTGGAGCGAACGAAATACATTTTCAATGTTAAAAAATTTAATTAGTCAATACATAAACATATTTTATGTTCACAAATCCCTTGTTTCAGGTAAAATCTAGTATCGAGCCTGTTGCTACAGTCGTTTTGACTGACGCTGATGAGAAAATAATTACTCCCAGGAATAAGATCGATTCAGTAAATAGCCAAAACGTTGAGCAGGTAAACATTCCAGAAGACGCTAGAAATACGCTAATATATAATAATAGACGCTAGAGTATTGTAGTAGTAATATTTATACACAACTCAAAAATTCAAGGCAACACGCATCATTTACAAAAACCGTCATGTTTTTGGCTCAAATCGACGCGTATATATGTTTCTTTTATGTATGACCACGCATAACCTTTGCAAAGTAGACCGTTTTTGATTATTCTTTCTTTATTGGAAAGGGTACCCCGAAACTAGTCCCATATAAATTTGGAAAAAAAAATCCAAACCTAAGGGTATGAAAACAGGGGATGAGTGATTGTTCACTCACAAATCACAATTTGTGAGTGAACAATCAATTTATTTGTCGGGTTGTTATGGTTGTATATTAAAAATTCTAATTATATAGCTACAAAAATTGTAAATTATAATTTGGAAAATCCAAAAGTGCACGTCTCACATTCACGAAACAGAAACCCAGCAAATAAATTCCATTGAATTTCATTAATATCTTTAAAACGGTTATCAGTTCAATCATGATAAGAAATAGGGTTATGATTTTATTTATTTTTTAAGCATTTAACTGCTAGATGTTTAAATCTAAAGAAATAGGGTTCATCCTCAGTATAAGTGGAAATTAATTCAAAAGGACTTATTACAATTAATTGCGTATATTTTTTTTAAAATGTGCAGACAACGGACAGCAGTACTAATAATTTTTTAACTACATTTTTTTGTTATAATATACTAAAAAAAAAAAATTAAAAAATACGCTGACTTTATAATTTGCCGGGAGGACTGCATCGACCCGTCGGCCAGGGAGACCCGTAGAAACGGCTGTCCCGCTGGCCGCCCGTGGCACAGTACCGGGGCCCGAGCGTTCCTAACCAGTTCGCGAGGCTGCCCCATCATGTCACGCATAATCTCGGGGTGGACCGTCGTGCCGGTTGGTGACCGGGGCGTGGGGTCCCGGCGGCCACTCCCGGGGGGGTGCGGGGGCCCTTCCGTCCGGCGGGTCGGCGCATCTCCACTGCAGGCAGTCAATCGGGAAGACAAACCCCCCTTATTTGCCCGGACTCTTCGCGACGGCGTCCGCTCGTTTTCGCGTCTCTTTTTTTTTCACTTCCACCATGGCAGCCTCAATAACAAAGTTTGGACGTACAGCGGTGCACACCCCCACGCCTTCAACGCTGTTTGAGGTCGAGTTCGGCAACATACGCGGACTCCACTCTAACCTCAACGCTGTCCACCACCATCTCGAGACAGCACGGCCAGCATTGTTGTTCCTGACGGAGACACAAATACTTCCGCCTGCTGACACAGGCTACCTTAATTATCCCGGCTACGTGCTTGAAGAGTCCTTCAAAGCGAAAGCCGGTGTATGCCTGTATGTTCGGGCGGATGTTTGTTGTCGCCGTCTCCGCTGCTTGGAAGATCCCTCCTTCTCCATGCTGGGGGTACACGTCGACTCTGGCCCCCGGGCCAGAGTCTACGTGTGCCTCTACAGATCCCACACCGGCGATGTTGAGACAACTCGACTTTTTGAACACCTTAGTCGGGCAGCAGATGACGCGCAGGAGCGATTTCCCAATGCAGAATTGGTGTTTTTTGGGGGACTTTAATGCTCACTACAATTTGTGATTAAGTTCTTCCAAAACTAACCATGCAGGGATCTCTGCTCACACATTCGCTCTCACGCATGACTTGAAGCAACTGGTTGATCAGCCCACCAGGATCCCAGATATTCCAAGTCAAGCGCCTTCTTTACTGGACCTTCTGCTTACGACCCATCCACAGGGCTATCAGGTTGTGGTAAGAGCCCCCCTGGGCTCGTCCGACCACTGCCTGATATCTGCCAAAGCACCACAGGCCAAGCCTCCGCGTCCAGCAGTGGTCAAGCGCCGTATCTGGCATTATGGGTCGGCAGATTGGGACGGTATGCGTGATTACTTTGCGTCCGTCCCTTGGAAGCAGCGCTGCTTCAGTGACAGGGACCTATCGGGCAGTGCCGTTGCCATTACTGAGGAGATCATAATGGGTATGGAATACTATATTCCTCATTCTGATCTCATCAGTAAGGGCACACGTAACCTCTGGTTCAATCACGACTGTGCTGAAGCTGCTTCGCATAAGCAAGCGGCATATCGTGCTTGGATCAGAGGCCGCGCTCTCAAGGATCCCGGGGTCGATTCACTCAAAGCAGCCTACAATTCTGCTTCCAAGGCCTGTAAGAAGGCTTACATCAGAGCGGATGCCCAGCGTGTTGCACGTGTTGGCCAGGAACTTATAACGCATCCTGCGGGCTCCCGTAGCTACTGGCGTTTGGCCAAGGCCGTGCAAAAAAACTTCTGCCAGCCCTCGCTGCCACCTCTGAGATGCCCAGACGGAACACTAGCTCATAAGCCGCAGGAGAAAGCCGATTTACTGGCAAAACTCTTTGCGGCTAACTCCCGAATCGATGATTGCAATGCACTGCCACCATCATTTCCTCACTGTGGCACAACGATGCCTGATATTAAAATCAGGCAGCGTGAGGTTCGTGCCGAATTGCAATCACTCGACGTCCGGAAAGCTAGTGGACCTGATGGCATCCCAGCAGTAGTACTTAAAAAATGTGCAGCGGAGTTGTCTCCCGTGCTCACGCGCTTGTACCAATGCTCGTATTCTTTGGGGCGTGTGCCGGAGACTTGGAGAGATGCTAACGTGCAACCGGTGCCCAAAAAAGGGGATCGCTCAGACCCGGCAAACTATCGGCCAATAGCAGTCACCTCAGTTTTATGTAAAGTTCTAGAAAAGGTCCTTAATAACCATCTGACCCGCTACCTAGAGGATCACTCCCTGATTAATGATCGTCAATATGGATTTAGACCGAAACGATCGACGGGTGATCTTCTAGCGTACTTAACTCATATCTGGGGTGAGGCTATCGACAAGCGTGGCGAGTCGTTGGCTATCAGCCTTGACATTGCCAAGGCGTTCGACAGGGTCTGGTACAAAAGCCTTCTCTCCAAGCTTCCGGCATACGGTCTGCCAGCCCAGTTCTGTTCTTGGGTAGCTGACTTCCTGCATGAGCGTAGAATTCGTGTCCTTACGGATGGTAGCAGTTCGCGGTTCATGTCAGTGAATGCCGGCGTTCCCCAGGGCTCCGTCCTATCCCCCACTCTCTTTCTGCTGCATATCAATGACTTGATTCCTCTTGGAAATATTCATTGCTATGCAGACGATAGTACAGTGCATGCGGGGTATCTCGGACAAGCAGCGGCTGGGCAGGCAGTAACCAGGGAGAAACGGGAAAATCTTGTCATTGAACTCAATCAGGCTTTGGACCACATTTCCGAATGGGGTACCAGGAACTTGGTTGAGTTCAATGCCAAGAAAACGCAGGCTTGCGCTTTCACGGCAAAAACATCGCCATTCCTTCCCCTTCCATCTCTTCAGGGCACAACACTACCGCTGCAGAGCAACATTTCCATGCTCGGTATGGAAGTTCGCTCAGACCTGAATCCAAAGGACTACATCGAAACCGTGATCAAAACAGCTTCACGCAAACTCGGAGTCCTGAACAAGGTGCGGCGTTTTTTCACGCCCGATCAACTGTGCTTGTTGTACAAAACGCAAGTGCGGTCCTGCGTGGAATATTGCTCGCACCTCTGGGATGGCTCCGCCAAGTACTTGCTCGATGCTTTGGATAGGTTACAGCGGCGCGCAATAAGCATCATAGGTGATGAGGAGGTGTCTAAACACCTCGAGCCTCTTCAATTACGCCGTGACGTGGCGTCACTAAGCGCGTTCTATCGTCTGTACCACGGCGAGTGTTCTGAGGAGTTATTCTCTCTTATTCCACCTTCCCCTTTCCTTCAGAGGACCACGCGCGCTGGCTTACGTTGTCACCGTCTTACTGTGGCCACAATTCCAACGCGTACAAAGAAATTTGGTGACTCATTTCTTTGTCGCACTATTCGTAAATGGAATGCTCTGCCCGCTCACGTGTTCCCTCCCTCTTACAACCTGGGATCCTTTAAAAGAGGCGTGAAGAAGCAACATGCAGGCCGGCAGGGTGAGGATGGCTGGTGTGGCAGGTAGAACTGCTGTATCAGCTATCTTCGCGTCTGGACTTCACCTTCACTTAACATCAGGTGGGGTGGAGTCATTTGTCGGACCTAACTATAAAAAAAAAAAAAAAAAAAAAAAATAATGTCTACTTTTCAAAAGACCCTTTTTATTGATTTAGTGTCTAACTTGGGAGATAAAAGCGATTTTATATTGTAAAATCGTCATATAGCGGCCTTTCGAGAGTAAAGCACTCCCACACGCTTACGCGTTGTGCGGCGTGCAAAAACTTTAAACGAAAAATTGAACCGCGAAAAGTAAAAACGTTACTAACCTTTTTTTATCTTTAGTCGAATTAATATTTGTAGCCTTTTTTGATGAGTATATTTTTTTAAGAATTTAACTGCAAGATGTTTAAATCTAAAGAAATTTTTATTAGAAAATGATGTGGTGTCGTGGGACACCAGGTAGGAACGAAGTTCCTTCGGCTAACAAAGCAAAATCCCTATCCCCTTTAGGCCTGCCGTAAAGAACTGCGACTGTCGCGCCTGCGCACGTCTCATTTAACGGTTTTATACCACGCACTTTTTTCCACGGATTTTTTCTTACGGTTTTACTATCATATTTTTTTCAGTTCGGTTGCGCAGCAAAATCCCTATCCCCTCCAAGACTGCCGTAAGGAACTTCGTTCCAAAAAAAATTGTGAGCACGGAGCACACATCTGAAGTGAAACTTCTTTCTTCAATAACCTAACATTATTCGGTGCATAAGGCATACGGGAATGGAGCAGCGCACGCATCACTCATATATACGAGTATGTATACATATATATATATATACAGGGTGTCCCGTAAGTAATGGTCCAACCGTAAACCCTAGGTAGTTCACTTGATTGCCTACAACTAATTTGAACCGTTTTTTGAAATTCATTAGGGTTGCCAAAAAAAATGATAAAATTTTTTTTTTTTCAATATTTCTGTCTTGAATTGGTTTTTTTAATGGCATTGACGCAAATATTAAAAATTTTCAATTTTTTTTTCGCTAAAATGAAGCTAGATAGATTGACTATCAACTTGTTTATCACATTTGCATAATGACATTGTATTTCTCTCAAAAATATTGAAGTAACTTAACATTTTATTGTATTTTATTTGGATGACCTAAATTGAAAAGCTCCTAATGTAAAAAATGACACCAAAGTGTTCCATTATTTTAAAAACATGTGCATTAAGTAAGGTTTCAAAATTGGTATAAAACTTATGGTTAACTAGTAAAGTTGCAAACATAATACAATGAATCCGAAGAAGAGGCAAATATCTTAAAAAATATAATTAAATTTAATTAGTCTCTAGTTGTGCATTTTTTCATTATTAGGAATGTTTTAACGACGACACTACGCGCACAGTACACAAGATTAGTACTTTGATCATACTAGCCCTCGAATCGACGCACGCACACAGACAAATAATGTCATTTACACGGCCGCTAACCAATCTTGGCAAGACAAATCTACGCAGTGCCACGTCGCGCGCCGCCGAGACTGGTGTGAATTTGGACTTTACGAATTACCTATCGAATTTGGACTGTTTTTGTTTTTTATAGAGTTAACGACTTGGCGAGTCTATTGGACTCCGAAAATCTGTTTGTTTGGGGTTGTTGAATCTCCGAACTTTGCAATGCCTCGCAACGTGTACACACCTCGTGAATATGCTATGATGCATTACACTTATGGAGAAGCAAGAGGTAATGCCAGAAAAGCTGCAAGATTGTACCGAGAAAGGTACCCGAATTTGCGTCACCCTGACCACCGAATTTTTGCTTAGAGTGCATAACTCGCTACTTGATGGAAGGATTCTTGGTACTGGAGTTGGTGTCGGTGAAGGAAGACCACAGCAAGTCAAAGACGAAATAATTTTGCAACAAGTACAAGAAGATGCATCAACGTCAGTTCGAACTATAGCACGACGTTCTGGAATACCTAGAGCATCGGTGCACAGGGTTTTAAAATGATACCGTTTGCACCCGTACCATCTACAACGTGTACAAGGAGGAGCAGAATGTGCATAGCTGTAGGCGGAAGGCAATTTGAGCATTTATTATAAAATTATAACGGTTTATTGCTTTTATTTCTAAAGACCTTATTTTACCCGTCGTTTACACAAATAAGTGCCATAAAAGCTAATATCAGTATAATCATCATGTTGATTAACGTAAATACATTCCTAATAATGTGAAATAAAACAACTAAATACTAATTTAATTAATTTAGTTTTTTTTAGATATTCGCCTCTTCTTCGGATTCATTGTATTATGTTTGCAACTTTACTAGTTAACCATGAGTTTTATACCAATTTTGAAACCTTACTTAATGCACATGTTTTTAAAATAATGGAACACTTTGGTGTCATACTTTTTTTTACATTGAGCTTTTCAATTTAGGTCATCCAAATAAAATGCAATAAAATGTTAAGTTACTTCAATATTTTTGAGAGAAATACAATGTCATTATGCAAATGTGATAAACAAGTTGATAGGAAATCAATCTAGCTACATATTAGTGAAAAAAAGTTTGAAAATTTTTAATATTTGCATCAATGCTATTAAAAAAACCAATTCAAGACAGAAATATTGAAAAAAAAAAAAACTTTTATCATTTTTTTTGGCAACCCTAATGAATTTCAAAAAACGGTTCAAATTAGTTGTAGGCAATTGAGTGAACTACCTAGGGTTTACGGTTGGACCATTACTTACGGGACACCCTGTATAGCTGTGACGCTCGTGACGCATTTCCGTTTCATCTTTTCCATTAGCATTTTTCCATTTACACCCCGTCTGAAAAGAAGTTTTGCTTCAAAAACCATTATAAAGTCTTATGTTTTTATATTTTAGCAGTTAAAACTGCTAGATGTTTAAATCTAAAGAAAAGTTTACTAGAAAAAAGATCCTCGCGGACTAGGCAGCGGACGGGACTCTGCACTGCGGGACTTCGCAATCCGGGCGAATGCATTGAAACACTATAAAGTTTTCTTTTTTTATCGCTCGCCTGATGTGTAGTGGCCACGAGAGTCTATAGATGCTTGCGGTACCAAAGACATCACTCGCACCTACTCTGACTCAATCTCCTACTGCCGCCTACTCTGACTCAATCCCCTACTGCCGCCTACTCTGACTCAATCCCCTACTGCCGCCTACTCTGACTCAATCCCCTACTGCCGCCTACTCTTGACTCCATCCCCTACTGCCGCCTACTCTGACTCAATCCCCTACTGCCGCCTACTCTTGACTCAATCCCCTACTGCCGCCTACTCTTGACTCAATCCCCTACTGCCGCCTACTCTTGACTCCATCCCCTACTGCCACCTACTCTGACTCAATCCCCTACTGCCGCCTACTCTTGACTCAATTCCCTACTGCCGCCTACTCTTGACTCAATCCCCTACTGCCGCCTACTCTGACTCAATCCCCTACTGCCGCCTACTCTGACTCAATCCCCTATTCCATGGAGCCCTGAAACCCTACTCACCGACAAACACAACTTGGTATGGAATCTCACTCAAACATAACAGACTTACTGAAAAATATGCTAAATTATTGAGTCCTAATTAATTTTACAGGCAGCAAATGAGTCGACTATTATTCAGTTCACTTACAAACCTGAGCATAGCGTACCCGGCAGCGAAACACCGTACCCCGGAACTAAGCTAGAGAAACGAGATATCTCCCAAAAACATACAGCAAAAGACGTGGCGGCCATCGAAGTTATCATAGACTTGGTTAAAAATACTGCCAGTTTTGAGGACTCCGAATCTCTTCAACCCCATGAATATAAGAGCGTAGAATTACCGGTGACTAATATAAAATCACGCTCCACCACTCCAATCCATAATTCTGATACTAATGCCATTCAAGTCCACATTGCTATTCCGTACAATCTAGATATAAAACGATCCGTAGAACCAGCGAAAATTAGAAAAGTCTTTACGGCTAAAATGCTCAAGCCGGTCGATTTGGAGTACCAAGTGCACGCTTTCGAAGATACTAAACCTCTGGAAGCCAATGAAACTAATTCCGCAAGAATGTATCTTCTAGTTGACGCGAGCGGTACTTTAGGTAAAGGAGACTACGCCTTGAAACCTATTAAAGGTAATATAGATTTATCAAAAATCAAAATCAGACAAGCCGCAAGTAATAAAGTATTTGAACAAGATAAAAATTTGGATACCACAACTGCAGCTGCTAGTGCTAACAATTTGAGTAAAGTTACTCTCAGCAAAGATTTTGTTGCTGCTATAAACAAGCACTTGGTGCAACTTTATGAGAATCTGTCTTCTGTCAATCAGTCAGTGCTTAACCATAATGTTAAGATTAGAGAAGCAGAGGCAAACTCATCTGTCGGGCCGTCAGCAGGATCTGGCAATGAGTACAGGAGACACATTGATTGGGAAACAGTTAAAAATTATTTTGGACATGACAGAGTTTGCAATTGCAAGTGTAAAGCGAACCGGACCATGTGCAGAGCTTGCGCTGCAAGCGACGCCATAATTTCTGAACTCATATTCGAATTCGATAACTTAGCTAAATACATGTCGGACCATTGCACAGAAATACAAACTTTCTTCTGGATGAACCCCAGTGGGGGGAAAAAACTCAGAGATTCTGTGCACAGAGTGGATCAAAAGTTGCACGATTATTACAAAAGAGTCAAAGGAAAATGTCAAGGGCGCACATGCAAGACTTTTTCAACTTGTATCGACAAACGCAGTATCGCACAAGAAAATAAAATCCCGAAAAAATATGTTGGGAATGCTTTGGTCAGTGACATACAGAAGTTAGCTCGTGACATCGAAAAAGCAACGACTTATGGCATACATTGTAACGAAAACCTTATTGCTAAAGGAAATAAGTTGGTACATGCTATTACCAATTGCATTCAAAGCCCGCATTATCGTGGTAAATTAGAGTCAGTATCTTCAGCAAGGAAGTTTAAAAATGTTTATTCTCTAGATAATATAAATGTGAATATAATATGTAGCCCCAATGAGTCTTCGGAATCAGAATCTTCATCATTATCCACCACAACGACTGCTACATCAATGTCTACAAACTATTTTTATGTAGACACAATCCCGCTGAATTATGACTTTGACACAACGGAAGTGAAACGAAGAACACCAAAAGGATTAAGACGTCTATTTAATCGTCGCCATCCAAATAAGAAAAGAAAATTGAATGACCTTCGTCGTCATTACAGCAGCAACAGTAATGTAACTAAGAAACTAACCAATATTTCTCAAAAAGGAGACATTCAGATGTCTTTTCATGAAGTTTCCGATACAACCAATAAGTATGAAATGAATAATTTTCCAAAAAGGTTTATTAGAGAACCAAAAACAACTACAGCCCATTTAATTACTATCAAACCATCAATATCATCTCCAATAAATATTGAGCACATAAAAACACCATCATCAGTTATTTACTCTTTATCAAACTATGTTCATAAAAGGCAAACGAATGACACTGATAATCCCTCAATCGAAACATTGAGTTACAATATTAACGAGCTCTTTAAAATCTTCCACAACTTGTCGGATTTGGATGACGTGCAAAACTTGTCAACTGCAAGTATATTGGAGATGCACAAGAAAAACAAAACAACAACTAAAAAGCCTAAGAAAAAGATTAAAATCACAACGAAAATCAACAAAACGCTGAAACGATTGCAACATAAACATAAATCTCCAATTGGACATAAAATAAGTACACCAAATAAAGCTAAGAATAAGAATAGTGAGTTGATACCACAATCTAAAATTACCAAGATTTCAAATACCAGTTCTTGTGATATCTGTAAATCTACGACTGCAGCACCTAACGCGACTGAACCATTGAAATATCCATCATCTGAATCAGAAACGACTCTGTCCACATCTGAAACTGACAGCGCGAAATTAAAAACCACAACAACAAAATCGCTACCAGAAATTGAAACAAAAGATTCTACAACAGACAAATCTACTTTAGAAAACGAAGATAAAGAAACTCAATTGGAAAACGGCCTCAAAGATACCACAACTACATCACCCCTTAAAGATACTAAAATTCAAGATTCAAGTAAAAAAAATCTGTTAGAAGATCAGGACAAAGTAACTACAACTTCCAAATCTATAGCATACAGCGAGACTGCAGACGATATAGTTACGAAATCCACAACACAAATCGTCTCAAAATTGGCAGTGGCACCTAAAAGTACTACTTTGAATGTTAAATCAGGAAACAACTTTCTAAACAGACTTAAGTCTGTTAGCATGGACTTTTTTCACAATCGGTTCAAAACTACTAAGACCTTAAAAGACAATTTTGAATACTCAACATGTAGCACAGAGAATCCATTAATTATGGTTGATACCAATGAAAGTTACGATCGCAAAGAACGAAACCCCACAATATTCGAAGGATCGAATACAACTACAAATTATAATCCTACAATACCCATTCTAAATGAAAATTTGGATTCTAATAACACTAACCGTGACAACATTCTCGGAGAAATTATAGAAGAAACAAAGTTGAAAGATTTGCTTATATCTATATTTAATTATGAAGCTAGAAAACTGAATTCTGAATGGCAACGGCTTAAGAGGAAAGACAAGAAAATGGATCAAAAGTATATGTGGAATACCACTGAAGAGTCTGTTTATGCATTTACCAATCAAGAAGTTACCACTCGTAGGTAAGTACCAAATAGTTAAATATTTAACAAATACGTTAGTTAATCAATACGATATACGAATAAGTTTTTACGATCTGTATAATTTCATATAACTGCAATGCAAGAAAATATTCCAATTCGGTTGTATTATGAATAATTCCCTATTAAGGATTCCATACCCAAAGGTTAAACGGAACCTCATTGCTGTCTGTTTGTCGTCTGTGTACAACGATATTAAATACCCTAGATACACCAGAACGAACAAAATCATGCCCGAAACCTGTCCAAAAGGTACATTGGACGCTCCACGGAGCTCCGTAAGATAATCACATAGTCTAAACAATATAAGTAATTATTTAAACATTGAAAATCATCTTTAAACCACACTATATAAGGTCTTATCAAAGCGCGTGCGTCAAAGAATTATGACAGTCCAAGGTGTAAGCTCGTAAAATTTTACGACTTACTGCTATATGCAGAAGAATATAGACCTGATTTCTTTGACTGTAACCGCAGTTCTGAATGCGCTGTTAGCAATACAGCAGGTACGGACCGCGAGGAAAGAGACGGCCATATAACCTACCATGCATTTGAATATCACAAATATTTTATATTAAACCAGTTTATAGTAAGTATTAAAACAAAATTGCTTCAAATGCGTTAAATTAACAAACATTGATGAGATATCTGTCGAAAAAACGTCATTTTACATACTACTAGTGGCCCGCCCTCGCTTCGCTTCGGTGTAAAGCTGTAGTGTAGACTATAGTTTTTGTTCTGAGGCTTGTATTATACACAATGACATTCTTCTAATACCCAATTACAATAGGCACGCGCCGCCAAGCCCGGTTTAAATTTGTAATATCTTCGAAAATATTCATTTAAATTATATGCGATAAAGGGCCAAATTGTTCTATATTAAATGCACAATGTATTTAAGGTACTTAATTGGATAAGGATGAATGTTATATTGCATAAAATCGCTTCGTAAATAATCTATTATTTCTCGTAAAAAGTATAGGATAAAAATTGGTTATTGTGGGTTATCCTTAAGAGATAGACATATACCATTGCGGACTTTTTTGTAGACCTTTTTATGGTGTACAATACTGTAGTACATTATTTTGATCTATCTCGTGGGGTTCAGCCAGCGTTTGCAATGTAAGCGCAAAAAATGTGTTTATTTACGATCTTACATTAAAAACCTCTAAAATTATCAGTATTTCTCTACTATATTATGCATGTATTATACATATAACCTTCCTCTTGAATCACTCTATCTATTAAAAAAAACCGCATCAAAATCCGTTGCGTAGTTTCAAAGATTAAGGCATACAAAGGGACATAGGGACAGAGAAAGCGACTTTGTTTTATACTATGTAGTGATAGTATTCATTTCGCATTTTTTCACGGAACTCGGCGGCATTATGACTTTTCAACGGTGTGACTGTGAACCAGGAAGTGCCTGGGTGGAGTTCAAGCACTTCTTGATTGGGACACATTTTGAGCGCACGTGGTGTATCTAGGGTATTTAATATCGTTGTCTGTGTATCGTAAACGGAAAGAGTAACAGCACCTGAAATTTTGCTATTATTATAAGTAGAATATTAAATATTAAATATTTATTTAGAATTCAATTAAATTATTTTAATGACTGGGTAACTTTTTTCTTTGTCTGTCAGATAAATTATCAAAATGTGTTTTTTTTGACAGCACACGTATTTCTTATTTTCTTACATCATCAAAACATTACATAGATATATTGATTTGAAATGTCACGTGACGATACGTTTTCGTAAAGTTTTCACTAAAAAGTAACGACACGAGCCCCCACACCCAAACTTTGACGCGCTTTATTGAAGTGAAACGCACGCACGCTTGACTTGGGGGGTAAGCTGGTGAATGCGTTACGCGTTACGGAAAGTGTGTTCGGGCGAGGCGAACGGAAGTTGAGTGGGGGATATAAGCAAGAGAAAGCAGTGCGCGCGCACATTTTCTTTCTCTCTTTCTCTTATAGCTAGTAAATGAAATATGTATACGTACAGATGGAGCTAAAGAAGTTTCACTTCAGTCATGTGGTCATAAGCATAATCGTTTTATTTTTGATAATCTAGCGATTACGCACTTTATAGAATTTATTCTATTTTTATTTTATTTATTCGGTATACATAACATATTACAATCAGCAAAGTACTGACTTATTTGACGAATCGTACAAGAATGCAACACCTAACATGCATACACATAAAATGTAGTTATTTAAAGAAAATAATACTAAATCTATATTAACTGTTACATTGAATTGCATTACATTAAATTCATTCAAATAAAATCAATTTGATAACTATAAAATTACTTAATTGTTTATTTATTTTTTATTTTGTTTATTTTACTTAAATCCAGCTTTTTATTAATTTTCGTGTCTTCGTGATGTTTTAGTGCTTTCAAGATCACCAATAAGATGGAGTCCAAAGACCGCGATTACGACATCATGAAGACCATGGATGAGCTGCAGGTGCCGACTCCGGCCGGACTCCGCAAGGAAACCAAAGCGGGTCTCATCCAAAAGCTTGTCAACAAATTCGGCATGAGAATCGTTTCAACCACTCGAGCGAAGGTGAGCGAATTGAGTATTTTTGATAAGGTTCGACATAGCCCACCGGATTAGCAAGCTGAAGTGGCAGTGGGCTGGCCATATTTGCCGAAGAACCGATAACCGTTGGGGTAGACGAGTTCTGGAGTGGAGACCGCGTCTAGGCAAACCTAGTGTAGGACGTCCTCAGGCGCGATGGAGTGACGATTTGCGCAAGGTGGCTGGCAGGAGCTGGATGCGAGTAGCCCAAGATCGATCTGAGTGGCGTGCATTTGGAGAGGCCTATGTCCAGCAGTGGACTAAGATAGGCTGTTGATGATGATGATGATAAGGTTCGTATCGTTACATATTATTTTTTATTTGATATGCTTACCCTTTTTATAACATAACTACCGGCCCGCCCTCGCTTCGCTTCGGTGTAGAGCTGAAGTGTAGACTACAGTTTATGTTCTCAGGTTTGTATTATACACAATGACATTCATCTATGATTCTTCTTATACCTGCATGCAAAGTCTCAGCCCGATCGGTTTAAAATTGACAAAGTTTCATACAAACTTTTATTCCCTACTTTATCCCCTTGGGGGTAGAATTGATCAAAATCCTTTCTTAGCGGCCTACGTCATAACATCTACCTGCATGCCAAACAGCCCGATCCGTCCAGTGGTTTGGGCTGAACGTTGATAGATCACTATGTCAGTCAGTCAGTCGCTTTTGAGTTTTATATATTTTATTGACGTTGTATAATTCGATTTGACGATCATTTCAAATGTGTAAAAACTGAAAAATGTAATATGCAATTTTCAGCGTCAACTACTGTTGTCCCTATCGCACGGTATTTGCCAATGCGTGACAGCAATAGTTTTTTTTCAAATACCTATTTCTTAAACGTCTCTCAGCTCGCGTCTGCTCTTAAGGTGAAACCGTACTAGAGTGACACTACCAGTGTTGCCAACTCGGATTTTGAAAAAGGCGTAGGCCCGATGAGAAAATTACGTGGAATTGGCAAATTTTGCATATGAAAAGTACGTAGAACTACGTACTTTTTTCTGAGTGAAATGAAGAAGTTAGGTGAAACCGAATAAAACGAGTATTTTGTTATACAATTTCTTTAAAAACGGGAGATAGAACAAAGAGTTCTTGGAGAAGTCGCTGCATTGGAAGTATTTACCATGCTGTGGTAGACATTTACCATCAGACACAGACACTGGTGGGTGTCGATTCTGGCATGATTCTCTAAATTTAAAACTAAATTTAAAATCAGTCTATCTTTTTCATTCTGTATAGGGAATGACAAGAATACACTGTTGTTAAATAGGCTAGTTGACACTTTTTGGAATTATGTTTTAAATTGTTAATAATTGTTCTATCAGACCGAAAAAAAAATATTTTACCTAGAAGACATACAAAAACGCTATTTAGTTTATAGACTTATCTATGCTATGACGTCAAAACATTTGTAAACAAACACTCGCAAGCACTTAGGAAATAAACTTTCTGAGTTATAATTATAAAACCATGATTTCTAATAGATCACATGAAAAAAATAGTAGTTACCATGATACACTTGGTAAAAGACTACAAAAGTTGTGGTTTAAATTGCCTAGAGAAATAAACACACTTACAGTCCATCAAATCTAACAAGTACCGTTTGACGTTTCATGTTTTTCAAACAGATATAACTTTGTTTAAGCGTAACTTGTTCAAATTTGATAACCTTTTTCGTAAAACCATGAATTTATAAAAGTTTTATTATTGGATCTAAAAATGTACAATTCTTAATATCTAAATTTAATTGAAAACTTTCAAACAAAGCAAAATAAACAATATTTACACAATAAATAAGTTCTAATAGTTCTATTCTTGACCTCATTGCAAAGTCACATAGTTAGGTCACTGCTCGTAGTGTTGCAACTCTTCGGAATCAATTGTGTACGAAAAAATCGTGTACATTATTCGGAAAATCGAATTTATTACTTTCAAATTATCAATTAACGCATTTGTAAAAATACATGACAGATGACAAAATGATCAAATTTGATGCCTCGGTCCATAATCTACTCAGATTACGATGTTGTAAGCGCTAGAAGCGCTTATGGCCAATGTCAGACCACGGCCAGAAAGCGAATTTTCGACGTAATGTTTAGGGGTACAGCGCAATTTAATTTTTGTATAATTTCACGTTACTGCTCGATCGCATAATGCATTTAATACATAGGTACCCTAAAATAAATTAATTTAATTATTTTCAAATAAATCCATATAGGCGAAATAGCTCCAGAAAAAAGATTTTTTTATCAGACAACACTGTCGACCACAAGCGCACGCGGTCCCCCTCGCCCGCGTCAGCAGTCTCTTGCCATCTTGGAAGCTGACTTGGTGTTTTACAATTTGTGACTTGGCTATTACTTTTCTGGACTCTGAACTAAGCAAGTGTTTATTAATAATGTCCAAAAGAGGACGTACTTTGAACAGCCAGGCTCGTGAATTGGTGGTGAAATTACACCAGTATTTTGAGCGTGAATGTCAAAATGGTGGAGCTCTACTGCCAGTTACACAAGTTCGGGGGAAGCACCGTCGGCAAAATATTAAGTGAAAAATATGGGCCTTCGGGGAGTGACAGTAACGTACTTCACACGCCGAAAAAAAGGAAAAGAACTAAACCTGTGACAGGTATCGATGACTTCGATAGCCATGCTATTAGAAACCATATCTTTGGTTATTTTACAAGAGACGAATTTCCAACATTGGCAAAGTTATGTGCAACTTTAGAAGATGCCGGGCTGTACAAGGGAAGCATAGAGTCGTTGAGAACGATAATAACAGGAATTGGCTTCAGATACAAAAAAGTTGACAAACGAAAAATTGTTATGGAGCGACATGACATAATTATGCAGCGACTAACATTCCAGCGCGAAGTAAAACAAATTATAAACTGGGATAATGTAATATTTTTGGACGAAACATGGCTAAATTCCAACCACTCTGTGCCGAAAACATGGACAGATGATTCTGAAGCTTCGTGCTCGAAAGTGCCGATAGGGAAAGGTCATTATATGCCATGCTGGATCAGCGTCTGCAGGTTTCGTGGAAAATTCATTATTAGCTTTCCAATCTAAAAGCACAAAAAAGTATCATGAAGAAATGGCCGCGGAAAGGTTCCAAGAGTGGTTCTTAAATTTACTAACGAATACCCCTCCTAACAGCACAATTATAATGGATAATGCCCCATACCACTCTGTGCAAATTGATAAAGCACCAACATCAGCCAATAAGAAAGCAGATTTGGTGGCGTGGCTGCAAAGAAAAGGAGTGGAAGCCGACATGTCACTATTAAAAGTTGAATTGTTACATTTAGTGAAATTGGATAAACCACCAAGACCGACTTATGCTATTGACCAATTAGCCGAAGAACACGGGCACAAAGTCATACGACTTCCTCTGTACCATTGCCAATATAATGCCATTGAACTGATTTGGGCCCAAGTTAAAGGTAATACTTTATAATATAATAATATTTTTTAGTAGTTGATTATATTAATAACAAGAACTTGTTCTTAATAAGCTGAAATATATTGTGAATTGAGATTTTCCGTTAAGTACAGTAATACTAAAAAACATTACCCTTCTTCTTCGCAGTTGTGTTAAATTGTACATAACCTAACAAAATATAGCAAGATTAGCTTAACACATTTTGTAGCCACATAACACGAGTGCCTCTAGCTTTTATAATTTAAAAAATAGTCTTAAGTCTCCCACCTAATAATTATATAATTGTTTTACAGGTTATGCAGCAAGACACAACACAAAACCACCCTTCAGTGTCAAGAAAATGGAAGGCTTATTAAAGGAAGCATGTGCGCAAGTTACACAAGAAGATTGGTCAAAAGTAGTAGAAAAAACAAAGAAAATAATAATGGACGACTTCAACAGAGACGTAAAATTCGATGGTTTCATGGATAATCAACTAGTCATTAATTTAAATGACGATGATGACGAGGACGACAATAATTCCAGTACTTGTAGTGAATAAAAAATATCCTAAACATTACTTTTATTTAAATGCTTCGACTTCGACCTTTAGAACCTTAAGATTTTTTCGGTATTCTATCCTCAGATTACTAGTAAAACCTAAATTTACCAATAAACAACCTTTTACAATAACATATTAAAAAAATATAGGAAAAGAGTACAGGGAAATAATATCTTAAATTTCGGATATTATGGTCATTGATCTCTTAAAATTCGGATATTATAGTAATCGATCTCTTAAAATTCAGATATCATAGTAATCGATTTTTTAAAACCCATCCCTATTATTCAATTTGTCAGAACTGTCAAACGGTACTTCTTAGATTTGATGGACTGTACAGATGAACGCATGTTTAAAACTTGCTAAATCCTGTAACTTTATCGACAGAAAGTCATTTCTTTTTACAAAGATCAATTCGATGTAAGTACTCATTGAATAATATTTAAAGTTTAAAAATACAATTTTCAAGGTTATGAATGTACCTACTAAGGCAAAGAGTTTTGTCATTTCTGCTTTCACAAATCCTGCGTCCAGCATTAATTTAGTCAACAAAACCAATAACGGGAACCCTTTCGACAAGATACAAGAGTTTTTAGATACATATTTATAAGAAATAAACAATTGTATAGTTTTTAAGTAAAGTAACAGAAAATATTCTTCTTTATTCTAGAGAATTAAGTTATTTTACAAATATGAAAAAATTAAAGAAAATACGTAGATTCTGGGAATGAAGTTAGTCGGTTTGCAGAAAAGGCCTAAAATACGTAGATCTACGTAAAAAGACGTAGAGTTGGCAACACTGGACACTACAGCGGAGAGGCGCGTCGCGACATCGGAGCGGCGCGGCATTGCCAAGCCGCACTGTACTGCAGCGGCGCTACAGTGAGCGGCGTTTTGTTTCATTTCATTCGTGGTTAGCTAACGAACAAGATTTTCGTTCCATATATTGATTTTTCTCACATGATTCATATAGGTTTCGTTTTCTAAATCATATCATCATCATCATCATCATCATCAGCCTATTAATGTCCCCACTGCTGGGGCACAGGCCTTCCCTATGGATGGAATAGGGAGATTGGCTAAATCATATGATTCCGGATAATTACTAACAAGAGAAATTAATTTTTCGTCGTCCATTATGTGGCGTCATTCGCTCGATACGCTACAACTTGAACTGACTGGTCGCACGCACCGCGCCTTAGGCTTGTTGAAAATATATCGATATTTTTTGCCGATATATTTTGATTCGATATATCGATACATCGATACAATATAACAAATATCGAAATTCGTTGATACGATTTTTTTTAATTATTAGCGGCATATCACGATCTAACTAAATTCGTATCTGGAAAAATCGTAACTGGATCTCAGATTAATGATATTCAACATATCTATGATCTGTGCTGTATTTAGTATTGTCTATGTCATCATTCGAAAATAGGGTGTATTTTTAGGTAGATAATTTTCGTTCCATTATTATTCCGCGTGTCATATTTCGCGAGCTACTGTACGATATTTTTGGGAAAACTGGTCCGATATATCGATAAATCGATGTTTTTTTCACGATATATCGAAGCCGATATTGATATTTTTTAAAAGATCGATGTATCGATATATCGATATTTTTTTCAACTTTCGACATCCCTACCGCGCCTCTCCGCCGCCGCGAGCTATGTCGCACTAGCGGCAGCGGACCGGCGCGGCGCGAGCGAAGCGGCAAAATATTCTCCGGGAGTTAACTGTGTCGCAACGCGCCACGCCGCTCCACCGAAGTACCGCTATAATGCCTTTTATTTCATAAGAAACAGTAGAAAAAATATTTTTCTTGACGCGCTGCACCGATGCCGCTACGCGCCTCTCCGCTGCAGTGTCACTATAGTGCGGTTTCACCTTTAAGCGATCTACGTTATGTCACGGTTTTTGTCCATACATCGTACCACACAAATTAGCATTTTCATTATTTCAAAGGTAGCTACCGATTCGCACGCCACACACGGAACCGAGAAGCCGGTCGCAATACATGAACAGCACACGACTAAAGAAGCCAAAGGACAAGAAAAACATTAAAGGTATATTTTAGGTTTTTTCCTTAATTATATTAATACAAAATAACACTACCATAGGGGTGATGACGGGGTACAGTAAACGAAATTCTATTTAGTCCATCAGTTAGATGATCAAAAAATAATGGACACGTATATTTTCTTTGGGCAATCAACCAAAAATTGACAAAGTTATAGCGCGTCAAAGTTTGGGAGTAGGGGCTCGTGTCGTGACGTCACTTTTGAGTGAAAATTGTACTTGTTTAATTGTAAAACGTGACGTCATGCGACTTTTCAAATCAATATATCTCTGCAATGTTTATATTATGTGAAAAAAGAAAAAATACGTGTCTAATACTTTTTGATAATCTACCTGATAAACGAAGAAAAAAAAATAGTCATCATCCCTATTCATAGTATTAACTATTCATTCACATAAAAACCAACATGGTTTAAACCAGGGATGTAACGGAGGTAATTTATCGAAACCGAAGTCGGAGTCGGAGTTTTTAAATTTGATTTATCGGAATCGGAACCGGAGTCGGAGGCAGAATCGGGGTCAAAGGCAGAGTCAGAAGTGGTCACAAGAGAGATATTTTTAATTTAAAAACATCATTCAGTCGACCCTTTTTTTTCATTTTAATTATAGAATAACCATTTTTCATTTAAATTTACTAATTATTAACACAGACTCCCAACGCGACGGGTATGAACCAGGAGCTCTACTCTCTTTCTCCGAAACGAAATTTCGGCAACGAACGAATTTTAAACAAAATTTCGTAAGTGACTCTACTCTATTTCATATTAGAACATGCACATAAAGTTCGGAAACACAGGCAATTATCGTGAACGAATGGAATGAGTTATGTTTATGAGTTCTTTTCGTCTACACTTTTTAGATAAAGTTTTTTACTTCAAAACAATATTACTTTATGACAACATTTTTGATTACATTAAAACAACCTCTTTTGACAGCGTTAGCCGACTAATTTGTAGAGTTGATGCAATCGAATGTATGTCAACCTAAATTGGTCGTTTAACACTTTGAAGTATTGGCAATACAATAATAAACAAAAATTAGATTTATTTGTAAATCTTTCATACTAAAAAATGTTGCTCACGCTAAGACGATTTAATTAAAAATACTATAGTAGTAATTTTAGGTTTAATTTAAACAAAAATCCCAAAACGAAAATGAAAAGGTAACACTTTTCATTTCGTCAATTTGAGGTTAAAATTTCGAACAATTATCTGTCAAAGTTGAATTTGACAGATAATTGTTCGAAATTTTAGTTCAAAAGTTTTGTGAATTAGAGTAGGCTTAGAGAATTTAAATGTCAAACTATTTCGGACGAACGAATTTTCGAAATGAAATAGAAACAGAGTAAGGAACGTGCGAAATTTCGATCGTAATTTCGTTTTTCGTTGAAATAGAGTAGGCCTCCAGTTCGTAAAGGTCGACGCAGGCCGCGCCGTCGCTATTTGCTATGCTTCGACCTCCGATCAAAACCTCCGATTTAAAGGTATCGGAGCCGAAATCGGAACCGAAGGTGTAATAATAATCGGAAGTTCCGGCTTATCGGAATCGGAGACGAAGCTCCATAACATCCCTGGTTTAAACCAGGAATCTTCTAATCTATAAGATAAAGTAAAGTGGAAGCTCTTTATTCGCGCTTCCTTTATTCGCGTTTTCACTATTCGCGGATTAATTTATATACGGATACTAGCGGCCCGCCCTCGCTGATCTTCGGTGTAGAGCTGAAGTGTAGACTACAGTTTTTGTTCTCAGGCTTGTATTATACGCAATGATATTCATCTATGATTCTTCTTATACCTGCATGCAAAGTTTCAGCCCGATCGGTTTAAAGTTGACAAAGTTTCATACAAACTTTCATTCCCTATTTTATCCCCTTGGGGGTAGAATTGATCAAAATCCTTTCTTAGCGGATGTCTACGTCATAACATCTACCTGCATGCCAAATTTCAGCCCGATCCGTCTAGTGGTTTGGGCTGTGCGTTGATAGATCACTATGTCAGTCAGTCACCTTTGAGTTTTATATATATAGATTGTGCCCGAATTCCTTTATTCGCGGTTAAACAATTTGCTTATTTGCGGATCTAATCGTAATAAAATTCGGTGCCCTTCGTTAACGCGTCGGCAAATGGAGTAATTATGAAAGTAAAATAGATCTTATTACAGCTGAGCTTAAAGAGTATTGTCAAATGCTATAGTCGGTGCATAAGACAAGTCGCCTATTCCTTTGATATTAGCCACTTTCTTTTCACGCTAAATGGCGCAGGTGGATAGCGCGCTCGGCTGCGATCGTTGTAGTTAAACAACTTTGGCAATGGTCGGTCATTGGATGGGTGACCAAAAATCTTCTATCTCGAGTTCCTTCATGCTTCTTAAGGCACGTTAAGCCGTCGGTCTCGGCTGCGTTTGCAGTCGTTGGCGCCCATCAATCCGCACTGGGCCCTCGTGGTGTGTCACGGCCCCATCTCCCTATTCCATCCATGGGGAAGGCCTATTAATAGGCTGATGTTGATGTGTAAAATACTTAACATTATTTTAAGGTGCCCAAAAAACAAACTACCGCCACGAACTGTGTGACGTTGATGCCACTTACAAACACGTTGTGGATGTTCAGAAGCAAATACCAATAGAAGCCTTTGAAGAATATGTTACAAACCTTAAGTGTTACAAGTATTACGAAGCTCCCAGCTGTTTTGTAATTAAAAATTACAGACACAAAATACGATCTAAAAAGACTGAAAATAAAGATACTTCAACGAAAAGTATTACACCAAGCAGAGATATGAGACAATTAAAATGGGATTGGATTCGCGGTAAAAGATCTTTGAAAGATGCCATTGATGTAAAAACAGTTGATGCACATATTAAAGCTTCTCTTCAACAGAAAACAGATGATTTTGAAACGAGTAGAGATACAACTATATTAACTGATAACAATAAAAAAAATCGGGTTTCGTCAGAGTCAGGTGGTTATGAAACATTATATAAAGATCCATACGGCATCTACAGGAGAAATAAGAGATTTGTTCACAATCTTGAAGATGTAGCTGGTACGATATGTAATACGCCTTTAGATCCTGAAAAGGTTAGCACACACACTTTTAAGAATACAGTAGTAATCAAGGCATTGTTCTGGATTGCGATAGACCAAAGGGGAAAAAATGCTGCCCTATTGCTGTCACTCTGTCGTCTGTCTGTCTGTCTGTCCGTCTGTCCGTATGCCACCCAGATCGTAAACGGAATGTGTTGCAGAACTGAAATTCTGATATTTTATTTAAAATGCTTGCCCAGAACCGAATATGAAGTTAAAAATTCAGTGATATTATTTTTTTTCTCATTAATGAAAAGGAGACGGTTTTTTTTTTCTTTTTTTTTTACCCCAGCATTTGACACGTCAATGTCTAGAGCTCGTTGAGTAGGATATAAATATAATATTTTATTTTATTTTCAATAAAAAAGAAATGTAGGACCGTCAAAGTTGTAATTTTTAGACCATTTTAGTATTCTATCTAAAAATCGGAACCAGTCGGTAACGTAAATGTTGATACAGGTATAAATAGTATGCAATATGCTGTCTAATTGAATATATTAATTTTTAAGAAGGTCCAATGGGCCATATAAATGAGGTCCAATGGGCATTTTTGCTTTCGGGTCGAAAGTTGAGGGTCCAATACCCACTAGACCTATTAAAACAACAACAATACTGAAACCACCGATTCATAATGTACTTTGTAAGTTGTGACGTTAAACAAACCAAATCAGTTTTTCCTTTCGCTGTTTCGTGCGCAAGTTCGCCTCACTTTTGTCCGATTTTTCTAGTAAAATTTCTTCAGACATGCCTTTATCCAATGGCATATTAATGTCACAAAAATACTTTGTTATAAGTGAGTCCATTTCTACAAAAAAAAAATGAAAAATTATGACGTATCATCCGGGGCCCAAAATTACTGTTTGACCACAACGATATGAAATACCCAATCTGTCTCTCATCCTTTTGATACATGCGAACTTTTAGCTATGGCCGTCCTGCTTTCGACGACACCGCGGAGTGCATTGGACTCAACGATATTAAATACCCTAGATACACCACGTGCACTCCAAATGTGTCCCGATCAAGAAGTGCTTGATCTCCACTCAAGCACTTATTGGTTCACAGTCACGCGCGGATCGTTGAAAAGTCAAGTTGCTGCAGAGCTCCGTGACAAAATGCGAAATAAATACTTGTAGTATGTAAAGTGTCGTTTTTCGACAGGTATCTTATCAATGTTTGTTAATTTAACGCATTTGATTTGATGCTTTAATAGAAGATATTTGTGATATTTAAAATGCATGTACCTGCTATATTGCTAACAGCGCATTTAGAATTGCGCGTAGAATCAAAGAATTAAGGTCTATAGTCTTCAGCATATAACAACAAGTCGTAAAATTTTACGAGCTTGCATTTCGAACTGTCTAGAGGTCTAATTAGAGGTGACTTTCAACGTTTAAATAATGCCTTATATTGTTTTTGACTGCGCGATCATCTTACGGGAGCTCCGTGGATCGTCCAATGTACCTTTTGGACAGGTTTAGGCCACGATTTTGTTGGTGCTGGTGTATCTAGGGTATTTAAAGTCGTTGTTTAACCAGTTCACAATAATCTGACAGAATGTAACTTACGTAATGTTGGGAGACACCATCGTTATACATTGCACTGATAACAAAACTGACGAGTCATCTGAAGATAATGTCGAATGGAAAACTGATCGAAAGGATATGCTCCTGTATCAGAACGTGGCAGTACAAGGACACAGATTATATATAGAGGAGGTTGAGGCAAAGAACCAAGGGGTTTATGTCTGTAAGCAGGTATGTAGATATGATAAAATAATATTTGTTTCTTAAATTTTCACGTTAAACTAATTTTTTACGGGTTAATGCACGAGTCTTTCGAAGATAGCTCGACAAAATTAAATAAAAAATCATTATTCTGACGAAGCAGACCTGAAAAGGCTGCGGAACGTCAATAAATAAATAAAGTTTCGTGCATTAACCGGTTAAAAACTAGTTTTATTTGATAAAACAAGTTTCAACGGGTTGGATGCACTGATCTTATTTATTTATTGACGTTTCATCTTCTGACGACGCATTCCTGCTAAGTCAATAAATAAATCGGCAGTGCCGGCAGGAGTGAAAACTTGAATATTAATGTTGTGCATTTCTGATATTTTGGAATGGTTAGGGAATAATTTTACACGAATTGCTTTAATTATCAGTATAAAAGTACTATCATGTATGTGGTAGAATACAATATTTATTTATTGCGCTATCGTACACAAACATGGCAATTTATATTACATTTAAAAAAGTTTATCTCTCAGAAAAATCAACTTACATGAATCACGTTTAAGCGCACTTAGCGACATCTATTGTAAAGAAATCAACTTACATGAATCACATTTAAGCGCACCTAGCGACATCTATTGTAAAAAAAATGCATTTTCTTCGCAATAAAGCTGCCACGTGGACGTCCTTATATTGAAAGTCAACAACCTTTCCAATTTTATTGTGTGTCATGATGCGATCAGCCCACGTGTTTAACCTGACGCGAATTTAACATTTTTTACTCATTCAAAAAAAAGTGTATCGCTATAGAAGTTTTCACTTCAGAATTAGTCAATAAATAAATAAAATGAGTGCATCTAATCCGTTGAAACTTGTTTTATTTAATGAGTGATGTGCGTGAAAATTTAAGTAACAAATATGTAGATTTGATTTTAATTAACAATGGTGTCGATTCTGGCATGGTTCTCCAAACTGAAAACTAAGTTTAACATCAGTCTCTCCTTTTCATTCCGTATAGAGAATGACAAGGATACATAGTTGTCAATTTTTAAATTTCGATTTAGAGTATCATGTCAGAATCGACACCAATATCTTTTTAAAACCAGCGGAACTGAAGTTGTCATTTCTGATAAAACTTGACTTAAGTTTTCTTAAATTTTCTACGCAAAATTCTTTTATTACATCGGCACAAATTTTCCGTTTATCCAGCTAGCATGTTGCATTAATGTTTAAACAATTAAAAATACTCCCGCTTGCATGCATGTTTATAAAATCTATTTGCATATTTGTGAGGCAGAATCGAAATTATTTCCCTAGCTATTCTGATATGCAGTTGCGATAAACAAAACACAAAGACAGACTGTTTTTACCAATATATAAACAAAATGTTCAGTAGAAATACATATGTTCAAGCAATGAAAACATATAACAAACTGCCTGACTTTATTAAAGATTTATCTTTAAATATGCTCAAAAGAAAACTGTCCTACTTGGCTTCTAGAAAAATTATTTTATACAATAGATGAATACTTCAAATTGAAATGACATTAGCGAATTCTTTTTCAAATATTGTCTTTTATTGGCGACTAGTGGCCCGCCCTCGCTTCGCTTCGGTGTAGAGCTAAAGTGTAGACTATGGGTGCGGCCAGAGTGCACTCAGATTCAGATTCAGATTCCGAAAACAAGCGCGAGAAATAAACAGTGTAGTCGAAGGGTACGGCCAGAGTGCACTCCTGATTCAGACTCAGAAAACAAAGCGCGAGAAAAAGCAGGCAACCTGCTTAGACTACACTGTTTATTTCTCGCGCTTGTTTTCGGAATCTGAATCTGAATCTGTGCACTCTGGCCGTACCCTTTAGTTATTCTTCTCAGGCCTGTATTATACACAATGGCATTCTTCTTATACCTACCGCCGCCGCGACCCGTGTCGAGCGCGGGAACCGTTACACAAAAATAATCCTTATAGCATGATTCAGTATTCACGTGCGACGGCGCGATGACTTATTTCATATACATATAAGTTTGGTGTTTCTATACCGATTTCTATGATTCTTTTTTTATTGAATAGGTAATAATGTTAACTTTTTTAAATTAGGGATGAGTGAGAGTATTATAAACGTAAGAGTAAACAAATATAATCAGAATGCTCCGAACTGCTAAGCTATCAGGAGTTACACGTGTTATTGTGAGTCAACCAAAAGATAGACATATGCTGTTGCGGGATATTTTTTAGACAATTTTATGTAGAATATTTCCGTCGTACATAATTTCTATGTAACTTTAACCATTAAGGCTGCACACGCAACGGAAGCTAAAAAAATGGAGTAACTTCTCCCGTTTTCCCAACATTTCCCTTCACTACTCTGCTCCTATTGACTGTAGCGTGATGAAAAGTATACTATAACCTGCCCAGGAGTATGAAGAATAATTGTACCAAGTTTCGTTAAAATCCGTTGAGTAGTTTTTGTTTCTATAAGGAACATACACACAGACAGACAGACAGACAAAAATTTTACTGATTGCATTTTTGGCATCAGTATCGATCACTAATCACCCCCTGATAGTTATTTTGAAAATATATTTCATGTACAGAATTGACCTCTACAGATTTATTATAAGTATAGATTTGATTTCGATACACTTTATTATTATGTGTATAATGATTTTATTAATAATATTTTATTTTGACCTATTGAATGATTTTTTTGCAATGATTATCTAATTTGACATGGTAGTTTGATATTAATAATGAAATAGCGTATAATACGTATACGTATAGTGTATTATATATAGAGATTACTTTGCTGTAGTTTTAATAATTATTGCATCGTAAAATAAGCCTAGTTTGTTTATCCTCTAATGTTTAAGCCGTCGCTCACGGCTGCATCTTCAGTCGTGAGCAGTTCCAATGCGCACTGGGCCCGCGTGGTGGGTCACGGCTCAGTCTCCCTAATCCATCCATAGAGAAGGCCTGTGCCCCAGCAGTGGCGAAATTAATAAGCTTTTGATGAATTCATATCATAGGGAAGATATGTACTCTACTACAAGTGGAAGTGTCCGTCTAGTAGGAAGATAAAGAAGATGAGAGACGGTTATCTATGTCTCTCTCTTGTGACGCTGCGCAGTCGTGTGAATGGTCGGTATTGTTGCGCATTCGTGTGATTGGTCGGTATTGCTGCGCAGTCGTGTGAATGGTCGGTATTGCTGCGCAGTCGTGTGATTGTTCGGTATTGCTGCGCAGTCGTGTGAATGGTCGGTATTGCTGCGCAGTCGTGTGATTTGTCGATATTGCTGCGCAGTCGTGTGATTGGTCGGTATTGCTGCGCAGTCGTGTGATTGGTCGGTATTCATCCGTAGGTTTGTCATCCAATGCGCATTCGCGATTAGAGAGAAAAAGGCTAGCCGTCTCTCATCTTCTTTCTCTTTCTACTAGACGGATACTTTAAGAGCCGCCTTCCCCACTCTATTCTTATACCTCTATGATTCATATACGTTTCTATTACAGGCGGATGGCACAAAGAGAAATGTCAAATTAACAGTTATCGCAATGCCCACATATGAAATTGTATGCGCTCTCCTTTATTCATCAGGAAAAGATTGCAACTATAAGGTATGTTCTTTCCTACATAATGATGTGTGTTTAATAATGTCTAGTTACACCTAATATAAATATAACTACCTATTTTTATTTATACTGTATGACACAGCAAACAAAATTAATGTATATTTCACATTATGTAACGAAAGGTGACTTCATGAATCATCTCTGAAGTAATTTTTCAACTTGACGACTCTGTAAATGATAAAACAGGGAGATAAAAACAGCCCTTGCCGATTTTGTTGCCGGTTCTTCAGTACAAGGTCTCCCGCCATAGATTTGCGAACCGATGACGTAGCTTCTAGACATTCAAGAGTGCTTGTAACAGCCTAAACTTTAGATTAATACAATTACTAAATTAAGCTTTTGTCTAGGAACCAATGCCAACGTCATTAAAATATACTTTGAACTACGGGCGCTTGTGCTAGCCTCTAGCATCAAGACTTAAGACCAGATAATGAGACCAGTTTTGTTTTAATCTAAGGACTCTCTCTCTTCAGCCGTTCTCAACCAGTCTGGTGTAGGCCTCCTTCAAATTACGCCATCTAGTTCGATCTTGCGCCAGTTCCATCCAATTCGTGCCTGCAGTTTTCCTGACGTCATCCTTCCAACGCATCTGTGGTCTTCCTCTGGGTCGTTTCTCGCCCCAGGGTCTCGATTCCAAGACCGCCTCACCCCACGAGCCATGCTTGCGGGCTATATGTCCCGCCCACTGCCACTTCAAACTCGCTATGTGTTTAACGGCATCAGTGACCGCACTTTGCTTTCTAAGGACTAAACAGATTAAATGATTTAGATTATGTTAATTATTTAATTAACCTTAGTTTCGCTGTGTCGTTGCTCTGCAGCTCAGCTCAGAGACCTCTTGGAATTGCACGTTTTTATCTGTACGATCAGCCAATTTGATTTCTGACCCACCATGAGCTTAATTATATTACAACCATTTCAAAACGATAAGGTAGATCTTTGCTAATATTTTCTAAACAATAATATTTGAGACGTGACAGATTTTGCCACCTTATTGTGACATAATTTTGACATCAAATTATTTGTTTTTTTTTTGTCCATGGACTAAGAATTTCCCTGTTAGTCTACCAACGTTTATTATGATTTCAAGATATCGAAAGTTTCTTATTTACAATTAAGATTTTAAAAGTGATCTCGAAATTCAAACTTCTATTGTAATTTTATCTATAACATGATGTATTACATTGAAAAGAAAGGTCAATATTCAAATATATTTGGGCCATAGTGTCGCCGCACACGGGCCACACGCCACAGCCACAAACGCCGCCACGAGAAGCTAGAAGCGGCTACTAAAGTGGCTGAAGCGCGCGACAACGGCCGACTAAGGGAGAGAGGGGTGGGGAATCGCGCGAGTGACGTGTGGCGGCGTTTTGTATCGGCGCATTAAGTGGCCGGTGCGGGCCACAAGAAGCGAGCAACGACCATTTGTAGCGTGTGGCGGCCACCGGCGTACCGTGTGTGGCGAGTCCATATAAAATGTATGAAAACTACAAGAAATATGCCGGTGGCGGCGTTTTGTGGTTGTGGTCGGTGGCCCGTGTGCGGCGACACATAATAACAGTTTTTTAACAGGTATTAGAAAGTCCTTATTAGTGCAATAACGCATTATCTGCAAAGGTCTTGTCTGTTTTGACATTTTTAAGCAAGTTATGGGGCAAGAGAGTCCAGGAATCAGTCAGTAGTACCATTGAATATCTGAATCAGATTTTTCTCGTATTTTTTTTAAAATGGTCTTTATAAGTCGCAGTTACGCAAATGTACGAACTTGGGTTGCCCATGCGATTGCAAATAATACGAATCCAAGTTTTTCGAAAATTTTGGAAAATTAGGCCCCGTTTGCATTAAAATGTAAAATCCGGTTTTCTCGCGTTTAACTCAACCAATTGAGACGTGCTTTGGCTAGAAATCGCCGTAAGGGATCTGTTTAAAATAAACCTGAAGTTTATTCAGAAAACCAAATCTTCTAACCTATTTTTTTTTACTTTTTCATAATTAAAAAAACTAGTATTTTTTTATAGCCAGGAAGGCAAATGACTAAACCGCACCTGATGTTAAGTAGTGATAAAGTCCAAACGCGAAGATAGCTCGTACTGCAGTTATAAACTGCTACACCAACCATCCTCACCTTGCCGGCCTGCGCAGGCAAAGAATTCCACTTACGAATAGTACGACTAAGAAATGAGCGACTTTTAAGCTACAGAAATAATGCCACTTGCCCTAAACTCGCAGGATCTGAGGGCCTCCCTATCTATTGGCAAGGCCATGGCCCAAGAGTTTTGTCCACTCAACCTCAGCTGTACCGTGGATGTCGTGGAACCTGTATGTTTGAGGGACCAAGTAAGTGAGATACCATGTAGAAAAAACGAATGTGCTTATGCACAACTGAAATGAAACTTCTTTAGCTCCATCTGTATGTATATAATATATATGTGTGTGTACAATATATACATGTACATATTTCATTTACTAGCTATAAGAGAAAGAGTGGAAGTAAAGGACATTGTTCAGCGTCCATACATAGTTAGCCTAAGAACCAACAATCATGAAATATTATTTTCTAGGTTCGAAATCGTAAGTAAATGACTGTAAAAACAAAGATTATTGACGAACAATTCTGAGAACTTAAATTATTAGAAAAACTAAATGTTTTTTGAGGTTATGTTTAGTATTCAATGAAACATAGGTCAACCTATGAACTTAGTATGAAGTGAAATTATATTACAACTAATTCATTTATTTTGGTGCGATTTTAAAGAATAACTATTAGGAAAAACTTGGTTAGGTAGAAATCATGAATAAAATAAAAACTGTAGTTTTGCTTCTTATTTATTGACTATTTTTAACAATATTGTTTATGGTATTTATTTGTATATCACATGTATATTGTGTAAATATGCAGCGTGAATGTGTATCAGGGGTTCTTGAATAATTTGGCAGTATGATCCTCTCAGGATGTTGTGGCACAGGTTCACTAGCACTTGGTAATAAGGTCTCAGCTCTTTGGTAACATCGATGGCATATTAGATAGTCGAAATAGTTAAATTAAAGGAAAAACAATCGCAAATAAACACACACAACAGGTAATCCGAAACGAGAATGCACTTTCCTGTATATTATACTACTCTTTGGAATGCACGAATGCCACAGATGCAAACTGCCTGCTTGCACAACAACCACAGATTATCGAGTTTTATGCCGGCCCTTCACTTGACAACAGTTTGTCCTTGTCATGCTTAATAAGGAATGAAAAGAACAGACTGATGTCATGTTTTCAAAATAGCAAATACGAATAGCCAAGTAAAGTGCCGGCATAAGGAAGAAAGAGTGTTTTGTTTGCAGCGCTGTCATAGACTATACACATAAAATGATATTTATTGACTCAGATTATTTTTTAACTTTTTAATTTACCTTACTTAACTGGAAGTGTCCGTCACAATCTAAATACTGATAATTATCCCAAAAAATGTATTTAGAATTATCATAAATGCTAAATTGGTGTTGGTTCTTAGGCCAATTTTAGCATTGTCCTTTGCGCACGATAGTAGTAGTATCACTACATTTCCACCTTAAATAAGGTATACAAATAGATATGGACCTATGAAACAGGTACTATTATTTTGGTTACATTGAAATCACAAGTTATCATTATAATTTAAAAAAAATGTCTATTGTAACATGATGTCAAAGTAGAATATAAATTAATTATAAATTTGGTAAGCCATAAAGTTGTCATAGCCAAAATTTTAATGGAAAAATGAGCAAAATATCCAAAATAGCAACAAATAGGTACTTATTTCTTAACTGGATTGTCAATTTTAATGTGTCTAACTTATTTAATAGAGCTTTTTAAAAGACATGTCCGATTTAATTACAGGATTTGTCATTTTGATTTTTAAATATTTTGATTCATTCATTAGTTTCATCCAGTCGTACAACAGTCCATCGTTTTCACGTCTACGTCTTTTGCAGGGGGACGAGTCTCCGTTAGTTCGACTGTCCGCCGTTGTGGTGGTACCGCCGAGGTCTTTGTTATGTAGTGCCCGTTGCCGAAGAGATTTGCAAGCTTCCATGGCAGCTTTGGTCGCGAACAACACTGCTACGCTGGCTTCTATACCAGGCAACGTATCGGCCTTGTAGTAGTTATCATTATCATAACGATCAGTGTTGCCAGTTCCTATTTTTAAAAATCGGGAGGTGTTATAAAATAAAATAAAATAATATTCATTTATTTCGAGCAACATAACTTATAATAATCATACAGAAATAGGTACATGTCACAAAAATACATTTAATCATTTATTTAATTTAAAATCAATTTAAAACAGTAGTTATTTAATGTAATATAATAATATAGGTTAAGGTAAACAGATTAATTATGTCACAAAGAAAAATATGTTAATAAAATACATAATTTAAAATTCATTAATTTCCATCAAATAAAAATAATTAAAAGTCAAAAGTCAAGGCAAAAAAATATATAGTACAAGTACAAGAAAAACCAGTAGATGCAGGGGCGTACTTTTTCCGATCTGTGGTTTCTGCCCCTCAAAGCTCGTTTTTTTAGACAATAACATTTTTTTTATAATAATTAAGGTTACCTACATTCTTAATGACGGAAAATGCAACTCAACATGCAATTTAAAAAAGAAAATCTTATTCTAAGAAACATAAATGATTCATGTAGAAAACAGAAGAACAGGAGAAATTTCAGAAAAACCAGAAGATCTCCTGTAAAATCGTGAGACCTGGCAACACTGATCACCATCAGCCTATTAATGTCCCCAGTGGCGGCGACATCTATACGCCCCACATATAATTAACGAAAGCAAGCCTTGACTTACCAAAGCAATAGATGGCGCTACTGGCGCTGCACTCAAAAAGTATATGGAAGCCGACATCGGTCCCGTACAAACGGTCTAAGATCACCCTTCTAACCTCTTTCTGTGTTCTGTAACACAGAAATGATGCTCTGTTCTGATCCGATTCCCTGCTTGGAAGTACTTCTCCAGATAGACGATTTTTCTGTGATAATGATGATGAATTTGTTATTTCACAGTGGTAATATTTAACCGCGGTTGTAACAAGACCTTGACGCCGGCTGTATCAAGCAACAAGACTCGATACATGATCACTCACACGCTGAGAACCAAAGGTGAGAATTTACCGAACGACAAGACTTGTTTCAAATAAAGTTAGGGATCGCGAAGGGTGCGGGTTCGAGTGCCGTCTGCTGAAGTATGGTCCGCGTGGATTTTTTCTAGTAAATATTACTATATATAATAAAGTATATATATATATATATATATCTTTAGATCTAAACATCGTGCCGTTGCATGCTTAAAAAAATAATTAATAAAATAAATATTTCCAACATTCACACCAATTAGCTAGCCCAAGCCCAAAGTAAGCACTGTAAGGCTTGTGTTAAGGGATGCTAGGGTAACGGATAGAATACATATTATACTGTACATAAATAAAATAAGTATATTTATATAGAAATACATATTAAACATCCATGACTGGAGGACAAATGCTCGTATACTCGTATTCATCACACAAACATTTGCCCCCACCGGGATTCGAACCCAGGACCTCTCGAGTCAGCGTACAAAGCACTCGGCCACGGAGGTCGTCAAAATTATAACTATAATTGCTATTTCTTCTTTCAAATATTTAATACTTGTGAAGGTATTCATTTGACATTGTGGGTTACCTATAATGCGAAGAGATGGCGCTGCCTTGCAGCTAAAGATAGGCTAGAAAGAATTCGACACGGCTATCACGGCCGCGGTAGCATAATGGTCAGTGCATTCGCCCGGATAGCGAAGGGTGCGGGTTCGAGTCCCGTCTGCTGCCTGGTCCGCGTGGATTTTTTTCTAGTAATGTTTTCTTTAGATTCAATATGTGCTTCCCTTAGATTCGCGTACTCATCGCGAGGCACCACCCTGTGGCAGTCCCAGGATGTCACCCATCTGTCCTCGTGGTTTCTACTTCCAACCACGACATAGCATATGCGGTAAGTTCATCTCTGAAGTCTTATGGTTGACTAGCGGCCCGCCCTCGCTTCGCTTCGGTGTAGAGCTGTAGTGTAGACTACAGTTTTTGTTCTCAGGCTTGTATTGTACACAATGACATTCATCTATAATTCTTCTTATACCTGCATGCAAAGTCTCAGCCCGATCGGTTTAAAATTGACAAAGTTTCATACAAACTTTCATTCCCTATTTTATCCCCTTGGGGGTAGAATTGATCAAAATCCGGATTCTTAGCGGATGCCTACGTCATAACATCTACCTGCATGCCAAATTTTAGCCCGATCCGTCCAGTGGTTTGGGCTGTGCGTTGATAGATCATATTTTCATCTCTTTTGCACGCTTAGAGAGAAAAAAGGACAGACTTCTGTCTAATATGGATGTGTAACTATTAACGAGGCTAGGCTATTTGACAAGTTTTAGAAAACGATCTCACGTTATTGATTAATGTTTATGGAGTCCGTAAAAAGTCGATATTCATCATTCTGTTGTGTATTTCAGTAAAAATAACCAAATCAAAAACTCCATTTTCAATTTGCCGCGAAAACGTTTCTCTGGACAATATGGCGTCTTACTAGCGTTGACGTCACACGACTGTTATGAAAACGTCAAACGATACAATGTAATGTCACTTTAAGCGAAAGTTTACTTGCGTGTGACGTCATTTTAGGCTCCGCCAATCCCAAGCGTTTTGGGTCACGTGACAAAAGATAAGAAAACTATTATCTTTTTTTTTTGTTTGGCGATTGGCGTTGGCGATGGCGTTTGGCGATATGGTTCAGCAGACTGGGATGAGATGCGGCATTTCTTTGCATCTTATCCTTGGCGTCGCACTTGCTTTTCTTCGGACGAGCCGACTTACTGCGCGGATGCCATTGCTGACCTGATGCGTCAGGCTATGGAGTACTTTATGCCATACTCTGACGTACCGCGCCAGTTTAGCGCCCGCCCTTGGTTTGACGCGGACTGTGCTAAAGCAGAGGCACTTAAGCATTTTGCGTATCGCTCCTGGGCGAATGCTCGAGCCCGCAAATCACCAAATGTTCGAAGTCTGAAGAAGGCCTTTAACAGTGCCGCCAAGTCCTGTAAAGGTGTTCTCCGCAAGGCCCGCTTCGATCACATTGGCCGTATAGGAGCCAAATTAGCCTCCTTTCCATCCGGAAGCAAGGCTTTCTGGTCCCTTGCCAAAACAGTCGAAGCCAATTTTTGCCGGTCGTCGCTGCCGCCTTTAATTAAGCCTGACGGATCGCTGGCTCACACCTCCAAAGAGAAGGTTGACTTGTTTGCCTCTATATTTGCGAACAACTCACAACTAGATGCTGCTGGCGTAAACCCACCTAAGCTTCCTCTGTGTTCTTCTACCATGTTGGAAGTTCGCATCCATCAGAAAGAGGTACTCAAAGCGCTAAGCACTCTAGACGTGAATAAAGCCAGTGGGCCCGATGGCATTCCAGCTATTGTCCTGCGGAATTGTGCCCCTGAGTTGTCTCCTATTCTGACTCGCCTATATCGCTTATCCCTTGAGATTGGCCAAGTTCCGAAAACCTGGAAGCTTGCCAATGTCCAACCAGTGCCCAAAAAGGGTAGTCGTGCCGACCCTGCCAACTATCGACCTATTGCAATCACCTCCATACTCTGTAAGTTTATGGAGCGTGTATTGAACAACCGTCTCCTCGCTTACCTCGAAGATAACGATCTACTCAGTGACTGCCAATTTGGTTTCCGCCGTGGGCGATCTACTGGGGATCTTCTTGTGTATGCTACCCACTTATGGAGTGAAGCCATAGAGAAACGCGGCGAAGCTCTCGCCGTTTCTCTTGATATTTCTAAGGCTTTTGACAGGGTCTGGCATGCAAGTCTCATTGGCAAGCTTCCTTCATATGGAATCGCTGTCGGACTTTGCAACTGGATTGCAGATTTTCTGAGGGGCAGATCGATACGAGTGGTCATTAATGGCACATCGTCGGATCTGCTTGGTATTAATGCCGGTGTCCCCCAGGGATCTGTCCTCTCCGCAACTCTTTTCTTGCTGCACATCAATGATCTGCTCCTAACTCCCGGTATCTTTGGGTATGCAGACGACAGCACAGTTTCGGGGAGATATCTGCCTGATGTGAAGTCTGATGCAGATGTCCGATCATTAAGGGAGGCGATGGTGGAGGGAGTGAATGCAACTCTAGAAGCTGTTTCCCTCTGGGGTGAAGCCAACTTGGTTGGATTCAATCCCTCTAAAACACAGGCCTGTCTCTTCTCGACGAAACGGAGTCCATTCCATCTGACTCCGAATTTCCGAAATGTCTCCGTGCCGGTTAAAGACCATCTCTGGACATCTCATCCAGCATCAATTTCGAGTCCATTGCTAAAACCGCTGCCAGAAAACTTGGAATACTTTCTGTGGGCGCTAAACCTAGCAATAAGGTTCGTAGATTCTACCCAGCACTAATTTGGGTATCACCATAGGTAGTATAAGTTTACTTATCTGTTGAAGAGGAGATAGATATCCTACGGGAATCGCTGCACACTACTACCACGAAAGTAAAACAGCAACTCACCTTCAGCAACCGCACTGACCCGGCACTACCCGGGTAATGTCACTGCAGACTTCTTCCTCAGCCTCAACAGCCCACGACGATTTAGCGAGATAATGAAGGACCAGCCTCGGCTAATATCAGCCAAGACAGCGGATAATTAAGCGTTCACTTCACAACAGCGTATGTTTTAAGCACTGAAAAACACAGCACTATGTTCACAGCACGAGCGGTAGGTTCATAAAGAGTATAAACCCTAAGAATATAGAAAGTTCCAGAAAGCGGGAAAACCAGGATTAGCGAGTACGCATCTGGTTGAGTCGCCGTCAATTCGTAGACTGTAGAATGCAGCGATATATCGAGCGGTAACTCTTATAAACTAAAAGTGGGTAGAAAATGAAAAGTTAAATCTATGAACTATGAATGCCTAAGGTTGGCATGAACATAAGGTCAGGCGATACTTTACATCTGAGCAGCTCCTTAACCTTTATCGAGCCCAAGTTCGCTCCTGCTTGGAGTACTGTTGTCACCTTTGGGACGGATCTGCTCGGTATCAGCTGGATGCACTGGACTCGGTGGAACACCGTGCGAAGAGACTCATAGGCAATGACGCTCTCGTTGAGGCTAATCTTCAGAGCCTTGACCACCGAAGACGTGTAGCTTGCCTTTCGGTGTTTTATCGGTTACATTTCGGAGAGTGTGCGGAGGTATTACATAATTTGATCCCCCCTTCCCATTTCCACCACCGGACGACCAGGCGCGGCGAGGGCTTCCACCCTTATGTTGTCGAAGTTCCTCCCATTCGCACGAAGCGATTTGCTTCGGCCTTCATTATACGAACGGCTAGGGAGTGGAACTCCTTGCCGAGGTCTGTTTTCCCGGACCAATATAACCTGGACATCTTCAAGGCCAGAGTGAACAGGCATCTTCTAGGCGGGCGTGTACCATCCTAGGCCTCATCATCGCTTTCCATCAGGTGAGATTGTGGTCAAACGCATTGCCTATCTAGCATAAAAAAAAAAAAAAAAATCTTTTTGGTGGGTTTTTAGTAAAATTATGAATATTTTTTTTGTAAAAACCCCTGCCAATATTCATTCTAAACTCGGATGCTAACAATTGGCACTTTATTTTTAATACTGTCAAATACCCTATTACCATATACTGCCGATTAAAGTTCATTACAGTTTCCGCTAGAGGCGCTCTGGTGTGAAATGTATGGAAACAAAACGAGACGATCATAGTTTTCGAAAACTATTAAAACTCGTACTAAGGGTAAAGAACTCCGTATTCCAAGATATAACAATTTTATTATTCTGTACTTGTTACACCATAGTAGAGTGTGCGGAAAGAGAATGGGCGTGGCGAAAAACGGAACTAACATTAAGATTTTTATTTGGCAATCAAACCTTAGATTAAAACAAAAAGGGTAGATACGGTACGCTCATACTTGCATAAAACAAAAACTGATCCCACGGCAGCGCGAACGAGATCCGCGTCACTGCATTACCGACCCGAAAGAAACAGCACGTTAAGTTTCAACGGCAGCGCGAACGGGACGGCGAGATCCGCGTCACTGCACTACCGACCAATCACGCGACCAGTACTCGACGTCACTACCGAATAAGATTCAAAACAAACAGCAATTTTTATGAAACAATATATTTTATAGTACTTACGAATGAAAAGTGATGCCGTGGGTTTTATTTTTAGTTCTTGAGCAATTTGAGCACTTTTTAAAAACACACTTAGGCATTGTTTTATCATATAAACACAAAATATTAGCAATATTTCTTTTTGACGTTCACATGTATTTTGTCATGTTTGCATGTCAAGTTGTGACTAAAGCGATTAGGGTCGTGGACCACAATTCATGCGGATCACTTTTGTGAGGCTAGTGCCGTATCTACCCTTTTTGTTTTAATCTAAGAATCAAACTCAGCAATCTGTTAAACATCAAAGTTTTGTATTGATACGAATTTGTTTGTTGTTGTGATTTCTGGCGGTTTTTTGTATTTGATATAATACTATACTTCCACTCTATGTTAGACTAGCTACAGACTAAAAAACCCCTTGTTTTTACCCGGCTGCGCAATGCAAGAGCGCGAAGCGCGACGCGCGACGCGCAGACAGGGTTATGTGTTTAACAGTCTATATAATATGTATGTTTGTTCCTTTGTGGCACACTAGAGACCAAACGCCTGGACCGATTTTGTTGATTCATACATCAATCGATTCGTCTCAATCATGGGAGTGCTACTAAAGATATAATAGTAATCAAAATTCAATATGGGCAACATTAGGCGCCATATTGTGACGAAGTAAAAAAAATAAGTTGCCAAAATATGTCGAGTGGGGTATCACTGTCTAGATAATCAAAAATCATATTTAGGTTCCTAACACCATTTTTCATTTTATATGATTGTTTAGGATCTACAACGCTTTAAAGTTGTATATTAACCACTTACGCTTTTAATTTCAATCTTACGTTTGTATCTTTGTTACTCTTTCACCTAAAAAATACCGAATGGATTTTAATGAAACTTAACAGTAATATAGTTCATATATGATAATTACATATATATAATAATTTATGTAATTATTGAGTGAATTGGCCAATATATAACAATAAGTGTCACATAAGACGGAAAAAAATCTCCCATCTGCGAGCCATTTTGGCCTGCACTGCAAAGACAATAAAAGTTACATGAATGTAATGTAGAGTGAAAATGTATCTTTTAAATAGTTCTAAAAAAAGTCCGTGACACCATATATCTATTTTTAATGTGTAAGTCATTACCGCTAAAATAGTGAATCAAAACTAAAATATTATTTGATATCTATTTCCAAAATGCACATTTTGTATTAACAAATCATTTTTTATCCAAACAAATACTTTTATCGCTTTTGATATTTAAAGACGATAAACTTTGCTTTTTACACTATGTCATTTCGACAAATATTTAAAAAGTTACAATGATGACAAAGTGATAGCGCGGTGTACTATGTAAAAGAAAAAAAATTGGGGTATTCGCAGTATCTGATCCTATACGAAGTACTAACAATAAAACTGTGATACAGTTCCTTCTTATTAAATGATGAAAAATATATTATCATAATAGGTATTTATGATTATTGAATTTTAATGAAAAACTCAGAATTTTACTGTTTTTCATTTTTTTTAACGATATTACTTAATGTTACAAAAAAGGTTTACTTAATATAATGACAAATAACCCATTTTTCGCTAGTAAGTACATACTTATTGGAATCCCTGTATTTATTAATCAGCTCGCAATAATATTGGTTTTGTAATAATTCTGCAAAATTCAAAGTAAATAATGTAGATTTTTATAGGCAAATCACGCCTTTCATCACCCTACGCCTATAAGTATTGCGATGTTGTAGCTAAGAACCAAGTTCCCATCTACTTCTATAAGGGAATTCATTATATTCGATTTAGCTATTAGGGCACGGAAGTGCAACAAACAAATTCACTTTCGCATCTATAATATTATATTATGCTTACTAGTGATCCACCCGGGCATTGTACGGGCGAAATTTATTTATCGGGATAAAATATAGCCTATGTCACTCGGACAAAATGTATTTAAATAAAGAAAAAAGGTTATAATAAATAACGTAGCTACCTTATGATGAATTAATATTTGAAACCGGTTCAGTAGTTTGACAGATTATTTGTTACAAACATACAAATCTTGCTTCTTTATAATATTAGTATAGATAGTTATAAGTATTTAATTGATGAAAAAGATTTAAAAATAAAGTAAGTAATAGGTTTATTTGATTATATTTTAAAAGTTACTTAGCATTTGTGCTTAACAGTGGTACGTTATTCAGTATTTTTTTAAACAAAAAAAATTTGGAAAATATTTGCCATGATTGCACTACTGGGAGTACTCTTCATTCGAGCTTTACACTACCAATAAAAAAGGGTCGAACACAAAGTCTTTGACCTGTTAAATGTGAACGCTTTAAAAGAAAACTACAAAGAGAACTATAAATTGATAATAAATGAGATTGCTATGGTGCTCTACCTAACTTTATGAAAATTTTATTATGCGCCTTTAGTTTAATCAAATATTATAAACTTTGCTTTGGTGATTGCATAATTATTTAATTTAGTGATCTAAGGCAATTGCTACCATTGTCCAAAACAACAGACGGGAATTACTGCTTTCTTCAACCTGCGACATAAACGTCATTGATTGGTATTGTATATAGGGTGATTAAAAACATTTGAAGTTAACTTCTGGCATCTACATATTGGGTTTCTGTGAATTATGTAGGTTTATCAAATTATGAGACTAGGGACTGACACTGAATTTGTGTATATCACAATCTTAGACGTCCGGCATTGACATGACAATGCAGCCACTGCCAATTTTAAATAGTCGACGAATAAAAGTAAATGAATTTTATATTTACTGCTAAACTATTAAAAAAAACATAAACAAAAGATGACTTTTTGAGTAAGTGCTAGTTCCTATAAAATTTACATACATAAGAGATATTTATGTAACGACTTGATTTAACTTCACACATTTTTGCGAAAATTGAGGCCCATCTGTAGCCTTGACCCCGCTGGTAAAGTCTTTATATGTCTTAATAAATCAATCTTTTAGACCGACGCCAGGTACTTAATAATTCCCGCGATATTAATTCCCATACTGAAGTCACAAGACTACGGTATATACCGTCTTAAAATACTAACTAACTAAAAAGTGTGAAATAAAAAAGGTAAATTTAAAAAATCAAAAAACCCGACTGCTTAATTATACTTCAAATAAAAACTGAAAAGAAAAAAACAAGTCCAGTAGTCTATAATTCTGTTAATAAGGAACAAAGCTACTTTAACAGTCGGGACCCACTGTTGAAAAATATTATGTATTCTTGAATATCTAATGGGTCCCGACTGTTAAAGTAGCTTTATTCCTTATTAACAGAATTACAGACTACTGGACTTGTTTTTTCTTTTCAGTTTTTATTTGAAGTATAATTAAGCAGTCGGGTTTTTTGATTTTTTAAATTTACCTTTTTTGTTTACTGTCCCGATCTGCAACCCCAAATCCCGATTTTTTTGACCTCGTGTACCGATTTAAAACAAATCTGACCTGACAACACTAGATTCAACAGTGGATAGGGTTACCAGATGATAAAATCAGAAGTCCGGAGAAAAGGCTTGATTTCCATTGAAAAATCCTGAGATGTTTTACAGTTTGAGAATTTTCTCTCAAACGTACTTAACAATTTAAAAAAGTCGTAATATTATCGTTTATACTCTGCTTATACTTTTAAATCAATATAACTTGAAGAGTTTAACATGTGGAGCATTATATGAATCCATAATTAAAGAAAAAACCTTACTTAAAAATGTATCTTCACATATTAAGTATGATAAAACTGATTAAGTTAAGATTAACTTGGATAATGAATTACTGATTTTAATTGTGCAATCACTTTGTTTGTTTAACTTTTTATTAAAGAGATCTTTAAAACGTAAGCTATATTTTATTGGAAATTCAGAAAATCCTGAGATTTCATGAGTTTTGCAAAATCTAGCCGCAATCCTGAGAAGAGTCCAAAAATCCTGAAATCTCAGGACAAATCCTGAGATATGGTAACCCTAACATTAATAGGCTGATGATGATTATGCAACTTGTTATTCAGTGGCCTGTCCCAGCGGCGATGGTATGAAAGACGCTGAGCATGTGTTTCGGCGATCTCAACACGGTGCTGCCTCAAAGACAAGTCGGGACTCCTTTAAATACACTGTACTAAGAAGTCATTACGTAAGTTCTTTTTGTTTTTATTAAATATAAATAATATAAATATAAATATTTCCAACACTCACACCAATTAGCCTAGCCCCAAAGTAAGCACTAGTAAGTCTTGTGTTACGGGATACTAGGGTAACGGATAGAATACATATACTGTACATATATAAGTATATTTATATAGAAATACATATTAAACATCCATGACTGGAGTACAAATGCTCGTGTTCATCACATAAACATCTGCCCCCACCGGGATTCGAACCCGGGACCTCTCGAGTCGGCGACACCATGAAACCCGGTGTACAAACGGTATGTCGTCATAAAAACTAACTGTGCCCCGCGGTGTTACCTCAAGTTCATTAGGGATATTTTCCCGCGGTAAAACGTAACCTATGTGATAATCCAGAGTGTCAGTTAACTCCATGCCAGATTTTATTCAAAATCGCTCCAGCCGTTTAGACGTGAAGAAGTAACAAACATACACACAAAATTTTCGCCTTTAGGTATAATATTAGATCATAGATCTTAGATTTATTTTTTATTTCAAGGACAGGGCCGAGTCACAATAGGACTATTTTTTTTTCTTCGTTTATCAGGTAGATTATCAAAAAGTATTGGACACGTTTTTTTCCTTTTTGCACATAATATAAACATTGTAGAGATATATTGATTTATAAGTCGCATGACGTCACTTTTTGGTACACTTAAGTGAAAATTCACTAAAAAGTAACGTCATGAGCCCCTACTCCCAAACTTTGACGCGCTATAACTTTGTCATGTTTTGGTTGATTGCCCAAGGTTTGACGACCTCCTTGGCCGAGTGGTTTATACGCCGGGTTTCATGGCGTCGCCGACTCGTGAGGTCCCGGGTTCGAATCCCGGTGGGGGCAGATATTTATGTGATGAACACGAGCATTTGTACTCCAGTCATGGATGTTTAAATATGTATTTCTATATAAATATACTTATATATGTATAGTATGTATTCTATCCGTTGCCCTAGTATCCCTTATCACAAGCCTTATAGTGCTTACTTTGGGGCCTAGGCTAATTGGTGTGTTAAAAAAAATTCGTTTACTGTACCCCGTCATCACCCCTATACTGTATGGATAATATTACTGTGCACTTCTACCTACTGTTTTTTTCCTGTAACCCCGCCGATTGTTTTAAATCGGAGCTGGCGACTCTGATTGGTCTGTTTTCGTCCAGTGGTTGTGGATATTGAGCGCGTGGTGCGTGTGCGCGGGCGCGGCGTGGGCGGCGCGGGCGGCGCGCGGCGCGCGGCGCGGTGAGTGAGTGAGACGGATATATCCCGCTCCCGACTATAAGCTAGAGGTGTAAAAGTAACGAAAAAAAGCGTACCCGTATGTATTCGTTACTTTAACAATTAGTACTCGTTACTATAGTATCGTTACGTTACTCGTTACTTCTCATAAAAAAAATCGGTTTTACTATTTTGAAATTTTTAACAGTGAGCTTGTGTTATATCTATATATCAGTTACGCAGACGGTTGTAACACAAAATCACACCAATTTTTTTTCACAATATCCACTATGAACGAATTTAAAAATAATTAAAATAAGACGCCAACCGCACTCGATGAAATCCCGCCAAAAGCTCCAACGTACGTTTTTAAATTCTCCGAATATGCTCGCGCATGCTTAAAACATACGATCAGCAAATGTTTCTATACACACATCAACTGTACTTGCGTAAACTGAAACATATAGATAGTCATACTACGAAAAATGCGAGTAACGAAATTTATTTGTGTGTAACGATTCGTTACTCGGTACTAGATGGCGCACCCGTTACTCAGTAGTCAGTACTGAATACATACGGTTTGCTACAGCTCTACTATAAGCCGCACCAATAAAGAAACGAATCTAAAATGGCGGCGGCGATCATGCGCTTTCACTCTAAACTATTGCTGTCTTTAGTCGCGCACGGCGCGTACAGCATGCAAAAAATAAAAAAATTGTGTGTGTCAGCTCCGACGCACGACCGGAGTTTACACTCTAAAAACGATTGTCTTTGAACAGACACAAAACAAAATCAAGTCCGAAGAAGTCGGTTACAAGTAGAGATACCTCAGGAATCGTCCCATGGTTTCGACTATCATAGGTTCCATGTCACAAATTTTATCATCTAACATCAGCGATATTCATCATATATTTTATTATGTATTTCTGGAAACACACAATTTCAAAAATATCACACACTAGTCATCATTTTGTAAATATGTATTATAATTCCATCTGTACTGAAAATCACTATTCCAGAGTGCTGGACACTTACCGGCATTTCTCTATATTCTGTTATTTATTTGTTTTCATTAATTTTGCTCCGATTTTATCTATTTTTAGTTTATTTATTTTATTGAAATTTGTGACAACATGTTTTTTATCCGTTGCCACGGCTAAAAGTGAAAGGTGCGCAGATGAGGTTGCGCACAAAAACGTAACGAGGTCATTAATGTCATTCATCGATAGATTTTACTCCTCACATTTTTCTCATACCGGGCCCCTTATATATGCAAATACTCCAAAAAATCATTTCTGACTTTGTTCTCGCACTGTCTCGACATTACTTAATAAACAGGTTTTTCTTTCCATCTTTCTTTTTATTTTTTGACCATAGCATCTGTCAGTGCAGGTACATAGACGCCATTTTTGATTCGTTTCTTTATTGGTACGGCTTAAACTATCACTTCATTATGTAAACACTAGTGGGCCGCCCGTGTAGAGCTGTAGTGAACACTATATAGATAGTTTTTGTTCAAAGGCTTGTATTAATTGTATTATACACGTTAACTTTCTTCATAATAATTATAAACCTTCCATTCCAAGTAAAATTTTTGATGTGTAACATCTTTCTTCTCGTTTTCCTGCAATTTGTGGGAGTGATTTCGTGAAATGGAACGGAAAAGGGTGTAACAGGAAGTCGGCAAAGCGCGCGCTATTTGATTTGATTTTAGAACAATGTTCAAATGGCTTATTCCTTTTGTAGTAGGTTTAATTTCTTTTTTTACTAAAATAAGGTGAGGTTTCAAATGTTACACATCATACACGACTACTGTAAGGCTCACTCGTTTTTTTTGCGTAGTTTAGTAACCGTCGTACCGAATGCACCATTGCTACGCTGTTCCGATTTGAAAAAATCTTTTTGTATCGAATAGTACTTAAGGCTTTATAACATCACGCTGCAACCAATAGGAGAGGAGTATCTATGTCAAATGTTGCAAAAACGGTTAAAAATATTCCATTTGTGAACTTCCGTTGCGTGCGCTGCGTAAATGATTAAAGTTACACAAAAATCATGTATGTCGGAATTATTCCCCTTTAAAAGTTCTGTAATAAAGATCGCAAGTTTGACTCACAATAACCTTTTTCTTTAAAATGGCGGTCTCAGAAGGACGATTATGTTGTCCGAAAATATCACGAATTTGACAAAATGTAACTCTGTAACAGAACCACTATTTCCATAGTGGATTTTAATTATTTTAATTCGATTTTCAAGCGAAATTGAATTCATTGTAACAATTGCTAATGCATCTTCTACGACTACGTCAAAAAACTAAATGTGAAAACTATCATATTGTTGGTGTAGCTACAATTCAAAAACAATCCGTTATAAGTCAAGCAAGACACAGATTTCTCAGGGTACCGTAATTCTGACGAGGTTAACTACAAGGAACCCTTATAGTTTAGTCATGTCCGTCTGTCTGTCCGTCCCCGGTTTTGCGTGAAGAATTTTGTAGAAATATGTATATCAATCATAGAATACTTATTATAGTGTTTTTCATGATAATTTAAGGAAAATTATAACTAACTAGTGGCCCGCCCTCGCTTTGCTTCGGTGTAGAGCTGTAGTGTAGACTTTAATTTCTGTTCAAAGGCTAGTTTTATACGCAATGACTTAGTTCATAATAATTATAAACCTTCCATTCAAAGTGAAAAATTCGTTGCGTAGTTTAGGAACCGTTGTACCGAATGCAACATGGCTCTGCTGTTCCGATTTGAAAAAAAAATGGGTGCGTGTACTTATGTAGGCGCGTGAGAAGTTATCCTTCTTTGGCATCGTTTAAAATTAGTTTTTAATTGCATGCAAATAATTAATTACAATAAATTAATAAAAAGTCTGGAAAAGGACACAGTCAATAAAGTTCACTTTTAATTTGAAAAAATAAATAAATAATCAAAATATTCAATTAAAATCGCTACTGAATATAATTTATTAGAACATATGTGATTTGCACTTGTATGAAACTCAAACACGTATTCCGAATATACAAACTAGAAATATGTGGATAAATATTATAAATATGAACACCTATAACTGTTACTTTATTACAAAAATAAAGATGTGGTTTTTGGTTCTACTACACCAATGGTCAAGAGATGGCGCTGTAGTCTCCTGAATCGCGCTTTGGTTCCGTTGTTCCAGATTAATAAATACTTTTGATAGGCCTTCACAATGCAGTCGTTAGCACCCACTAAATAGAGATTCTATTTCTATTTTGTTGGTAGATTTTCTTAATGTGCGGTAAACACAAAAGTAACAGCATGAAGTTGGTTGCTAAAGCGACCAACTTCATGCTGTTAAAATTTTGTGTTACAGTGATGCGCGCGCATCTTAAAATTTCACTCTCATCATTTTTTCATAACGCGCCTAAAGAAGTATAACTTCAAAAATCTTTTTGTATTGGACACCTCGACAGTGTGCGAAGTGTGTTTATGTACACATAAATGATTAAAGTTACACAAAAATCATGTATGGCGGAATTATTCCCCTTTAAAAGTTCTGTAAAAAGTTTGCGACAGCATATCTCCATATTGTAACTTTGACTCACTATAACCTTTTTCTTCAAATCAACGCGGGTGAAACCGCAAGGTACCTTTAGATGTCAGTACAGTTATGTCAACTGTAATATCACGGTAATATTATATTTAATACTAGTGGCCCGCCCTCGCTTCGTTTCGGTGTAGAGCTGCAGTGTAAACTATAGTTTTTGTTCTCAGGCTTGTGTTATAAACAATGACTTTATTTATATAATTACACGTGTTATTGTGAGTCAACCATAAAATATAGACATATGCTGTTGCGGGATATTATTTAGACAATTTTATGTAGAATATTTTTGTCATACATGATTTCTATGTAACTTTAACCATTGAGGCTGCACACGCGACGGAAGCTTAAAAAATGGAGTAACTTCTCCCGTTTTCCCAACATTTCCCTTCACTACTCTGCTCCTATTGATTGTAGCGTGATGAAAAGTATACTATAACCTGCCCAGGAGTATGAAGAATAATTGTACCAAGTTTTGTTAAAATCCGTCGAGTAGTTTTTGTTTCTATAAGGAACATACACACAGACAGACAGACAGACAAAAATTATACTGATTGCATTTTTGGCATCAGTATCGATCACTAATCACCCCCTGATAGTTATTTTGAAAATATATTTCATGTACAGAATTGACCTCTACAGATTTATTATAAGTATAGATTACCGTGGTAATATGTAGTTAGACATATGGTATCGCGGACTAGATATTGATGTCCTCTATAAAACTTTAGTATATCAGTTTGCTCTACTGTCAAAGAAGTCCGCTGCGTAAGCGATATAAGGTTTTTTTTTCACACGCTGGGTTCATCATCATTATCAGCCTATTAATGTCCCCACTGCTGGGGCACAGGCCTTCCCTATGGATGGAATAGGGAAATTGGGCCATGACCCACCACGCGGGCCCAGTGCAGATTGGTGGGTGCTAACGACTGCAGATGCAGCCGGGACCAACGGCTTAACGTGCCTCCCGAAGCACGGAGGAATTCAAAATAGAAGATTTTGGTCACCCATCCAATGACCGACAACTGCGATAGTGGCTTTACTTCAACGATCGATCTTCAAGTTTTCAAATGGAACCCAAACTTTTTTGAAAGTACTCTGTAGCCTATGTTCATGAGGAATAATGTAGGATTCTAAACTAGAAAGATTTTTTCAAATCGGTCCAGTAGTTTCGGAGGCTATTCAATACAAACAAACACTCAAATCTTTCCTCTTTATAATATTAGTTTAAATAGTATAAATGATTAAATCGATCGAAAAAAGATTCCCCCTTAAATATTTATTTATAGCACAGTGTGACCTAAACCCGCACTTTACGCACGCTTTTCCGTGACCTAAGTTGCCTATTTCTGCACGGTGTGTAAATGAATTGACCAACTTCACTCATGTAGAAAAAATAAAAGGAAACACATTTAAATGTCATTTGGAGCTTAAAAACTGACAGCAAACAAATGAAAAATTAGCGATACGTTAGGGATTTTCAGTGACAGCCAAAACAAGGAGAAACGGTTAGCTATAATTCATTCCGCGAGAATTGTATCTTTGTTTAATATATTGTTATGCCAATCAAGGAATAAACGTTCATGGATACATTGAAATTCTATTTTGTTGTAATGGTATTTGATTTTTTCCTTTTGAAATATACTTTCAAAATGGTAATCTGAACTGGAATTCTTTCTTTTCAGAGTTTGACTTGCAGTCTGTATTGCAATTCTTTGTGATTGCAATACATGAATTTTACATTCAAAACACTAATCGCATCCCTCCCCCCCCCCCCCCTCTTGCCCGCGTCCGGGGCGGGTTTATGTCACACTTGCTATAAAATAGTATACGATACTTGTGGCCGAAGTTGTCTATTACTGCACGGCGTTTAGCACCGGGCGCTAACTTCACGCCGTGCAGTAATAGGCAACTTAGGTCACGCGTATCGTAATGTACTACTCCTATGCGACAACATGAATACATCATTTGTGAAAATTTTAATTGTCTAACCATCATGGTTCATGAGATAGACTGGTGACAGATAGACGGACAGTAGTCTCAGTAGGTAATAGGGTCCTGTTTTACCCTTTGGATTTTACTAAGACTCCGCTGTCCGTCCGCCTGTCTGTCCGTCTGTCTGTCAGTCACCAGGCTGTATCTCATGAACCGTGATAAAATAAATATTATAATTTTTATTATTTTTAAAGCATGTAACTGCTTGATGTTTAAATCTAAAGAAAATATAACTAGAAATAAATATTAGTTGAATTCTGCTCAGTGGTAGCGGCGCAGTCTCCGTCGGGCATCAAACCGGCACCCACGGCTCGGCCGCTCTCCCCCTCGAGGGTGATACTGACGAAGTTCTTCAGGGCATCGCGAACTTCCACTAAAGCTACGGGTAAGTGACGCCTTGTTCACTGGTGGTTTACAGTCAATAATAGGTCGTCTCGGGAAAGGACATAGGCAAGACGTATAGCAAACCAATATTTCCACTGAGATAAAGTCGCGGGCAACATATCTATCTATAATCTATATACATAAAACCCAAAGGTGACTGACTGACATAGTGATCTATCAACGCACAGCCCAAACCACTGGACGGATCGGGCTGAAATTTAGCATGCAGGTAGATGTTATGACGTAAGCATCCGCTAAGAAAGGATTTTGATCAATTCCACCCCCAAGGGGATAAAATAGGGAATGAAAGTTTGTATGAAACTTTGTCAACTTTAAACCGATCGGGCTGAAACTTTGCATGTAGGTATAAGAAGAATCATAGATGAATGTCATTGTGTATAATACAAGCCTGCGAACAAAAACTGTAGTCTACACTTCAGCTTTACACCGAAGCGAAGCGAGGGCGGGCCGCTAGTATTACATTATAATTGTTTCAAACTCTAAGCCACTGAGATATTTTTCGGTTAATTTTGGTATGTAGCTAAAGGTTACCCTTTCTGTCTTTATTATTCACAAATAGAATCCCCCAATGGAAATATGAATCCAGAATCATAGGAGCAGAAGTTCAGCCATTGCACCAAAGGAGCCGCTCGATGGCTGCTGATCTTGGAAGTCAAGCAACTTCCTCAATGGTCTGTCATTAGATGGGTGACCAAAAACATATTGGGTGTATTCCGAAATATAAACCAGTACGCTGGCCAGTGGTAATGACGTCATGATTTCGACGCCATATTGCACTGTTGTAGTTGTCAATATGGCGTCGAAATCATGACGTCATTACCACTGGCCAACGTACTGGTGTTTGATTCGGAATACACCCATTATCTCTCCTCTGTGTTTCGGAAGGCACGTTGAGCCGTTGGTTCCGGTCATCTGCAGTCGTCAACACCCACTGACCGCAGTCACGGCTAGGCTTGCCAGATGGCCGGGATATCCGGGATTGTCCCAGAATTATGCGTCTCATCCCGTGTCCAGTAATTAGACCTTATTGTCCGGAATTCCGATAATGTGCTAGTTTCGTAACAAAATAAACTAATAACGAATGACACCTCTGTCCTGCTTGATGTTTTAATTCTCGGGGGTGATTTTGGTTTGATTTGATGCTTTATTTTTTCAGGGGGGGGGAGGGGGGGGGGGGGGCAAAAGTCTCGAAATTGATAAGCCAGCATCTGGCAACCCTTGTCACGGCCCGTTATCCCTATTCCATCCATTTTGAAGGCCTGTGCCCCAGCTGTGGGCTTTAGTTGATTGCAATGACGTATGATATATAAACAGGTTATACGCCAACAATGTCTGTCCTTTTCATTCTGTATAGAGAATGACAAGGATACACGGTTGTCAAATTTAAATTTAGATTTAGAGAATCGTGCCAGAATCGACACCTTTTAAAATGACACACGTAGTCCCCGCCCCAACTTCCCTTGGCAACAGCCGCCCATAGAGCGCACTAAAGTAGTCTCTTTCACTCTCATGCTTAAAGCAGATTGCGTCTCGCTCTTAATCTGCACGCGTCAACAGCTGTTGACCAACTGTCAAACTAAGTATTAACTAAATATTTTTACATTGAAAGCGGACGCGAGCTGAGAGACGTTTAAGAAATAGGTATTTGAATAAACTATTGCTGTCACGCATTGGCAAATACCGTGCGAGAGGGACAACAGTAGTTAACGCAGAAAATTGCATATAAAAATTACTAAATTCGAGGTTTAGCTCTCGACGATCCTCGAAAATGAGATATATGTAAAATAACTTTTACACAAAGAATAAAATTAGCAGTTAAACGATGCCTCTATGTTTTGGTATTTTTTTTAATGCTTTTAATAAGCCTCTCCACACTAGACGTCTTTAGTGGTGATAAAATATTGTTTATTTTTGGCTTTTTCCGAAAAAAAGGAAGATAAAGGGGCATATAATGAGTAAAATTATATTTCTAATGTATTTTTATAAAAATCAATTTTTAGCGATAAAACTCAAGAAGGAATCAGTCGAGGGCGTTTGTATAGAAAAAGCATCGCCCGCCTCCTCTTTTAATTTCTTTAAAACTTTCTGTAAACCAAAGTTTCTATTATTATTAATATTATTATTATTAATTTTTGAAGTTATACTTCTTTAGCCGCGTTATGAAAAAATTATGAGAGTGAAATTTTAAGATGCGCGCGCATCACTGTAACACAAAAGTAACATAATGAAGTTAGCCGCGGGCGCGTTATGAAAAAATGATGAGAGTGAAATTTTAAGATGCGCGCGTATCACTGTAACACAATGGTAACACCATGAAGTTGGCCGCGGGCGCGTTATGAATGTTAGTGTCTAATAATGGTGGATTATTAACCACTTAGTGGTTAATAATCCACCATTATTAGACATCTGTTCGAAAGGTACTTTGAACGATCCACGGAGCTCCATAAGATGATCGCGTTGTCAAAAACAATGTTGGCACGCTCGTCGCCTCTGATCACTGTTTTCATATTTATAATATTTATCCACATGTTTCTAGTTTCTATATAGACACAACGTGTTTTAGTTACTTACAAGTGCTAATTACATATGGACTAATAACTTAAATTCAGTAGTGATTTTAATTGAATATTTTGAATATTTATTTAATTTTTCAAATTAAAACTGAACTTAATTGACTGTGTTAACTATCCTTTTCCAGTCCTTTTATTATTTTATTGTAATTATTAATTATTTGCATGCAATTAAAAAATATTTTTAATGATGCTAAAGAAGTATAACTTCTCACGCGCGTACATAAGTTACACGCATCCATTTTTTTATAATCGAGTTATGTTACTTTACATTTCAGATTCCCAAGAAACCAAATTCGCTTTATGGAAAGTCAAGAAGGTGCCGCCCCCGCTGCCTCCGATAGATTTCGATTTATAAGATCTTCGTTTAATGCCTTGTCCTCAAAGATGTTAAAAACCCTTTCTCCCCCGTAGAATATGAATAACACAGGTTCCTTTATTGGGAGGGTTCATATCAAAGATCACAGAAAGAGGTAAGAAGGGCCTTGTGGTGGGACAGGCGCGCCGCAGTTATGTGTGAGCAAATGCTCATAACTTGACCAAAACTTGGTTGTGATTGCGTCGTAGCTCTCGGTTGTGAGCTCTGATTGGTTCGATTATTCGATGTCGCGTCGTTTGATTGGCTACCTATTATCTTTTAGGTGGAAAAGTAGCGAGCCAGCGACATCGGTCACCGTCGAACCCTACCAACCTCTTTCCGAATTCTGTGGTCCATATAATGTTCTTTGATGGTGATGATGAGCGAAGTGAACAGATTACTGTAACTGGTATTTATTATCCTGCCCTGGTTATGTGTAACTAGTAAAAAAATACGTGTTTAAAACAGGGGTTTTATGTGACCCTCAGTAAATAGGTAATTTGAGTTAGCCGTTATGTTTTTTTTTTAATGAAATTCCCGTTTATTTCGTATTAGGTTTTCAAATAAGTTTGTCACTCAAAATAAAGAACGAAAATTTTCGATTAGCTAACTAAATTAAGGTTAGATTGGAACTATGTATGTACTGGTTAAACTGTGTTATTATAGTTCTTTGCAATTACTGATAAAAATGACATATTTAAAAAAAATACGTCAAGTTTTAATATCTGTGATTTGATTAATAGAAGCCAGGTCAGCCGAATACTAGATTCACAGATGCCATAAAATATTTTGTTTTGTAAATGTCTATATTAAATTTATCAGAAAATAACTTGTTTTACGCTCATCAGGTTATTTACCACTGAATGTGACTTTTTTTACACATGATTTACAAGGAAATTTTGAAATAGGTATTAATTTAATAGTGAAAATAGACATAATTTTATTTTGTGTAAGCGTATGATGTTGATGCAAGTATTTTTAGATATAGTTTTGTTTAAGGGAGGCACTTATCTTAGTCACCTATTTTCTAAGAGATATAATTATTATGTAAAATGTTATATTGTGTATTATTCATACTGCATTAAGTTTAATAAAGAACCTGTGACTGGAACTTTTTTTTTATTTATCAAGTCTTAGCTTGTGTTTCTAACAACTTTGTCTGCGTAGATTGAATTGGTTTCCCATACATAGTTACACCACTGCTCCACCAACCCCCTTTCACCCTCAAAGGATGATGCCTAAGACTCAAAACTTTTTCATACTAAATTTCATCTCGATCAGTTTAGTGGCTTAAGTGTGAAGAAGTTAAACTGACACTCGCTGTTTATAATTTTAACCTCTTATTTTATTGAATATGTATGTCATAATTATAGTCGATTAAAGAAGGTGCCGACTACTTGTACTAGCTATCTTTGCTCAAATATTTTCGTACTCTTTCATAATAAATCCTGCAAAAGGTCAGGGTAAAACGTTGCAGTCAAAGCATAGGTTCGGAAGTAGCCCTCTTTCTTTTTATTGTGACTTTAGTGATGCGCAGTTTAACTAGGTACCCAGTAGTATTTAATGAATCAATAATTTTACTGCGGACGTACCTATTCATCACATAACTCGGAATTTGTATTTTTCGCAACTCAAAATCAGTGTTCAAATGTTTTGATTATTGTTAAAACATTGAGGAAGCAAATACCTGATAATAAGAAGCAAGCAAAAACAAATGGAAAGCAATTCTGGGTCATCATTTTAGCGCCCGAGATACGAGTAGTTGATCCACTATCGCAAAATCATTGTAATTTATTCGGTTATGATTGGGCTGGCTGCCAGTAACTCAACACGAGCTATCTAAATAGCATAGTATAATAAGGTGACTGTAAACAAAAGTCAGTCATATTGAAAATTATCGAGTACAATAATATTTGCCCCCCCCCCCCCCCCCCCCTAACCATAATCACCGCGATAAAGTTCTTTTTTATCACGCCCAATTGTCGAACTACTATGGACTGTGGCAGTTAGATGCGATAAAAACGTGATATAAAGTTCGATAAGGATCTTTATGAATGTGGCGAAATTCTACCGTCTTTGTAAACGACAGACGACATATTTTGTATATTGACACAATGATATGATACTTGTTGTACTGTAAGGGGTCATCCGTAGCATTTATCTATACCTATTTGATAACAGTGTATCCTTGGCATTAATTTGGCATTATGTTAAATTTAGTTTTTAAGTTTAGGGATGACCCCTGATGATGGAAAAAACCAGACAGTGGTGTGGTCTGCTAATCATGGCAGACCACACCGCTGTCTTGTTTTTTTACCCGGTATGACTCTGCCATTTCATCCAGCCCACAAGGCTCGATGAAATGGCAGGAGGCGGAGAGGAGCCTACGGAGCCTGTGCATGCAAATTTCCCGGTGTGTAACGTATGTATGTATGTATGTATACAGTCATATATTTTCCAAACACAAAAGAAAAGGGTAGGCAACAGCGCGAGTGATATTTTTAGTATCGCAAGCGTCTAGGGGACTAGTCACTGGTATCGATACAAAGTAATTGAGTTCTCTACGGTATTGATACTTTTCCGTATCTGTGACTTCTGAATTCTGTAGTCTGTGGAAAGCGGCTGTTGACCTTTTCACTGTCAAGTCAAATCCGGAAATTGGTTAATTTCAGTGACTGACTAGTGTTTTTACTGTTTAATTTACTGACAAACGGCCCGAAAATAGCTTCGTGCTGATTAATAAATTACGTATGCAATAAATCAACGCTCTAATTTATTCCTTGGATTAAAAGTGCAGTGTTAACTATTGAAACAAGAAAAACTTGATCTGTGACGCGTTGGGCGTTGGTACATTGTTGCTACAGTTTTGTACAACCAAAACTCATTAAAAATGGATCATAATGACGAATATCACGATCCAGACTATCAGGAGACGACGGTGGTAGTAAAAGACGAGCCTCTAGAGTTCGCAGAAGACGAAAAAATCAATTTAATCAAATCGATAATTCGCCGGGAATTCTCAAACGAGTTGGAGATCAGAGAAAACGAAGTAATGCTTATTGAACAAAGGTAAGTAACTGTTTACTCGCTGTTCTTGGTGAATAAAATGAAAGAAAGAGGTTATAGTTTATCATTGCAATGTATGCATAATTATCGTGACCATGTGTTATTTACATGCACACTCGGTAGGCATGGCGCGAATTTCCATCATAATCAAAATAGTAATTGTTAAAAACATTTTCATTTGCAAATTTTCTTTATAATAATAATAACCACAATATTACATGGTAATTAGATTATTAAAACTCACTATACTTGTTTTTGCCTCTGTAAGTACCTACAATCGAATAATTTTGTTCTCATTAAGAACACATTATAATTGTCATCAATGTAATCAAATGCTCGGATTCTTTACTTATTGAACCAATCACCTCAACAATCGAAAAGTATAATTTCCTTACACAATACTTTTATGAATTATGAACATGTCAAATGTGCACCATGTGTGATCTATTTATTATTTATAAAAGGCACATGCAATCTGATATCTACTAGAGCTGTTAATGTAATGAAAAATAGCATACCTAATAAGACCTATGATTATTTGTGGCTTTTTTACAATGTTCATATGGAAGGCATGGAAAGAGTGTGATAAATTGTAAATGTAATTGAATTTTATAAAACACAATAGTCAAAATCCAATATTTTGTGACAAATAATTTTTTTTAGGGTTGCGATATTGCTCTCTGATATATATTGATCCGATATTGGAGAGGCATATGTCTGGCAGTGGACTAAGATAGGCTGTTGATGATATTGCTCTCCTATTTTAATTGTTACTCAATTAGATCCAATATTGAATATACATAAAATGTTGTGTGTCATATAAATAAAACAAATGCTCGAAAGCAAGTTGATTTATTCATAGTTTTTTGTGTCATAATAATTTCATTTATTTTCACACTCCTTTCTTATTGATAAATGTAATTGTCATATCGTTTTTTTCAGCAAAAACCCAATAATTCAAAAAGAGTTGTGCGTCTGCCTTTAATGTATTTTTAATAATCCTTTATGTCACACATCACATTATATTTGGTAATTATTGACCCATTGATGGGATTAATCTTCATCTTAATACTCAAAAGAATAAACATATATCTACCAGTAAATATTACAACTAGGTATTTTATTGTGCAAAGTTTTAGTGAGTCACTAAAAACTCCTTGTTTATTGTAAAAGTTGTGTTGTAGTTGTAGGGATTAGAAAGAATATATTTGAATTAAATTTCATAAAGTGCAATTGGTTGTGTCACACATACAACATTTTTGTATTGCACAATGGCTTGTGTATGCGGTTGGGGGAACAAACATGGGTACTACAGGGAACAAAATCTTCAAAGCGTCCACCTGTGGTTGGTCCACATGTATGATCAGTATTTATTTAAAGAGTTGTTGTATCTAGGGTATTTAATATCGTTAGTCGATTGAATAACATGATTAGAATGACAAGCTGTGTTTTCACATTTTTTTATACTATAATAATAAATAATAATAATAAATATTTATTAATGAAAAAAGACATTTCATAAAACATGTGTACATTAGAAGCTGCTGAAGTATAAAACTGTGTCGCAGCCACTAACGCCCACCTCCAGAGAAAAATAATAATAATAAGCAAAAATTACACAAAAATAATTAAAAAAAAATTAAATATACCTACTTAAATGTGTAACTCAACAGTAACAAATTTTCTATGGTTTCCTTTCAAAACAAATTATATCTATGATTTAGTTCTTGATTATGTTCTCATTCTCATTGTATGTCTACTATGACTAGTACATAGACATAATTTTAAAGTAAGGTGTAGTTAATGTAAATGACCCGAGTTCAGTACACCGATACTCAGATAGTTTTCGTTTTGGTTAAATGACACCATCTTCCAGCCCATATTCCAGTGTAAATATTGCTTTGGGTGCCCAAATTCGAGTAATGTCTTTCGTGCACTCAAATACGGCCTAACAACCAAATGTAATTGAGCCATTGTAGGTCAGGATTCCACTGAAACATGCTTATATGTCTTGCTTCATTGACGTACTATCATAATAGCAAATGATTCATTTTCCCACCAGAATGTCGATGTCTCGACGCTTACTCCACAGCCTCCGCTACGCGTTGGTCAGCAACTACTTCAACGATCAGAAGTTGCAGTTGAGCAACAGCCAGATAGAAGATGACGTCGCTCACACACAGCTCGACCCCCGAGCACGAAACCAGGTCAAATGGAATTATATTTTATTTAAATTGACTTATTTGAAACTTCTTTATCATCATCAGCCTATGTGTCCCCACTGCTGGGGCACAGGCCTTCCCTATGGATGGAATATTAAGATTGGGCCATGACAGCGCGGATTTTAGGGTGCTAACGACTGCAGATGCAACCGGGACCAACGGCTTAACGTGCCTTCCGAGCCACGAAGAAACTCGAGATAGAAGATTTTTGGTCACTCATCCAATGACTGACCACTGCGAAAGTTGCTTAACTTTAATGAACGCGCTAACCACCTGCACCATCGATCTTTTAGACCATAGATCTTAGCTGATGAGAAGAATAGGTCAAGAAACTCATTAGCAGTGCCGTCTTTGACCTATTGGAGGCCCTGGGCCTATTAGGATAATGGGGTCCCTATGACCCCTGTTTGGTGATCTAACAGGAACTAGTGACTTTGTATTTGATCTGAAGTAGGCCCCTATCGATCTCAGGGCCCTGGGCACTTGCCCAAAGTGCCCACTGGGGAAGACGGGTCTGCTCATCAGTGAGGTCATCGAGCTCTTTAGATTCTTCGAATATTTTTTCGTACCCATTCAGATTATCTTTTAGCTGATGAGAAGAATGGGCAATAAACTCATCAGTAAGGTTTTGGCCACACATCCGTTTACTGGCCTCTGCGAATGTTCCTTGACACGTTTGGGTAATTTAAATGTGGTTGTACAGGGAATCTCATTTGAATTCCATTTGAATCGAAGTGACCTCCAATGGTAGTGGCAAAGTTCTTGAGTAAAAGTGTAGACAAATATGCGCAGGAACCGTTTGTTACGGCTCCGTACCTCAAAAGGCAGTAATTGAATTCTTATAAGATCACTTTATTGTCCGTCTATCTGCCTGTCAATACCACTTATGTCGAGGAAGCATGGAGAGGTCGAATGGAAATTTAAACCATATACTTTAAATCTACGGTTGTACTCACTTTCATTAAACTACCAATTCACCTCCCATACTAAAATATAACTTAGTAATATTTTTATTTTTTAAGCATTTAACTGCTCGATGTTTAAATCTAAAGAAAAGTTTACTAGAAAAAAATCCACGCGGACAAATAATGCGTTTTCCAAAGCATTTCCGTTAGGCGAATGGCCCCCAGGCAGCAGACGGGGCACGTACCCACACCCTTCGCCGTGTCGAATTTTCTCTAGTCTTAGGCTGCAAGGCATTCCGTCCCGTACCGTCTGCTGCCTGGTCCGCGTGGAAATTGTTTCTAGTAAACTTTTCTTCATATTTAACTATATAAGTACTCAAAATAAAAGCTCAAGTTAATGAAACAATATTGTGTATGGAATATTTAATAAATCTACAATCACTTGCATTCACAGACTAGTAAAATCTTTATTCAGACATCCTACAACACAGTTCGCTAGATGGCGCTACTTGCATATTTTGTTAAGTAAGAATATTAATATTTTTCACTTCATTCCAACCGAGTGTTCGACGACACTCGCGCACTTTTTATTTAAAAGGAAGCCTTATAGGATTACTTTGTTGTTCGTCCGTCGGTCCGTCCGTCTGTCAAGACCATTTTTCTCAAGAACGCGTGGAGGTATCAAACTGAAATTCATATCTAATACTCAGGTCTACTGTTCCTTGGAGCTGTGAAAAAGTCAAACTTCTAAGCCAAAGCAATCAAAAAATACAGCCGTTTATGCGGCAAATTTCCGCATTTTCGAATCTCGCACGGGAATCAAAACCTACAGGGTACTTCCCGTGAACTTAGAATCTTGAAAATTGGTACGAAGTAACGTCTTATAGTACAGATAAAGGAAAAATTGCGCAAACCGTAAATTTTTATTTACGTCTTATAATAAAAATATTATTGTAAATTCAGGTTTGTACGGAACCCTCTTTATTATACTTATCTTTAAATCTAAAGAAAAGTTTACTAGGAAAAAATCCACGCGGACCAGGCAGCGGACGGGACTCGAACCCGCATCCTTCGCTATCCGGGCGAATGCACTGACCATTATGCTACCACGGCCCTATTAGCCGCGTCGAAATTTTCCTAGCCTTAAGCTGCAAGGCAGTGCCATCTCTTCGCATTGTAGGTAACCCACAATGTCAAATGAATACTTAACAAACTTATCTTTATAATTTTTATTATTTTTAAAGCATGAAACTGCTTGATGTTTAAATCTAAAGAAAATATAACTAGAAAAAATTCCACGCGGACCAGGCAGCAGACGGGACTCGAACCCGCACCCTTCGCAATCCGGGCGAATGCACTGACCAATTATGCTACCGCGGCCCTCACGGACCGCGTCGAAATTCTTTCTAGCTATTCTTAAGCTGCAAGGCAGCGCCATCTCTTCGCATTATAGGTAAACCCACAATGTCAAATGAATACTTTTACAAGTATTAAACATTTGAAAGAAGAAATAGCAATTATAGTTATAATTTTTATAATTATAGTTTAAACTTATCTTTGTTAACAGATGACATCGTTACTGCGAGACGGTCAAAGGAGACTGCATCCTTCAGTTCGGAAACTCCTCGGCAAGAAGACTGTGGATCTGGACGAAATCTTTTTGTCGCGATCGCTAAGAAACAAGACAAGGAAGGATTACTCGGTAATCTATACTTAGAATAAATCTGTAGAGATGTCAATTCTGTACATGAAATATATTTTTAAAATAACTATCAGGGGTTGATTAGTGATCGATACTGATGCCAAAAATGCAATCAGTAAAATTTTTGTCTGTCTGTCTGTCTGTGTGTATGTTCCTTATACAAACAAAAACTACTCAACGGATTTTAACGAAACTTGGTACAATTATTCTTCAAACTCCTGGGCAGGTTATAGTATACTTTTCATCACGCTACAATCAATAGCAGCAGAGTAGTGAAGGGAAAACGGGAGAAGTTACTCCATTTTTTAAGCTTCCGTCGCGTGTGCAGCCTTTTAATGGTTAAAGTTACATAGGAATCATGTATGACGGAAATATTCAACATTAAATTGTCTTAAAAATATCCCGCAACAGCATATGTCTATCTTTTAAGGTTGACTCACAATAACACGTGTAATTATAAAGTCATTGCACAAGCCTGAGAACAAAAACTATAGTTTACACTACAGCTCTACACCGAAGCGAAGCGAGGGCGGGCCACTAGTTACTAATAATCCTATTATTTTTAAGCATTTAAAACAGCTAGTGAAAAAAATTTACTGAAAAAAATTCCACCACCAGACCAATTCCGGACCAGGGGGCCAATCGCCTAACGGAAATGCTTTGGAAAACGCTAACGCTTATGATTTTATTTTGTTATTTCTAGCCGCTTGAGGTATTCAAATGCCTCGCGCTCTTTCTTTTTCTTTTGCATTGGTAATAGCAATATTTAAAAAAATGAGCGTGAGGTATTCGAAAACCTCAGGCGGCTAGAAATAACAATATAAAATCGTAAGCGTTAGCGTTTCCCAAAGCATTTCCGTTAGGCGATTGGCCCCCAGGTAGCAGACGGGACTCGAACTCACACCCTCCGCTATCCGGGCGAATGCACTGACCATTTGTGCTACCACGCCCTTAATGGCCATGTCGAATTTTTTATAGTATTGCTTAGGTCGCAAGGCAGCGCCATCTCTTCGCATTGTAGGTAACCCACAATTTCAAATGAATACCTTTTCAAGTATAACTAGAAAAAATTCCACGCGGACCAGGCAGCAGACGGGACTCGAACCCGCACCCTTCGCAATCCGGGCGAATGCACTGACCAATTATGCTACCGCGGCCCTCACGGACCGTGTCGAAATTCTTCTAGCCATTCTTAAGCTGCAAGGCAGCGCCATCTCTTCGCATTAAAGGTAACCCACAATGTCAAATGAATACTTTTACAAGTGGGTGTGTGTGTGTGTGGGTTCGAGTCCCGTCTGCTGCCTGGTCCGCGTGGATTTTTTTCTAGTTATATTTTCTTTAGATTTAAACATCAAGCAGTTTCATGCTTTAAAAATAATAAAAATTAGTACCTTTTCAAGTATTAAACATTTGAAAGAAGAAATAGCAATTATAGTTTATCATATTTAATTTTTTTTCCATTTAACTGGTAAATAATTAAATATTCTATTAATTCCGTATGGAATTATTTCTGGTACAAAAAAATAATAATTCAACACTAATCCTACTTCCTATTCCTAATTATCTTACTAACATTATAAATGTGTAAGTCTGTATGTGTGTTTGTATATATGTCACTCAATCACACAAAAACTACTGAAATTTAATAAAATTTGGTAAGTTTACTAGCTGTGCCCCGCGGTGTTACCCGCGGTTCATTATGGATATTTTCCCGCAGTAAAACGTAGCCTATGTGTTAATCCAGGTTGTCAGCTAACTCCATACCAAATTTTATTAAAATCGCTCCAGCCGTTTAGACGTAAAGAAGTAACAAATATACACACTAACATACTCGCGAACTTTCGCCTTTATAATAGTGTGGTGACCTGGATTGAGATACTTTAATAATTTATTTATTGAAGTGAAACTTCTTTATCGGCGTTGGAAAAAAATTTACCGTCACATTTTTTCGGTTACGCGTCACATCTTTTGGTTACGCGCCATCTTTTTTTTAAAAGAGCACTATTTACCTCATCCGAACAATTGCTTCTTCTGTCAACTTTAAAAAAAATAAGTATCGACAGCAAATATTCGTGTTTCACACAAGGTAAGGTAAGGTAAGGTGTAGTTATACCCCTTTAGTGGGTGAGTTTTTGAAAAATCTTAGCGCACGCCTATATATATATTTCTGGAAAGTTGCATGTAGATCATTTTTCGAAAAAAATAAGGCCATAAAGAAATTTCACTTCTTACGTGTGTACACTAGAACACGCACACTTTTTTTTTTATTTATACATTTTGTACACACAAATGTAAATAGAAAGAGATTACAAAATAACATAATAGTATAAGGGCACAGCTTATTTCAACCTTCAAAATTTCTTCCAGCAGGACCATTGTAAGAAAGCACATTGAAAAGCCAGTCAGTGTGTACACCTCATTATGATTAAATATATACGTTAAATACTTAAGAATAGGGGACATACACAATTATACATTGGTACTAATACTCATATAATATTAACCACTAAGTGGTTAATAATCCACCATTATTAGACACTAACATTCATAACGCGCCCGCGGCCAACTTCATGGTGTTACTATTGTGTTACAGTGATGCGCGCGCATCTCGAAATTTCACTCTCATCATTTTTTCATAACGCGCCCGCGGCTAACTTCATTATGTTACTTTTGTGTTACAGTGATGCGCGCGCATCTTAAAATTTCACTCTCATAATTTTTTCATAACGCGGCTAAAGAAGTATAACTTCAAAAATAATTATCTAAAATTGAAAAAAAAAATTAGGGGTGGATTACCCTTAACATTTAGGGGGATGAAAAATAGATGTTGTCCGATTCTCAGACCTACCCAATATGCACACAAAATTTCATGAGAATCGGGAAAGCTGTTTCACAGGAGTTTAATCACAAACACCGCGACACGAGAATTTTATATATTAGATATAATTTATGGACGAAAACAGGAGAAAAGAAACAATGGAAAAAGTAAGGGCATAAAGATTTGATAAAATTTGGTAATTATGCATAAAGTTTATGATCTGGATTGAGACAAAGAATACTTTTTTATCTTGGAAAGTGTTAGGTTCCCGAGCGATTAACGAAAAAACACGGACAAAGTCGCAGGCCGTCACTAGTATTATAAACGGGACAGTTTGCATACAACTATATTAAATAACTTACTCTTTCACGCTAAAACGGCTGGACTGGTTTGGAAGAAATTTGTCATAGGGATAGTTTGAGTTCCGGGGAAAGTTGAAGGATAGTTTTCATCCCTGAAACCGTCTTTCAAGGGGGTGAAAATGATATGTACAGTATATATATTCTATCTGTTACCCTAGTATCACATAACACAAGCCTACAGTGCTTACTTTGGGGCTAGGCTAATTGGTGTGAGTGTGAATATTGGAAATATTTATATTGTATTTATAAATGAGAATGACGATGCAAAACAAAGCATACTATATGTTAAAAAAATTACATTATACTTCTAATATATAAAATTCTCGTGTCGCGGTGTTTGTGGTTAAACTCCTCCGAAACGGCTCGACCGATTTTCGTGAAATTTTATATGCATATTCAGTAGGTCTGAGAATCGGATGTAATCTATTTTTCAGCCCCCTAAATGTTAAGGGTAATCCATCCCTAATTTTTTTTTTAAATTTTAGATATTTTTTTATGATACATCATACAAAAATAAATATAACCCAAAATGTTCACCATTCTACCACCAACCCCTATTTTTTATGGCGGTACGAAGTTCGCTGGGACAGCTAGCATTATTTTATAATTATTTAATAAATAGATTATACATCGGATAATTTTCAAAAAAAATGTCAAATTAATCTTTTGTGTTTGTTAATTTTATTAACATTGATAGGTTGATAGGTCTGAACCTGATTGAATTTAAATGTACTATTTTGAATTGATTGAATTTTTAATTTTTAATTAAATGCAATTTTATGTTGAGTTGTAATTTAATTTGTTTTTATTTATCATAATTATTATTATTTTGTCATTGGCATGCCTTGCTATATATATCGTTGTGGTAGAAATGAATAAATAAATTATTATTATGATTAAATATCTACAGGCAATGGTGCAAAAGAGAAACTACACAATCGCAGCTGACGCCACCAAAACCCTCAGGCCGGATGCCAAACCGGAAGTCAAGGAGGAAACCGGTACACCGGAACCGGAAACGGAACCCAGCAGTAGTAAACCTAAGAAAGTTCCCCGACATCTGGACCCCAAGGTTGAGAAAGTGGTCACCATTGATGATCCCACTAGGAATAAGATGAAACATAGGTACAGATTTATCATAGGTGAGTCGGTTTTATTTATTTTTAATATTTCTTAATTCCGTAATCTATATATATATATATATATAAAACTCAAACGTGACTGACTGACTGACATAGTGATCTATCAACGCACAGTCCAAACCACTGGACGGATCGGGCTGAAATTTGGCATGCAGGTAGATGTTATGACGTAGGCATCAGCTAAGAAAGGATTTTGATCAATTCTACCCCCAAGGGGATAAAATAGGGAATGAAAGTTTGTATGAAACTTTAAATCGATCGGGCTGAGACTTTGCATGCAGGTATAAGAAGAATCATAGATGAATGTCATTGTGTATAATGAAAGCTTGAGAACAAAAACTGTAGTCTACACTTCAGCTCTACACCGAAGCGAAGCGAGGGCGGGCCACTAGTAATATAACAAATGAGGCCATGAGAACCATAATGTCCTAACTCATTTTTTTTACAATATTGAGTTTATGATTTTTTCCAGTTCAAATTGATCATTTTTATAGAAACAGAGTGGTCTAAAAGTGATACAACGAATATTCACTAGATGGCAGCATAATCACTGTTACGGTTTTTAATCTGTGATCTAAATTTGAGGTGCCATACTGGCCTAAGTAAGATAGGCCACTATGGTTCTCTTGGCCCGAAATGGTATTTTTGAAGCAAGCAAAAAACAAACTTTCACGAGTTCATGGTAAAGTTTCATCCTTTTTGGGATGAAACTTTACCATAACTAATTTTCTTAATTCCATACTAATATAATGCGAAATTGTGTCAATTTACATTATTATTATAACGTAGTTGTCACTTCATGCTTAAACCGCTGAACCGATTTATATGAAATTTGGTACAAAGATAGTTTGAGTTCTTTTTAAGGACAAAGGATAGTATTTCTCGCAGATATAATTGGGTATTTGACAAGATTTAACCAACAATCTTACGTTATTGACTAATGTTTATGGAGTCCGTAAAAAGTGGATATTCATCATTCTGTTGTGTGTTTCAGTAAAATTAAACCAAATCAAAAACTCCATTTTCAAGTTGCCGCGAAAACGTTTCTCTGGACAATATGGCGTCTTACTAGCGTGTGACGTCACACGACTGTTATAAAAACGTCAAACGATACAATGTAATGTCACTTTAACTGGAAGTTTGCTTGCGTGTGACGTCATTTTAGGCTCCGCCAATCCCAAGCGTTTTGGGTCACGTGACAATAGATATGAAAACTATTATTGTATTCGTGGGTTTTTAGAAGAATTATGAATATTTTTTTTTTTATAAAAATAGTAAAAACCCCTGCCAATATTAATTCTCACACAGATGTTAACAATAGGGTATTTGGCAGTTTTAAAAAAAATGGTTGCCTGTAAAGTCGGTTTTACGGGCGAAGATTTTACGTGACAACGTCTTTTTCTCGGTAGAATATTTATTGATATGAATATAATTAAATTGCACAATAGGAACAAGGAATTGAATGAAAATAAGAATTGCACAAATTTTAACTATAGAAATATATTTTGTTTACTAAAACATTGTACATGTAAACTTAAACTTAACACGAGAGATTCATCGTAACGTTACCGAGCGTTACACTTTTTCATAAGTGACTCCCAGCCGCAACCTAATTTAAGACGTTGTCACGTCAATAAAGAGTCTAAAGTGACGTCTCACGCAAGCAAACTTCCGGTTAACGTGACATTACATTGTATCGTTTGACGTTCTAGTAACAGTCGTGTGGCGTCACACGCTAGCAAGACGCCATATTGTCCGGAGAACCGTTTTCGCGGCAACTCGAAAACGGAGTTTGTGATTTGCTTATCTTTACTGAAATTCACAACAGGATGATGAATATCCACTTTTTATGGAATCCATAAACGTTAGTCAATAACGTGAGATCGTTTTCTAAAACTTGTCAAACATCCTATCGATTCGGATATTCGGCGTTCTACCGTATATTGATATCTGATTTGATTAAATTTTTGGTTATTCGTTGTGTCAGGTAACACATCGAAATATGCCCCCGGGGCTTCTCGTGCGGACAGATCGACACACAAGTGGCTACTGTATGTGCGGGGCACGGCTTCCTCTCCGGATATATCGTCGACGTTGACCGCACTGGTGGTGCGCCTGCATCACTCCTACGCGCCGCACCACACCGTGCGGCTCTGGTGAGTCACCGATGTTTCACACTCATTATTACATTTTTTATTTTTAATAAAGTTTCTACAGCAGTTTTTTTTTGGATTATTTAAAATATTACTATAAAAAATTCACGCGGATCGGTCTGCTGCATGTTTAAATTTAAAGAAAAAAATCTTTAGTTTAATTATCTAGCTATGATTGCTATTTCTGCTTTCGAATGTTTAATACTTGTGAGAGTATTCGTTTGACGTTGTGGTTTACCTACAATGCGAAGAGATGGCGCCGCCTTGCAGCTTAAGAATGGTTAGAAGAATTTCGACGCGGCCGTCAGGGCAGCGGTACCATGATTAGTCAGTGCATTAGCCCGGATTGCGAAGGGTGCGGGTTCGAGTTTCGTCTGCTGCCTGGTCCGCGTGGAAGTTTTTCTAGATATATTTTCTTTAGGGGCCGTTCATAAAATACGTTCGCATACAAGGGGGGACGGGGGGTCTGCGGCAACGTGACGTTCGTCGTTCATTAAATTTTTTTAAATTAGTATTTCTTTCAACTATTTTTCTTTCTCAATTTTCATCAAGATAGAAAATCATTTGTTTCGTATTTAGTAAACATATAGACATTCAAACATATATAGTTTTATTATACAATAAATTGTAACTTGATATATTTACTCATGTTTATTTTTCGACATTAGCGCATATTTATATATTTAAATTTTATTATAAAAACTAAATAAATATTTAAATTCTTAAAATTTGTGTACTATCAATTGAAATTAATCATACTTGGAATATTTCAAGAGGGGTCACAGAAAGTGTGACACAGCGTGTCAATAGGGGGGGAGGGGGTCGGAAAAAGCTGATTTTAGCGTGACGTATTTTATGAACGGCCCCTTAGTTTTCAATTGACCAAATTGAATAAAGTATCATTTTATTTTGATTCATTGAATTCTCATTACGTCCGTTGTGGCTCTGTTCAAGTTACCGTACAAAACTTCTGGACATCTGACTAATGATATTAAATACCTTAGATACACCACGAGCGCCCAAAATGTGTCCCAATCAAGAAGTGCTTGAACTCCACTCAAGCACTTCTTGGTTCACAGTCACGCGCGGACCGTTACAAAGACAAGATGTCGCAGAGCTCCGCGAAACAATGCGAAAATAATACTTAAGAGTACGAAAAGTGTCGTTTTTTCGTCAGGCGTCTAATCAATGTTTGTTAATTTAACGCATTTGAAGCAAATTTTGTTCTAATACTTACTATAAACTGATTTATTATAAAATAGTTGTGATATTGAAATGCATTACGCATTATACGTCGCCGTATATCGGTCTCTTTTCCTCGCGGTCCGTACTGCTATATTGCTAACAGCGCATTGAAAATTGCGTGTAGAGTCAAAGAAATAAGGTCCATATTCTTTCGCATATAAGCAATAAGTCGTAAAATTTTACGATCTTGCATTTCGAACTGTCATAACTCTTTGACGCATGCGTTTTAATTAAGACCTTATACAGTATGCATTAAAGGTGACTTTCAATGTTTAAATAATGCTTTATATTGTTTTTTCCTACGCGATCATCTTACGGAGCTCTGTGGATCGTCCAATGTACCTTTTGGACAGGTTTCGGGCACGATTTTGTTTGTGTTGCTGTGTATCTAGGGTATTTAATATCGTCGATCTTACTATGTTATTTTTGTTAATAAATTATATAATATTTATGCATTTTTTTAAATTAAATGTTATAATTACTGATATATAATAACGTTGTTAAATAGTATATTTGTACATCTGGGGTATTTAATATCGTTGCATTTGACGCGTTTCGTGATCGAATTTAACTTTTCAAATACGATATCGGTTCACGCTAGGGGTACAGTATAAAATATACAATACAATACAAAACGCTGTATTGCACACCATAGAAAACATTACTAATATTTGATGACTAATTTTTTTTTCTTCGTTTATCAGGTAGATCATCAAAAAGTATTGGACACGTATTTTTTCTTTTTTCATATAATATAAACATTGCGGAGATATATTGATTTGAAAAGTCGCATGACGTCACGTTTGAGTACACTTATAAGGGAAAATTCACTCAAAAGTGACGTCACGAGCCCCTACTCCCAAACTATGACGCGCTATAACTTTGTCATTATTTGGTTGATTGCCCAAAGAAATAAAAATGTGTGCGTGTACTAGTGTACACACGTAAGAAGTGAAACTTCTTTATGGCCTTATTTTTTTCGAAAAATGATCTACATGCAACTTTCCAGAAATATATATATAGGCGTGCGCTAAGATTTTTCAAAAACTCACCCACTAAAGGGGTATAATTACACCTTACCTTACCTTACCTTACCTTACCTTACCTTACCTTACCTTACCTTACCTTACCTTACCTTACCTTACCTTGTGTGAAACACGAATATTTGCTGTCGATACTTTTTTTTTTAAAGTTGACAGAAGAAGCAATCGTTCGGATGAGGTAAATAGTGCTCTTTTAAAACAAAGATGGCGCGTAACCAAAAAACGTGACGCGTAACCGAAAAAAATGTGACGGTAAATTTTTTTCCAACGCCGATAAAGAAGTTTCACTTCAAAAATACGCGTCCATTATTTTTCGATCATCTAACCTGACGAACTAAATATAATTTCGTTCACTGCACCCCGTCATCACCCCTATCGGCGGCCTCATCGTCAAGAGCGATCTCTTCCAGGCAATATATATTTATTTATGACACAACATAAGATATTGATTTGACAATAGACGACCTCCGTGGCCGAGTGGTTTGTACGCCGGGTTTCATGGTGTCGCCGACTCGAGAGGTCCCGGGTTCGAATCCCGGTGGGGGCAGATGTTTGTGTGATGAACACGAGCATTTGTACTCCAGTCATGGATGTTTAATATGTATTTCTATATAGATATACTTATATATGTACAGTATATGTATTCTATCCGTTACCCTAGCATCCCATAACACAAGCCTTACAGTGCTTACTTTGGGGCTAGGCTAATTGGTGTGTGTTGGAAAAAAAAAAAAAAAAAAAAAAAATGGTTCAGCAAGCCGCCGTTCCACATATCGCGCCGGGGCTGGGGCGAGTTTCCGGCCAGGTTGGAGTTACACTTCCCGCTGCCGGCGGTGAACCGGCCCGCCACGCTGGACCACACCATCAAGCTGGACCGGAACTACACGGGGCTCCAGACTTTGGGTAAATCGGATACGATAAACTATCTAATGTACATAACTTATTCGTCGCGTTGTTTGTCCGGGATGGACTCCTGAACTACTTGAACGATTTTAATAAAACTTGATCAGTTTGACCGACTCAAAAGATAGGATAGCTTATATCGACTTATTGGATAGATCTCAATTTATAGTCGCAATTCGCAATATTATTTTATTGCAAATTATTACTTTTTTTTTATTTTAGTGTCTGTTTGACAATCGATAAGTTAAAAAAACAATTGCATCTATACTAATATTGTAAAATGCGAATGTGTGTCTGTCTGTCTATTACCTCTTTAAGCTTACAGCGCTGAACCGATTTATATGAAATTTGGTATAGTTATAGTTTGATTCCTGAGAAAGTTTGTATAATAGTTCTTATCCAAGAAATCATCCTTTAAGGGATGAACATTTGTATGGGGCATTGCACCGTGTTAAAAACGTCACATGAGTTATGTTTGGTGGAAGGAAGAGATAGTTTGTTTAGGTTGACTCCTTCATCCTTCATCATGCGTTTTTTTTTATTTTCTGTGGCTTAACAAGACTTTATCTAGACTGATTCCTTTGCTTGCCTTTTGAAAGAAACAAAAGGAAAAAAAACACCTCACGACATCCATCTGCTCAGCAAAGGACAATGTTAAAATTGGCCTAAGAACCAACACCCATTTGGCATTTATGACAATTCTTAGTATATTTTTTGCGATAATTATCAGTATTTAGATTGTGACGGACACTTCCAGTTTAGTAAGCTAAATTAAAAGGTTAAAAAATAATCACAGACATTAAATACCATTTTAGGTGTATAATCTATGACAGCGCTGCAAACAAACACTCTTTCTTCCTAATGCCGGCACTTCACTTAGCTATTCGTATTTGCTATTTTGAAACATGACATCAGTCTGTCCTTTTCATTCCTTATTAAGCATGACAAGGACAAACTGTTGTCAAGTGAAGGGCCGGCATAAAACTCGTTACTCTGTGGTTGTGGTGCAGCCAGTTTGCATTCGTAGTAATCTGTGGCATTCGTGCATTCCAAAGAGTAGTATAATATACCGGAAAGTGCATCCTCGTTTCTGTTACCTGTTGTGTGTGTTTATTTGCGATTGTTTTTCCTTTAATTCAACTATTTCGGCTATCTAATATGCCATCGATGTAACCAAAGAGCAGAGCCCTTATTACCAAGTGCTAGTGAACCTGTGCCACAACATCCTGAGAGGATCATACTGCCAAATTATTCAAGAACACCTGATACACATTCACGCTGCATATTTACACAATATACATGTGTTATACAAATAAATACAATATACACTATGATACAATTATGTGAAAAATAGTCAGTAAATAAGTAGCAAAACTAAAGTTTTTATTTTATTCATGATTCCTACCTAACCAAGTTTTTCCTAATAGTTATTCTTTAAAATCGCACCGAATAAAATAGTTGTAATATTAATTCACTTCATACTGAGTTCATACTAAGTTCATAGGTTGACCTATGTTTCATTGAATATTAAACAAATTTTAGTTTTCCTAATAATTTAAGTTCTCAGAAGTGTCCGTCAATAATCTTTGTTTTTACGATTTCGAACCTAGAAAATAATATTTCATGATTGGTGGTTCTTAGGCTAACTATGTATGGACGCTGAACAATGTCCTTTATGTCCCCTGCTCAAACAAAATCTACATGAAAATTAGCAAAATATTTAAAGAAAAACACTTTTAATTATCATGTAAATAATTGAGATTACTAAATTCTCATCTTGTACGTAAAAAATTAAATGCTACGTTAAATTTTTTTTTCCTTTTTTTTAAGTTCTCCCTTTTCTGGGAAGGCAAGGCGAACAATACCCATACAGCCTTGTTAAGCCACAGAAAATAAAAAAACGCATGGGCGATAAAAACGATTAATGGTAAAGGAACTGAGTGAGACAACCTAAACAGAAACCTTCTATCTCTCTCTTCAAACAAACAAAACTCGTATAACGTTTTTAACATGTTACAATAAAAAAAAGTTTTACTAGAAAAAAAAACCACGCGTACCAGGCAGCGGTCGGGACTCGAACCCGCACCCTTCGACATTGTCGGTTACCTACAATGCGAAGAGATGGCGCTGCCTTGCAGCTTAAGGCTAGGAAAAATTTCGACGCGGCCATCAGGGCCGCGGTAGCATAATTGGTCAGTGCATTTGCCCGGATTGCGAAGGGTGCGGGTTTGATTCCCGTCCGCTGCCTGGTCCGCGTGGATTTTTTTTCTAGTAAAACTTTTCTTTAGATTTAAACATCTAGCAGTTAAATGCTTAAAAAAAATAAAAACACGATACAATAACTTCAAACCTTAAAGTCTGCGTTTCTACAATTCCAGGTGCGGAGACAATAGTTGATGTCTGGTTATACAGCACTCCAGAGATGTTGGAATATGAATACTTTGACCCTGTACCAACACCCTTGGCTCAATCTGAAGACCCACCGCAAGAAAAACAAGAACAAAAAGAAATCAAACCAAAAATGGAACCGATCGAGTACGATTCAACTGGACAAACAGACAATTGGCTAGACTTCTTCAGTAAAGACACCACAGAATTGGATGTGGATGAAATGATTATTAAACCGGTTAAAAAGGAAATTGTCGAAGAGAAAAGTGACATAGAGAACTTGATTGACACGAACGTTATTAAAAAAGAAAATGATAAAAATGACACTAATCAGAATGAGTGGGCAGCAAACGACAGCAGCGATGCACAGTTGACCAATGACAAATCTTTGCCACTCACACCAAAGAAAAGGATAATGAAATACATAGACAGCGCTACGGGGAAAATATACTATTTGGAAATGGACAGGACTCTAGATTTGAGCAAAGTGCAAGAGATCGTTATTAACAATTCGAAGACTGCTAAAATTAGTCCGATCAAATCGAACGGTCTGAAGAATTTCAGGAAGAAAAAAGGTGGTGTCTCGTTGTTGAAACCCGAAGTGAAATGTCAGTTGAAAAATGATAGTAGCTCGGTTAAGGAGAATCCGGTCGTTAAAGATTTCAGTCACATAGAGAACGATCATTGTTATTTAGGACATAATTGGTGTTTCAAAACGAACAATAATGAAGTGACGTCAGATAATAGAACTGGTGCTGCTAGTGAAGTGAAAAGTGAATCCGTTTTCCATGAATTGTGTTCGTCTATAGGCAGATTTACTTGTGTAAGAGACGCTGTGTATTATTTATTGAAAAGGATAGCGATTATCACCGATAGGGCAACGGATGAGGAATATGTTAGTAATTTCCCATTTGTGGTGGAGAACGAGGAGAAATATTGGAAAATGGACTTCGCCAAAAGAAGAAATATTGAGGTGAGTGCGATTTGTTAAGGAAATTCACATTTACCTTTTCAGGCAGTTCCGTAGCCAAAGGGTTAAAACGGTACCCTATTACTAAGACTTCACAGTCCGTCTGTCTGTCACCAGACTGTATCTCATGAACCGTGACAGCTAGACAATTGAAATTTTCTCAGTTGATGTATTTCTGTTGCCTCTATAACGTCATCATCATCAGCCTATTAATGCCCCCCCCCCACCTGCGGGGGCACAGGCCTTCCCCATGGATGGAATAGGGAGATTGTGCCATGACCCACCACGCGGGCCCAGTGCGGATTGGTGGGTGCTAACGACTGCAGATGCAGCCGGGACCAACGGCTTTACGTGCCTTCCGAAGCACGGAGGAGCGAGAGACATAAAATTTTTGGTCACCCATCCAATGACCGACCACTGCGAAAGTTGCTTAACTACAACGATCGCAGCCGAACGCGCTAACCACTTGCGCCATCGAGCTCCTCGCCTCTATAACAACCAATACTAAAAACAAAATAAAATTATTAATTAAGAGAGTCTTCCATACAACAAAGGATATTCTTACGCCGTTTTTTGCATAATTTTATAATCTCTTATCTACTATATTTGTTTCTTAGGTTTTCACGCACATCACTCATTAAATAAAACTAGTTTTTACGGGTTAATGCACGAAACTTTATTTATTTATTGACGTTTCGCAGCCTTTTCAGGTCTGCATCGTCAGAATAATGATTTTTTATTTAAAATTGTCGAGCTACCTTCGAAAGACTTATATTGAGCGTTCGGTTATTTTATTGGAAGATTTTTAAAATTTTATTGTCTATGTATGAATTTATTATTTAATTTACTTAACAAAGTATTTTATTTAAAATTCTTGTTTGTAATTTTGAGTTTATTTATTTGACCCTAACTACCGTAAACTACCACCGGTTCCAAAATTGGGTGACCTTCCTGAGAAGAACCGGCGAAACAAACTCAAGAGAGGCTTTCTATCTCCTTCTTATGTTAAATTATAATATAATTTTTTTATAATGTTATTGAGGCTTTCTATCTTGAGTTTGTTTCGCCGGTTTTTCTCAGGAAGGTCTCCCAATTTTGGAACCGGTGGTAGTTTACGGTAGTTAGGGTCAAATAAATAAACTCAAAATTACAAACAAGAATTTTAAATAAAATACTTTGTTAAGTAAATTAAATAATAAATTCATACATAGACAATAAAATTTTAAAAATCTTCCAATAAAATAACCGAACGCTCAATATAAGTCTTTCGAAGGTAGCTCGACAATTTTAAATAAAAAATCATTATTCTGACGATGCAGACCTGAAAAGGCTGCGAAACGTCAATAAATAAATAAATTTTCGTGCATTAACCCGTAAAAACTAGTTTTATTTAACTCTTATCTACTAGACAAGTCCGTCCGTCTGTCTGTGGTGCTGTTTCAGCGGCCAAACCGTAAGAGATAGATAAAGAGAATATTTAAGTTATAAGTTAAGAATAGGTAGTTTGATAAGACTACAAACCGGATTTGAGTAACGTAGCACTTCCGGTTTTCGAGAAATCAGGTTTTGGTGAACATTTGGTTCACTGGTTTGCTAGTACAGTGTTAATATTTAATAAATAATGGTACGGAACCTTCCATGCGCTAGTCCCACTCGCACTTGGTAAGGAAAAAAAATTTGGACGATTCAAAATAGTTGTACTATACATCCAATTTGAATAAAGATATATTGATTTCTGATTATTTCTTTTTGAAGTGAAAATTTCTTTAGCGGCGTTGTACACTTTTTTTTATATGGGTAAAAAATGTTAAACTCGCGTCAGGTTAAACACGTGGGCTGATCGCATCATGGCACACAATAAAATTGGAAAGGTTGTTGACTTTAAATATATTTTGGTCGAAACATATTTAATTTATCGTATTATAATAATAAGTCTCTATTTAGGACGTCCACGTGGCAGCTTTATTGCGAAAAAAATGCATTTTTTTTACAATAGATGTCGCTAGGTGCGCTTAAATTTGATTCATGTAAGTTGATTTTTCTGAGAGATAAACTATTTTAATGTTGAGAGACAAAAATTGTCATGTTTGTGTACGATAGCGCAGTAAATAAATATTGTATTCTACCACATACATGATAGTAGGAGTGAGGAGTGAGGAGCTCGATGGCGCAAGTTCGTTCGGCTGCGATCGTTGAAGTGAAGCAACTTTCGCAGTGGTCGGTCATTGGATGGGTGACCAAAAATTTACTATCTCGAGCTCCTCCGTGCTTCGGAAGGCACGTTAAGCCGTTGGTCCCGGCTGCATCTGCAGTCGTTAGCACCCACCAATCCGCACTGGGCCCGCGTGGTGGGTCATGGCCCAATCTCCCTATTCCATCCATAGGGAAGGCCTGTGCCCCAGCAGTGGGGACATTAATAGGCTGATGATGATGATGATGACATACATGATAGTACTTTTATACTGATAATTAAAGCAATTCATGCAAAATTATTCTCTAACCATTCCAAAATATCGAAAACGCACAACGTTAATATTAAAGTTGTCACTTCTGCCGGCACTCCTAGAGTGTAACCCATTGTTGTTTTTACTAATATAAGGTGAGGTTTCAAATGTTGCACATCATTCGCGACTACTGTAAGGCTTTCTCGTTTTTTATTGTTATTCTCATTCATATATTATGTTTTTCCAGTGGTCAAGAGCTAAACTTATCAACCGAATGCTTCTGGATCATTTCAATCATCCCGAGCACATATGGAGGACGAAGCAAATACTCATATTCTCAAGACTGCACGGCTTCAATCCGGTGAGGCCGGACCCCGTAGAGAAACAACCTGAAAACGAAGATTGGTCATCGTGGAACGACTTCGAAGGTTCAAGAAGATCAGAGTCAAACATCAAAGAAGTGTATCCGAACGCTGCAGACATTTGTTCCCTGTCAGTGTTCAACGGTGATGAGTTTTTGAACACTTCTTACGCTTCAATAGAAAGTTTGGACTCGGACGAGGATGTGGAAGTGTTGTGTAGTGATTCCCCTGTGAAAGTGAAAAGGGAAGTCGTGTTAGACTGTAGTGATAGTGAATTGACAATGTTGCCAGTTGACAACGAGGAGGACAGACTTAGGTTTTTGTACGTGGAAAGAAAATGTGCCGATATCGGTGTGGAATTGAGGAATGAGGATATTGGCAACGGTTATAGTTACAGGTGAGTCGATTTTCTTCAGAATATATCTTCATCGGCCTAGCTTATTAATGCGCCGCTGCTGGGGCACAGGCATTTCCTATGGACGGAATAGGGAGATTGGGCCATGACCCACCACGCGGGCCCAGTGCGGTTAAGTGGGTGTTAACGATTGCAGATGCAGCCGGGGCCAACGGCTTAATGTGCCTTTAAAACATTTTTGGTCACCCATCCGATAACTGGAATTTTCGAAAGTTGATTATCTTACATGATTACAGACTGAACGCACTCACCTTGCTTTATCAAGGAACTTCCTTCTGTTTTTTTTTCATATTTTAATTATGATTTTCCGTCACCCATCCAATGACCGTCCACTGCGAAAGTAGCTTAACTTTTAACATATTCTTAGTAGCTAAAATTCATAAGATGTAAGTCATTATCATGTTGAAGGACCAAATGTAACGCTTAGTTTGAGAATAAATAGTTTGCTAAAAAAATAAATTTGAAAACATTCGCAGCCCAATGTGTTAACATCTCTTGCACCATCAGAGTTCCTCGGATAAAGTTTATTGAATTGAAATGATTTGATTTTGTTATTATTATTTATTATATTACAAAAGTCAACAATAAAAGTTATAATATTACCTTCATAACAATGATATCAAATACTCTTGATACACCAACAAAATCGTGCCCAAAACCTGTCCAATGGTACATTGGACGATCCACGAAGCTCCGTAACATAATCGCATAGACAAAAACAATATAAGGCATTATTTAAACATTGAAAATCACCTTTAATGCATACTGTATAAGGTCTTAATTAAAACGCACGCAAAATTTTACGACTAATTATAATTTTATGACGATTACAATATGCGAAAGAATATGAACCTTATTTCTTTGACTCTATGCGCAATTCTGAATGTGCTGTTAGCAATATAACAGGTACGGGCCGCGAGGAAAAGAGATGGATATACGGCGACGTATAATGCGTGATGCATTTGAATATCACAAATATTTTATATTAAATCAGTTTATAATAAGTACATTACAATGAAATTTGCTTTAAATGCGTAAAATTAACAAACATTGATTAGACACCTGTCAAAAAACGACACTATAAATTTGTTACGTGTCGGGATGGGGTTCGAAATTATATGCCAGTTCACGCTTGACAGTTCTTTATTCACCCCACAGTTCACACAATTAACACACAATGTTAATTACAAAACACTCACTAAACACTGTATTTCACTATACAAGTCTCTAAACAATCGCACTTGAACACTTTTGTTGCGCTTTGATCGCCTTTGGATTCGCTCCGAAATCGCTGTTGAAACTCGACTGTCTCTGCGCGGCGCCAATCGCGCTTATATACGCCGATCGACGCATTCTAGAAAGTACCCGTTAAATTGAGAATTAGCACCCGCGAGTACGAAGTACCTACTTATACCTACGCAGGTAACGCGCATAACTTGTAAACAAGTGCAGATGTCGTTGCACTTTCTCCCTTACGCCGCACTGCATAAGGCTCATTTCAGAATGAGCCGCATTACTCGACCTCTATCGCGACCCGCGGTGATCTGGCAAATTCGATCTCTGACACTTTCGCGGTTACGTTTCGAGAGCGTTTGTGACACTATTATAAGTATTTTTTCCCCATTATTTCAGGGAGCTCTGCGGTAACTTGACTTTTCTTTTTTTGAAGTGCTCGAGTGGTGTCCAAGCACTTCTTGATTGGGACACCAGGTATCTAGGGTATTTAATATCGTTGCTACATAATAATAAATGAATGGTTGATAACCTGTGTTATAATTTCTTACCAGTGCCGTCCATGCTATCCTTCTGTCAGCGATGAAGTCTTTAGCCGAGGAGATTATTCGCAGTTCCAGAGCCGTCCACTTAACCAGAGATCTTCCACAGCACACTATACCACCGGTTTGGGTCGGGTAAGAATACTTAATGCATCATCAACACCCAGCTGTGTGAACCTAGCACCCGACTTTGGAAAATCAAATTTTTCTTAACGATTCTTAAAGACTTTCGAATGTTTGTAGTAAAAATTATTTCGTTTGTAGTTGCTTCAAAAAAAATTTATGGGACGTCGAAAAATCGTCAGCACCCCGATTCGCCCAAACTCAAATTTTTTGATTGATTCATATCGAGGATCATTTGTAGTTGATTGTAGTGAAAGAATTTTCGTTTGTAGTTGCTTCAAAATTGAAAAAGATACTTGTTTCTTGCAGCCACATATCCGAAATCGTTTGTAGTTGATTGTAGTGAAAGAATTTTTGTTTGTAGTTGCTTCCCCCGTTTCAACTGTATCCAAATTTTTTGAATGATTAATCATCGAGAATAGTTTAGAAATCTTTCACTACAATCAACTAAAAACTATTCTCATCATCATCATCATCATCAGCCTATTAATGTCCCCACTGCTGGGGCACAGGCCTACCCTATGGATGGAATAGGGCGATTGGGCCATGACCCACTACGCGGGCCCAGTGCGGATTGGTTGCAAAACTATTCTCGATGAGAATCAATCAAAAAATTTCACATTTCAATGTAAACAATTCGCTTTATCACTACTTTTCAACTTAGTATTTTATTCAACTTAGTTTATTTAATGTTACTTTTATATTATGTATGTTCAAATCTCAAAAAGTCTGTGAGTTATTTAAATAAATAAAACACCAAAATCTGTGGCAAAGGTTGTCTATTTCAAAATAATATTGAACTTAAGTGTATTCGAAAAACAAACTAAATACCGTGATTCAGAACTTGCATAGAAAAATATTAAACATAAAAGTAACGCCATCTATGGATGAATTTGATAAATTAAATAATATTACTACAAACTTAACATTCCGCCCGACATGGACCGAGTCCATAAACAGTGGAAAGAAAACAATTTAAAACTGAAAATGCTTCTCAATATCACCAATTTATCATAACAACATGTACAAATAGACGTCTTAATTATTGTTCAACAATGTGTTAGAACCTTGATACAAACCTAAATATAAGATATAAAAACTGGACAATATTAACGTTTTCTTAAGTACTAAACATGCAATTAACAATGTGACACTGAAGTAGTGTCTGCTTATTTTAAGTATCCTTAGGTAATATAACTAATTTAGAAACAGGACGCTTAATGACGTTGCCCTTATAACGTAACGAGACAACACGCGTAAGTTTATCTGTTCCCGGATGTTTCTCAATAATAACTCCATAGAGCCATCTGGATGGTGGAAGATCATCCTCTTTGACCAATACAACACTGCCTACTTCGGGTTCTTTAGCTTGGTCAGACCACTTGTATCTGTGCTGCATCTGTGTCAAATATTCGTGAGACCACCTACGCCAAAAGTCCTGAATCATGCGCTGTGACAAGTGCCATCTTTTCAGACTGTTGATATTGGCGTGTTCATAATTATAGTCGGGAACAAGAACCAATGGTTCTCCTACCAAAAAATGTCCTGGTGTTAAGGGAGTTGGATCTTCAGGGTGATTGGAGATTTGGCAAATCGGTCTCGAATTAAGACACGCCTCAATTTGTGACAAAGTTGTTGTCATTTCCTCAAATGTGAGGGTGCTATTGCCTATAACCCGTCTAAGGTGGTATTTCGTTGACTTAACACCCGCTTCCCACAATCCTCCAAAATTTGGAGAATGGGGAGGGATGAAGTGCCATTCTGTACCATTAGAAGCCATCCAATCCACTATTTCTGAGGTATAACTAGATCTTTCCGCGCTAAAAAGTTCTCTCAGTTCTCTTGCACTGCCCACAAAGGTAGTGCCATTATCACTCCATAGGTTGGCGACATGACCTCGCCGTGCAACAAAACGCTTAAAGGCTGCTAGAAAGCTTTGGGATGTCATATCGCTTACTACTTCAAGGTGTATTGCTTTTGTAGCCATACAGACAAATAAACATATGTAGCCTTTCGTGGAGTGGTGACCACGTCCCTTTGTGGTCCTGACACTGATTGGACCGGCGTAGTCCACACCACTACTAAGGAAAGGTCTACTTGCAGTTACCCTCGCCACAGGTAACTGTCCCATAAGTTGCTGTCTTGTTTCTGCTCTTTGACGAATACAAGCAACACACTCATGAACAAACTTACGAACTAGATCCTTTGCACTTATAATCCAATATTTGCTCCTCAAGTAGTTCAACATTGCTTGAGGCCCACCGTGCATTGTTTTATCGTGTGCTTCTTTGACTATCAAATTTGTCAAATGTGACTTATGGGGAAGAATTATAGGGTGTTTTGCATCTTCGCTGAGCTGAGCCTTCTGAATCCTTCCACCAACCCTAAGGATCTGGTTTGTGTCTAAAAATGGACACAAAGAAGTGAGTTTACTTTTTTTAGGTAAGTTTCCTGACTTCTCCAAATTAAGAATGTCTTCAGTAAAGTGCTGATTCTGACATATTTTAATACAGGTAAGTAAAGTTTCATCTAGTTCTTTAACCGTTAACCATGCATTAATTTTATTTGTGTTCTCTGTTTCAGGTTTCTTCCACAGTAGAACTCTTCGACAGAATGATAAAACTCGAGTAAGTTTCCGCAAAGATGAAAATCGAGTCATTATGTTCTCATTTTCATCAGTAACTATTGTTGTGTTACTACTAATTCCACATTTCTTCTCTTCTAGATCAGTTGTATGTATTTCTTCTTTATTGAAATTAATTTCTTTCAGGTAAAGCCATTTCGGTCCGTGGTACCAAAGAATATTTTGGACGCATTCTGAAGGCTGCGTTCCTCGTGAGGCTGGATCCGCTGGATTTTCTTTAGTATCAACGTGTGACCATTGATCCCCATCCAAGATACTAAGTATCTCCGAAACTCTATTTGCAATGAATGTTTTCCACCGGCTGGGGTGGCTCCTAAGCCAGGCTAAAACAATTGATGAGTCGGTCCAAGCATGCCACCGTTCCCTTGGGACATTTAGAATTTCACCTACCTCTTTCAAAAGTTTGGCGAGAAGCAGTGCACCACATAATTCCAGACGTGGAATTGATACCTGTTTAATGGGAGCTACCCTGGATTTGGATGTAATTAGATGGATATGAACCTTGCCTTCTCTATCAACTATACGTGCGTAAACAACCGCTGCGTAGGCTATGCTTGAGGCGTCTGAGAAGCCATGCAACTCAAAAACTCCATCATCTTTGCTCAAATGGATCCATCGTGGAACACGTATTTCGGAAAGTTTATTTAGCTCGCTTCGAAATCGGACCCAATCCTTAAGTAAAGAAGGAGGAAGTTCGGTGTCCCAATCTATACCAGCTAACCATGCCCTCTGAATAAACGCTTTAGCCGTAGTGACAGCTGGTGCCATCCAACCAAGAGGATCGAAAAGACGCGCAATATCGGAAATCATTTTCCTCTTTGTAACAGGAAGCTGAAGAGATGGAAGATCAACTGTACAACGGAATTCGTCAGCTTCTCTATTCCATTTTAAACCAAGAATTTTTATAACATTGTCACATTTTAGCTCTACGTTCTGGTTTATATCTCGTGCATCTTCATTAATATTATTTAGTAAATCGGTACTATTGCTAGACCATTTTTGGAGTGGAAAACGACCGCGTTTCAATAACGCTGTCATTTCTTCATGAATTTGAAGCCCCTCAGCCACCGTAAAGCAACCAGACAAAAGATCATCCATATAGAAATCGTTTAAGACTCTAGGAGCTGCTAAAGGAAAATCTCTGCCTTCTTCATGAGCAAGTTGATGAAGACAACGTACAGCCTGGTAAGGTGCTGAAGATGTGCCGAAAGTTACTCGTAGAAATCGAAGATGCTGCAATTCATCATCTGGACTTTCACGCCAATAAATTCGTTGAAAATCAACGTCTTCATCTGCTACCCTTATCTGTCTGTACATTTTTACGATGTCAGCTACTAACCCGATAGGATAACAGCGCCACCTCATGATCAAATGTCGTAATGTTGGTTGAAGTGTCGGACCAACCATTAAATCACTATTAAGTGATGCTCCATTAGAATCGCAACAAGAAGCATCAACCACCATGCGTATTTTTGTGGTAGCCTTATCCTTGCGTATAACGGCATGATGAGGTAGATATACCGCTGTGTTCTGTATAAATTCAGAGTTTACAACTTCCATGTGACCTGACCTGAGATATTCATCTAGAACTTTTGAATACTCTATCTTAAGTTCAGGATTTCGCAGAAACCGCTTCTCTAGCAAAAAATATCTTTTGAGTGCAACATCATTTAAATTACCACATAAACAAGCTGGATCTTCAGTTTTAAATGGTAACCTTACAACAAACCGGCCGGTATCATCACGTTTGGTAGTCCGAACAAAGAACTCCTCACAGCGTTCTTCTTCCGGTGTAAGATGTTTAGACTTATCAAAAGATGGTTCTGACTCTAACTCCCAAAACTTCTTTAGAAGTTCATTTTCACTGGGTTCAGCCACATGTAGACTAACTACGTTGATAGATGCCTTACCGTGGTTGGCGTCTTTGTTTTCGGGATGTACCTTGCCAGAAAGTATCCAACCAAGTGTTGTCCGTTGGGCTACAACGGCACCTAGTGGATCCTTGATCAAACCCTCCAATAAAATCTGGCTGTATACATCCGCGCCTAAAAGTAGATCTATTTTATTCGGAGTACCGAAAAATGGATCTGCTAATTCAGTGGACGGAAGTGTTGGTAACACTTGGACATAAACCTTACTACTCGGTAGAAAGGTCGTAAGTTTGCTCAAGACATGTGCTTTAACAGTAACTGTAAAGCTGGGGTCTAAACGGGACTGAATTCTCAACCATACTGACGACTTTGAAGACAAAGTCGCTTGGTCACCGCCTAAACCTGATACCAAACTAGTGCCTGGTATTTTCTTGAGCCCTATCATTTGGACTGCTGCTTCAGTGATGAATGAAGCTTGAGACCCTTGGTCTAGCAGTGATCTTAAAACAAAAGTAGAGTTCGATTTGTGAGACTCTACCTTGACTAAGGCAGTAGCCAATAGAACCTGCCCCAATGAGCTTGTAAAACAAGAAGCTACTACTGGGGAAATTTGAACCTCGCCACAAGTCTGCGATTGTGATAAACCGGAGTTTTCTCCGACATCACTATGCACAGACTGATCAGTCCTTATTTCAGTGACTGATTTAGGACTTCTGAGATGAAGCAACGTATGGTGCTTTTTCTTACATAAGCGGCACCTTGTTGATGATGTACATTGATACACAGAATGGTTAAGACCAAGACAGTTAAAACACAAATGATTTGCTTGGGCAAAGCTACGTCGTGCGTCAATATTTTCTTTAGCAAATTTTTTACAATTATTTAATCTGTGATTTTCAGTACAAAAATTACAGGTTACTAGTGTTGTGGCAACGTGAGTACAATTAGATTTTTCTGGCTTTTGAACTCTGTTATCTATAAATTCTAAAGCTCTGAATCGATTTTGTAAAAAATCTTCAAATTGTTTGAAACTAGGTAAATCTTGAATAGAGTCACTAATTTTTAGCTCCCATTGTTTACGTGATTCAGGATCTAACCTTTGGCTAACAAGGTAAATAACAATAATGTCCCAGCTACTGATATCAACACCTATGTTTTTTAAGGCCGATAAACAATCTTTAGTATTGTCCAATAATTGTTTAATACCATTAGCAGTTTCGGAAAGTAAAAGTTTTTGAGTAGTCAATTTCTTTAAAATATTATTTGCAAGATACCTTTTATTATTATAACGACTCTCAAGTTGTGACCAACAAGTTTCGTAATTATCTGCCGTGACTGGTATATAACGCAACAATTGTTCTGCTTCACCAGTAACACAACTTTTCAAATAGTGAAGTTTTTGAACATTATCAATACCTGAATTATTATGAATTAAGGATGTAAACAAATCACGGAAGCTGACCCATTCTGAATATTTGCCTGAAAATTTAGGCACGGAAATCTTTGGTAGACTTACAGCAGATTGTTCATTGACTTTAGATTCCCCGGGTACCTCAACAGACTTAGGTTTAAATGTTGACAATAATGACTTTAACAATGACTTGAATTCACAGTATGCTTCTTCGGTTTGTTCGTACAACTCAACTGTTTGATAAGTCGAAGCTTGCAATATTTCAGAATCTAATTCTAAAACTATTTTATTATGGTTGTCATTAAATCTTGACCAACACTGCTCTAACGTTTCTAAGCGAGTTTCGACATAACAAAAAGTAATTCTTTCTTTAGGACTTTTTTTGAAGTTAGTTTTTATTTTATAAATTTTATTAGAAATATCTTCCTGAAGTTTGAAATACTTTTCGGCCATTATTACAATTTAACAGAGAAATTACGTTCACAATGTAATAATATAAAATATTTAAGAACAAATAAATTTGTCAAATTAACATAAATATTCTAAGTCCAAAGTTGTCGAAATTATTCTAAGTCCAAACTGCTTAAAAATTTTCTAAGTCTTTAACACTTCGCTCTGAAAACCGGCATAGGTTCCCCGTTGGATCACTTTTCTTAAAATTATTCTAAGTCCGAACAACGCTACCGCAAATTCACACTAATATTGATTTCTTCTAAGTTTCGCACTTCTAGTAAATAAGGTCTAAATTTGTACTCACAATTTCTTCACAACTCATGTCAAACCTCGGATGCTTCAGGGGGTGCTCCCCTCCCTCCAATTGCCGCAGCAACTGCTTTATCCGCTGATAGTACTCTCGGTAACGATCCGTTACCCTATCAGTACTGCTATAGCCTTGTACACATCAACTTCGTGCCTTGATTAATCCGGCAATACGAAGGACCATGTTCAAATCTCAAAAAGTCTGTGAGTTATTTAAATAAATAAAACACCAAAATCTGTGGCAAAGGTTGTCTATTTCAAAATAATATTGAACTTAAGTGTATTCGAAAAACAAACTAAATACCGTGATTCAGAACTTGCATAGAAAAATATTAAACATAAAAGTAACGCCATCTATGGATGAATTTGATAAATTAAATAATATTACTACAAACTTAACAATGTATGATGAAGAAAATTTTACTTGAAGAATTTCTCGGTGCTGGTTCTCTGGAATTTTTTCTAGTTATATTTTCTTTAGGTTGTGTTGGTGTTTTAAAAATAACCCTGTATATATAACTAATATATTAGAATACTCAGTTTGATGTAGATTGTACGTATGGATGTGACTATTTATTCCAAACCATTTAACACCCCTATGGTCTCTGTATAACTTTCGATACTCAGTGGTTGTCTGGAAGAAATCGCTCTTAGCGATAAGACCGCCAGTTTTAACGCTTTTGTTAATATTATTGTTTGTGAATGTTACGTTATTATGTATTTGGTGTTATAATAAAGTGTTAATCTATCTATCTATACATATACAGGTTGTTACAAAAATACAAATAAATCTTGAACGGCGTTGAAGTACATCATATAAGAAGTCTTCTGTAATTTTCTTAAAATATTTGCATGAAGTTTTAACTTTTTATAAAAAAAAATGTGTGCGTGTACTAGTGTACACACGTAAGAAGTGAAACTTCTTTATGGCCTTATTTTTCGAAAAATTATCTACATGCAACTTTCCAGAAATTGGTTAAATAAAGTTAAATTAGATAAAGTTTAAACAAAAGGATTTTATTATCATAGACATGAATACAAATTACTGCCTATGAAACTGTTATGATTACACGGCTCAGTAATCTAAGGCACATGTTCCACCTCCGACGATGAACGATAAGCGAGTAGAAACTAGAAACGAATTGGCAGTCCTGAGTTAAAATGCACGCGCACGGCTTTTGACAGCCAAGCCAGCTTAACCGAGCGAGTATAGCTGAGCGAGTATCGCTGAGCGAGTATCGCTATGCGAGTTTGGCTGAGCGAGTCTTATCTTTAATAATTATTGTCACTCAGCTACAAACGAGTAGAGAGAGTTCTCGCCGGCGACAGTGTGATCATTTAGCTATCAACTATTAATATGAAAAAAAGATGGCGCGTAACGGAAAAATGTGACGCGTAACCGAAAAATGTGACGGTAAATTTTTTTCCAACGCCGATAAAGAAGTTTCAATTCAAAAAGTTATTTTTAATGATCCTCGAACTAGTGACGTGTCTTAAAATGTCTTAAAAATAACTGTTTTTATAAAAAGTTAAAACTTAATGCAAATATTTTAAGAAATTTAGAGAAGACTTCTTATATGACGTACTTCAACGCCCTTCAAGATTTATTTGTATTTTTGTTACACCCTGTATATAGATATGTAAATATTGAATTGTATGTGATCGTTGCAGTGGGTCACGCGTGTCGCACACGGTGGGCGGCGAGGTGCACGCGGCGCTACACGCGGACACGAGGCTCCGGGCCCTCACCGCACACGCGCTGGCCTCCAGCGACACGCACCCGCCCCCGCCCCACCGATACCATGCCATATGAATCATGATAATAAACCATCACAACACCTGACTACCTTTTATTTACCTACTCATCACCAGCATCATCATCATCATCATCATCATCATCATCAGCCTATTAATGTGCCCATTGCTGAGGCACATGCCTTCCCTACGGATGGAATAAGGAGATTGCATTGAGAGAATGAATGAAAAGGTGATTTAAAAATAAGGGAGAATAACTCTTCAGAACACTCGCCGTGGTATTTTTCACCTTTACCCCTTTGTAGTGTGTGTAAGTACAATATGTAACGCACACACTCGTCTCTCTTCAAATGTAATAACAATTAAATGAGTTCATATTTACAATCATTTATCGCTCTGAAAAAATAAGGTGAAGGTCGATGACCTCACACGCACTAGCATCCAACTCCACGCACCCGCCCAACCAATACCATACCATATGAATGACAATAAACCATCACAATACTGGACGACCTTTTATTTACCTATTAACTAAGTCGATACGAGACCTCCCGCCGTAGATTTACGCACCGATGGCGTAGCGTTTGACTTTCACGAGAGCTTGTAACAGCCTAAACTGAATAAATGAGTTGAACATATTTGTTTCTTAGGTTTTCACGCACATTACGCATTAAATAAAACTAGTTTTTACGGTTATAATTTTTATTATTTTTAAAGCATGTAACTGCATGATGTTTAAATCTAAAGAAAATATAACTAGAATTGTGGGTTTACCTATAATGCGAAGAGACGGCGCTGCCTTGCAGCTTAAGAATAGCTAGAAAGAATTTCGACGCGGTCCGTGAGGGCCGCGGTAGCATAATTGGTCAGTGCATTCGCCCGGATTGCGAAGGGTGCGGGTTCGAGTCCCGTCTGCTGCCTGGTCCGCGTGGAATTTTTTTTTTCTAGTTAATTTTCTTTTTTTTTCTAGTTATATTTTCTTTAGTTTTTACGGGTTAATGCACGAAATTTTATTTATTTATTGACGTTTCGTAGCCTTTACAGGCTACGGCGTCAGAATCGTCGTTCGTCGTAAAAACTAGTTTTATTAAATGAGTTGAAGTTTCAACTAACCTTTAACCCTTTGTAGTGTGTTTAGTAGGTACAATATATAACGCACACACACATCTTCAAATGTAATCGCAATTAAATGAGTTCGTAAATACAGTCATTTATATATTATATCCCTTTGAAAAAGTATGGCGGAGGTCGATGACCTCCCGACCCGCCCGCCCGACCGATACCAAACCATATGAATGATAATATTAAACCATGACAACCAATCTTTTATTTACCTATTCATCACCATCATCAGTCTATTAATGTCCCCATTGCTGAGGCACAGGCCTTCCCTACGGATGGAATAGGGAGATTGCGATGACCTCACCAACCATCCTCACCTTGCCGGCCTGCAAAAATGCTTCTTCACGCCTCTCTTAAAGGACCCCAGATTATAGGAAGGAGAGAACACGTACGCGGGCAAAGAATTCCACTTACGAATAGTACGACAAAGAAATGAGTCACCAAATCTCTTTGATTCGTGTAGGAATAGTGGCCACAGTAAGTCTGTGGAAACGTAGGCCAGCGCGCGTGGTCCTCTGAAGAAAAGGTGATGGAGGGTTAAGGGAGAATAGCTCTTCAGAACACTCGCCGTAGTATTTTTCACGTAGTGTGTGAAGGTACAATATGTAACGCACACACTCATCTCTCTTCAAATTAAATAAGTTCATATTTATAGTCATTTATCGCTCTGAAAAAATAAGGTGAAGGTCGATGACCTCCCGCGCGCTAGCTTCTGCCGCCACGCACCGCCTGTCCGATATATCATAATAATATGAATAATAATAATAAACCATGACAACTGAATAAATGAGTTTGGACTAACCTTTAACCCTTTGTAGTGTGTTAGTAGGTACATTCATTTATATATTATATCCAAAGAGTATGGCGGAGGTCGATGACCTCACACGCGCTAGCCTCCGCCTGTACACACCCGCCCGACCAATACCATACCATGAATGATCATAATAAACCATGACAACAGCTGACAACCTTTTATTAACCTATTCCTTCCCTATGGATGGAATACGGAGATTGAGCCAAGACCCACCACACGGGCCCAGTGCGGATAGAAACTATGGGTGTATTCCGGAATATATACCAGTATACTGGCCAGTGCTAATGACGTCATGAACCGACGCTATACTGGCGAATTGTTCCGAAATATATAAGCCAGTGCACTGCACGTCATAAATTGACGAAATATTAAAAATAGTGCGAATAAAGAAGATTTTTTATTCACCTCATCAATTAAAAGGAATTCTTTTTGTTCGAATGCCATTATTGTTCTATAAATAAGAAATAAAATTCGAATGCATCTCACGCACGCTCGGTCATACGTCATATTCGTTTTCCCGGTAAAAATATGGTAGCATACCAGTACAATATGGCGTCGGATTCGTGACGTCATTACCACTGGCCAGACTGATGTATGTTTCGGAATAAACCCTAAATCATTTATCGCCCGCCGGCCACACGTCACTGCTCCTTTCCCCGCGTAGCATAAATACCGCGTTATGGATAAGTATATAATGCGTTTTTATCACGCTCAATTGTCAAATTACTATGAAGTTTGACAGTTAAAACGTGATAAAAAACTGAATGCAGTTCTAGTTTTTATCAAAAGTCGTCTGTCCGTAAATTCGGTTTACTGACGAGTTGAACGTGACAACGTTTTTTTACAATGTACATAGTTTTTACAAGTATGAATGTGCTTTGAGCAATTGTTTTACAACTTTTAAACATGTGTAATATCATTACCTTTACCGCCGCAATTATCGTTGCTATAAACAATTGACACCAATCACCATATTCACTTTTCACTGCACTTCATACTTGACGAAAACATGTATTGTATAGCCTGTCCACGCGGACGCATCGCTCACTCAAGTAGGAGATAAACAGATGTCGAACACGGAGGTCGATTGTGCCTCTTTGTCGCTCGTTGCGCGCTCTCGCTTGCACTTCAAGCCTTAAATGGAACGCCTCAGAGCGAGGTAACGCCGCATGAGTCATGTTTTTCCGTGGATGCAGTCGGCTCCATCGATTTATAAGACGTTGTCACGTCAAAATCGTGTTACAATGTATATTGTGGTGCTCGTGCGTGCTACAACGACTGAGAAACACCAAGAGGAGTCCGCGCCACATATAAATCTCAAGATCCGCAGTATGTAGTGCACATCCTGTAGTACCTTCAATCAGCTCACCTCTTTCTGTCTTCTGTGCAGCCAGCCGACCGACGCGTAAAAGCTGATTCGCACCAGCCTAATTTTATTATCTCCATAAGTAAGTTTTCCGGGACGTAACAGATTTTTGAAGTGAAACTTCTTTATCGGCGTTGGAAAAAAATTTACCGTCACATTTTTATTCGGTTACGCGTCACGTTTTTTGGTTACGCGCCATCTTTTTTTATATTAATAGTTGATAGCTGAATGATCACACTGTCGCCGGCGAGAACTCTCTCTACTCGTTTGTAGCTGAGCATGTAGCTGAGTGACAATAGTTATTAAAGATAAGACTCGCTCAGCCAAACTCGCATAGCGATACTCGCTCAGCGATACTCGCTCAGCGGTACTCGCTCAGCGATACACGCTCAGCGGTACTCGCTCGGTTAAGCTGGCTTGGCTGTCAAAAGCCGTGCGCGTGCATTTTAACTCAGGACTGCCAATTCGTTTCTAGTTTCTACTCGCTTATCGTTCATCGTCGGAGGTGGAACATGTGCCTTAGATTACTGAGCCGTGTAATCATAACAGTTTCATAGGCAGTAATTTGTATTCATGTCTATGATAATAAAATCCTTTTGTTTAAACTTTATCTAATTTAACTTTATTTAACCAATTTCTGGAAAGTTGCATGTAGATCATTTTTCGAAAAAAATAAGGCCATAAAGAAGTTTCACTTCTTACGTGTGTACACTAGTACACGCACACATTTTATTTTTATTAAGACAACACATATTGGAAGATTGTATTTTTTTTCTTTTTTTAATTTATGTATGGGGTAGGTGACAAACCGTATTTTCATTCTGAGCCTACCACTGTGCCTTGTGTGTTGGTACGACTTTACGGCCGACGCCGGCACCAATGTGCGAGTAGTTCACTTCGAGTCCCCGACGTGTAAGCAGCTATCAACAGCTCTAAAATAATTTTCCGTTACATCAACAACATCAAAGAGTACCATTTTCTCTGGAAGACATCGTGGACCTTCTGACCTTGGACACCTATGTGCGATATATTGCCGGCAATAGTTTCCCAAGAGCGTTGACGAGCCCCGTTCTGAAGCCTAGCCCTCGGTACCCGTGGCGATGGCGGTGTAAAGAGCGTTTGCGGTAAGTCGCCGAACCCCGGATTTTACCATACAGTAAGTATCGTTTAAACATTAATAAAAACCTGTGTTCAATAAAAATTAATCATCATCATCATCAGCCTATTAATGTCTGCGTCACTGTGAATAGAATAGGGAGATTGGGCCGTGACCCACCGCCCGTGAAATATCGCAAAACTATCTAGTTTGCAGCTGCACTAATTCTTCGAATACGTCAGCTTTGTTAGAAACTTGAATATTTTATGACATTGCAAATAAAAATCGATCACAATCCCATACAAAAACACAATTATTGCAGTGCTCCCAGCTCACAACGAAGATGTATTTTCTTACACGACCATTCAGAAGTAACCAACCGCCTGTGCAAACTTTTTGTGAGGGGAATTTAGAACATCTAGATGGCGAAGAAATATAAAGTTTGCTCAAACTTTTTAACATCAGTCTATTAATGCCCCCACTGCTGGGACACAGGCTTCCCTATGCATGGAATATGCAGACTGACCAGTTACCCACCACGCAGGCCCAGTGCGGATTGGTGGGTGGGTGCTAACGACTGTTCCTTCCAAAGCACGGAGGAAGGAACTCGAGATAACACGTTTTTGGTGACCCAACCAATGATCAACCGTAACGAAAGTT